CTGAAAGAGTATCTGAAGTAGACTAAGCGCGCATAAAACTATGAGCGCTCGATACATTCCTTTGTTAATTTTTGTACTTTGCGTTCACGGTTACGTTGTGAAAAATATCGTTAGCTTAACCTCTCCAATTCCCCGTTCAGTACACCAACTTTCCCACTTTCCCCAGGTGTAGTTATAAGCATTTGTTGAATCTTCTAGATTTAATGATGAATTCTGAAGCATTTTTTGAAAAACCTGTTGTTTCATAATGTGACCTGAGATTTTCCATGCCGCTAGTTGCATGTTGTTTTGACTGATTAGTGGGTGTGATTGATTCTGTGGAGATTTCAGTAAGTTCTCTGAAGTTGGTAAAAGTATTGGATTTTTGATTGACATTTGTATCAGTTGTGGGTACCATGGCTGAGATTGCCATATTGGGGTTATCAGAACTAAATCTGCTTTCTCCCTCCTTACTTTTTCTAGTAATCTGTTTATAAGGCAAAAGGGAGGAAAGGCATACAGCAGTTGATCTCTCCAACTCTGTGTAAATGCGTCCACCGCTATCGAGAAAGGATCTTTCTTCCAGCTGTAATATTTGGTTGTCTGAGCATTCATTCTGTTTGCAAAGAGGTCTATTTTCATTGGTCCCCATATTTTGTTCAGTTGTGAGAAAATGCTCTTGTCCAGCATCCAATCTGACGAGTCCTTGAATACTCGTGATGCATTGTCTGCTATCAGATTGGCTTTCCCTGGAAGATATTCTGCTGTAATTGTGATCTGTTTCTTCAGACAATGTGAAAAGATTTCTTTGGTTAATTCTATTAGTTTCAATGATCTGGTCCCCCCCAGTTTGATTATGTGACTCATTGAGGTTATGTTGTCTGTTTTTATCAGCACATGTTTGTTTGTCAAGTTTCGAGTAAAAGTGATCACTGACAGATGAATTGCTTTTAGTTCTAACCAATTGATGTGTTGAGTTTTCTCTTGAGGTTTCCACTGACCCTGAATTATCTCCCCTTGACATTCTGAACCCCAACCTGTCAGACTGCTGTCTGTTGATATGATCAGATCCGGTTCGCTGATTTTGATTGCTCGACCGTTCCATTGATCTAGTTTGGTTACCCACCAAATGAGTTCCTTTTTGATTTCTGGTTGGAGTGTTACTGTTGCTGAATATGACTGATTGGATCGTTTCAGGCCTTGTGTTTTCAACATTTGTAAATGTCTGAAATGAAGGGGTGCTGGGAGAATTGCCATTGTTGATGCAGACAGTTTGCCTATTATTTGAGCTATTTCTTTCAATGTTACTTGTTTCTGATGATATAGGTTTTTGCAATCTGATTGAATTTTGTTTGCTTTTTCTCTTGGCAATTCTATTGTCATTTTTTGAGTGTTTAACAGAAACCCCAGATATTCCATGTTTTGAGATGGGACTGTCATGGACTTTTTCCAATTTATTAGAAAACCTAGATGTGTTAGGAGATAAATTGTTGTTTGCATTTGATTTTGCAATTCTTGAGGGGACTGATTTAGAATTATCAAGTCGTCGAGGTAGATAATTGTTCTTAGACCTAACTTTCTTAAAATTGACATGGGAACTTTCATCAATTTTGTAAAAATTCTTGGACTTGATCCCAGGCCGAAAGGTAATGCTTTCATTTGATAAATTTTCCCCTGCCATTGGAATTTCAGGTATTTTCGATGATGTTTTGCTATTGCTATGGTCATATAAGCATGACGTAAGTCGATTTTTATCATGAAATCGTTTTCTATTATCATATGTTTCAACATTGTCAGACTCTCCATCTTGAAATGATGATATTTGATGAAGGCATTTAGAGGTTTGAGATTTATTATCGTTCTTTTCGAACCGTCCTTCTTCGGTCTGAGAAAGAGATGTGACAAGAATTGATCTTTTGATGGATTGCTTTCTTCTATTGACCTTTCTTCTAAGAGATTCTGAATTTCTATTGACATTTCCTGTGTTTCTTTTTGACTGAAGTTTGGCCAAAAGGGGGTTTTGTTCTGGACTGGTTCTTGCATAAATTCTAGCTCGTACCCCTTTACGATGTTGATAATATTTGTATTTCTTGTTATTTTTTGCCAGTTCTTGACGAAGAAAACAATTCTTCCCCCTACATATTGAATTTTGGGGATTGAGTGAAAATTTAATTTTTTCAGATATCGACTTACCATTCCCTCCGTTTGAGGATTCTGCACCTCGTTTGGGTAAGGTTCTGAATAAGATGTCAGATTTAGATTCAACATACCTTGTTTTTCCACCTCTGGGTGGTCTTTGGCCTCTGTTGGTGTTTCCTCTTCCACCTTGGCCTCTACCAGTACCTCTGTTCTCTGTTCATTTCTTGCCCCTCGGCCTCTACCATATGTCGAAGGGCCCCTTTGAAAGGGCTTGTTTTTGTGGAAATTTCGTTTGATTTTTTCCATCTCAATTTTTTCAGTGCTTTCATTTTTCAGAGCTTTATAAGTTTTCTTGTTTAACAACGTTGCATGTTTCTTGATGTCTTTCTCATTTTCTCTCAGAAAGTTTTTAGCCATTTTTTTTATCAAAGCCAAAGATTGGTATCAAGATTTCTAACCTCCTGTAATAGGTTACCATTTGGAAAGCTTGTCCTAGGAGTAATACTGATTGATCTAAGAGAAATTTAATCATGTCATTGTTCAAGTCTGCTCTTTTGGTGTTATAAAGTTTCCAGAGGGCACCCAACGGTCCCATTACATCAGATATTTTGTTCTGGCTAGATTTCCAACTTTGATCAGATTTTGATGCTGATCTTGAGGACATTTTCTCACTGTATTTATCAAGTTTAGGTGGTTTAAGGTATTTCAACTTTGGTCTAGCATTCTTCTCTAACATATTGTCAATATCATCCATTGACAACAGTTCTTGAGACCAGAAACGTTTAACATATTTCTCTTGGTCTTTAGATAAACACCATTCTTTTGATTTTAAATCTTCATGTGGATCAAACATTCCCTTTGACATTTTTTTAGATTTTCTTTTATGTCTATCTGAGTCAGAAGAGTCAGAGTCTGAACTATTGCTAGTTGAGCTAGACGAATCACTACTTGAAGATGAACTTGAGCTTGAACTAGATGAAGTGTCAAAAGACCTTGACTTATGTCTTTTCTTTCTTGACGACTTTGATGTTTTCTTACCTTTTTTGTGTTTGCTATGTCTATTCGACCTACCAGGTCTGTAGCTCACATCTGATAAATTGTCATGAAAGACAAATTGATCATCGTTTCTCCTAGTTCTTTTTGTATTGGCTATCAGCCTATCTGGACTTCTAGTCCTTTTATTAGTATTTGATTCTTGGCAATCAACTTGTGAACATCTATCATAGCCATCATCATCTTCATGATCAGTTTCTACACGAATATTTTCATCATTCCTATCTTGACATCCACCTTCTTCAAGGTTTGTTTTTTCTTTGTCCATCTTTGTGAAGTTAGAACATATCTCCTTGTAACTTATTCCAGTTATAATTTATGATTTCAATGTAATAGAATTGAGTTATTCAAATTTTTCCGAAAATTTTTTAAAAAATTTCCACGTCACGCCATTTTGAAAAAGTTTTGAATTACAAATTGCAGACCCGTATTATACTCTCAAAGGACATGAATGAGTCTTGCTATTTAGGCGTGTTCTAGTCGAAAGCGCGGAACAAATAGACCGATAGTAAGGGATATTACCCTTATATAACAACTTCATTATTTAAATGAGGTTGAAACGCTATTGGCTGGAACGCAAGCATATGTAAATTCGTCACTTTAGCGAGTGAAATGAAATGTGCAGCAAAGCTGTGGCCCATTGTAATTTAGAGAGAACAGCCATGTAAATTTTTCCGAAAATAACATGGCAGAGAAGTATCAAAATATAAGAGGACACAGATATGATAGTTAAACTAGAAAACAAACTAAAATATACAAAAGCTAGGATGAATATAAATGTTTCTATTTTTACATAAACTGTTTCAATATGGTCATTTGATTGCTTATTTTTTAAATTCAAAGTAGTCACAAACTGACAAACATTACTGTTTTGACTACAATGTATACAGTCATTCTCAATCATTTTGGTAGCCTTGTCCAAGTTATTTTGACAAATGCCGGTAAATAGTTTGTTAGATGCATAGAAATTCAGACAACTTGTGATTCAGTGGGGTTGACAAGATGGATTTGCCATGCAGTATTTCTCTTCACACATACTGATATAGATAAATATATTGGTCAAGATTCCATGGTCGCTGGACATGTTAATATCGTGATCATGTTCTCGAATTCAGTTTTATTCTTAGTTGACGTGTTTCGTATCTCAGTGCTCATCGGATCGATTCATATTACAGGCTGAGATTTTAATAGCAGCAGAAACTGTCAGACTGTAAATCATGCTGACATGAATTTGTCAACTTTTCAATGTGGTCAGTGTGGCCCGTCAGTTAAAGTGGCAAAGGCCTTTGTTTTATTTTATTCAGTAGATTTCTACAAATTACTATAGATAGATATAGTACTTGTAAAATCTGCACACGTAACAAAAGTGTAAAGTTGATTGGAATTCCATCCGAAATATTAAAATAACTTTAACAACAGCTTAAAATTATTATTATTTTACATAATGCACGTGAGCACTGCGTACTTTATACTCGTTTTTACAGGGCAGTAGACAAAAATGATTTTTTATTTATCATAGAATCATTTGAGCTGTGTTGTTGAGTGTTCTCCGCATGTTCAGACTTTTAATGAGTTCCTAATTCCAGCCCCGTATTATTTTTATGCACATACTCATTCTGTACATGATTACGATCTTGAACGACATTTAGAAAATTGAATGACCTACAAAAATGTAGATTACTAAATTTTCTCCTTTTAATGTCCAGAATACTAGTATTTATTAACCCACAGCCTTCTCTCAGTTTCCTTCTAGAACCTTTCCTTCTTGTGCATAGCAGAGATGGTCTGAGTGTCAGAATGATTAACCCTCAACTATGTACGTTTTACAGGTACCAACATTTGTAGATGGGGATATTGTCGTCAATGAGTCGTTGGCAATCTGCAACTATCTTGAGGTAGGCTTGTGCAAAAATAGTTACTATTTCATTTTAAAAGAGCAACAATGTCACAATTTTACAATATGTTTAGCTCACAAAATTCCATAACAAGCTGTTTTTCAAAAACAAAAGCTCCAGTTTTTTGACATTTCATGATAATGTTTTGATTGGATATACTATCGATATCTGTATCATGCTTATTACATTTTACACTCTGATATTATTTGCTGTCTATTTAACTGTGTAATTCTAGTTTCTATATTTTCCTAGTACAAGTACAGTGATCAAGGGAACAAACTTCTTCCAACCGACGTCAAGGAGAGGGCATTAGTTTTACAGAGACAATACGAGGTAATGCTTCATACTGAGGGACGGTTGCCTTAGTGCCTATATTTGATATGTGAATGTGAATTTTTAAACTTCGACTTTAAAATGGACGTCTATGTATTCATTGTATTTAAACCTATTTACTTCAACTTTGACTATGTATGTCTATATAAACCTATTTACTGTTCTTCGATCTTAGGCTCTGAACCTGAACAAGAAGGGTATTGAGGATATCATATATAAGCACATGAGAAACTCACCAGATCTTCAGGATGAGGTAAGATTTTGAGACAACGTAAGTATTAGGTTGAACAAAATGTGCTATTTTATGTTTAAGCTTCAATAAACCACTACCGTCTGTTATTTCATGTATTTACTGTTTATGTTGGCTATGTTTTTATGTCACCACCAGAAACTTTTTGTTGTTGACATTGTTCGACAGTCGGCGTTCGCCGTCTGTAATAAATCTTACAACTTCCAATAACTTAACAAGTTCTGTTAAAAATGACTTCAATTTTTCTGTGAACATATATAAACATGTTATGAGCTCCAACGCATATCTGTCAATATATGCTACCATGACAACAAATAAGTGGACTTGTAACATTTTGTAACTATTTTAATCTTTTGCAATAACTTACAATGTGGTGACATTTTTGTCAAGTAAATGCCTTGTTCCGTTGTTATGTTGTCCTTCAGACTTATCGATTGTAAGGCCCAGCTGACAATAACTAGTAAGTTGATACATTTTCATATACTTGTAGGAAAAGATGAAAGCAAGTATACAGGCATTGTCAGATGAGTTGGCCCTGTGGGAAGGTTACTTACAAACGGTATGTTTTAAAACATTGCCTTTACACATATGTACATGTACTATAGGCCCTAGCCTATATCGCTTTTGTTTAAAATATGTCCCGTTTACCTGATTGCACCCTTAGATGTTTTTTCATTCAATTAATTCATTGATTATTTTATGCATCCAGTCTGGAGGCTACATTGCCGGTAAAGGTTTTACAATGGCTGACGTGATGTTCTTTCCTTACGTTGCGTTCTTCGTGAGAATGGGGCTGCAGCTGAATAAATATCCAAACATTAAAAACTACTACGACAACTTGGTGACTAGACCATCTGTGAAAGCAACGTGGCCACCTCATTGGGCAGAGTCTGCTGGAAAAGAATGGCTCAAAGATGCCTAAATTCTTTAGAAAGACGCAATCCGCATAATCTAAAGATCCGCATAATTAAAAAAACGATTTTGTTTATAAACTTGTCTTATGGCTTAGATGGATAGGGTACAATAAAAGCGAGATGCTTATAAATATGAATGTGAAGAAAAATATGTAGATGTATTATGTGAAACAAATCAGAGTAATAAAAAAATTAAAGTGAACTGAGTTCCATATATAATTGTAATATTATTGTCACTTTAATTAATAATGTAGTTCTTATAAGAATGGATTTGGTCTTACAAAAGAGAAATCAAACCATGGGCCAGGGGAAAAGATCAGTATTCAGAATGGAATGTCCTATGATGTTATGGTCTCCGATTGTGATAATGGTAGTCGACTGTTTCTTTTCATGTTGGATTCTAATTTTGGATAGTTGGGGTTTGTTTTGGATAGTTGGGGTTTGACTGGTTCCCTTAGATGCTTTCTTCTTCGTGTTGTATTCCGTAACCATTTTTAGTACTTTCCTTTGGCACTTGCGCATACATATTAAATTCAATTTTTCCTTATTACTGTATACACAAATATATTGAACATCCCAAAACTTCACCCATAAATGTAAAAATGATTTGTCAAAATAAAGATCTCCCTTTAATAAATGTGAGACGATCTATGATATACTAACAGACTAATTCTATGAACCGAAGTTCAATTTTGGGGCATACTTTGTAATTAGAGAGGTTAAGCAACACTACTTTTACAACGTAAACCGCGAACGGGAAGGCGCACGCAGGTTTTTCTCAGAGTGTGACGTCATATTGTTCTACTTATTTTCCGGTTTACGTATATCCAAACGTGAAAAATCAAAGTCTAGGTAGGTCGTTCCGTAAAGGATTTTTAGTACTTTATCAAGTTCGATCGAGATAAATATGATATTGGTCGAATGCATGAATATGTTGGACACAAATCTGTGTATATATCGCGATCATTTGTGTCCGATCTTATCAAATAGAACTTGAATATTGAGGCACCCATTTCATATGTAAAATCTGATGAGATTACATGCATGGCAATAACGTAGATGCGAGTAGGTAGTTACCAGTTTCACCACAAGGTGGCTCGTTCGGGTCAGATAGCATGGCGGGTATAGTAGAAAGTTCCCTTTAACTTAAATAACATCTGTTTTAGTGGTTCAATTTTTATATAACCCTTATGTATCTAATAGTTATGGAAATTTAAATATATCCAGTAAAAGAAAATGCTATCTATCTAATACAAGAAAAGATATTTCACTTTTTGTGATTTGGTAACATGGGCTCTATGGAGAATCAACCCGAACTAGAAGTCACACTTTCAAAAATAATTAGATTTTCAAACTTGATAAACAATTTTCGAAACCATATTTCTAGAAGTACTTTTACATGTAGATTTCAAATATAACATCGCTTTGACTGAATTTTGAATATTTAATGGCGTAAATCAAGGTTTTTTCTACTCGCATCTAGTCTATTGCGCACATGTCAACGCATCTTAATTCTACAATACATATTGTGACACCATAGTACTTTTCGCAACGTTTGACATGTAATCATGTTTTAAAATGTTTGAAACTTTCCACGATTTTGAAAAATCGCGTGCACCTAAAATGTTACGCGTGACGGCGTATTTCTAACGTTTTGACTAATGAAGGACGCTCTAAAATGAAGAAACTCATGTAAAATACACAACTGAAGTTTTAGAAGGAACCTTTCCGAAGATTTTGCAATATAACATGGGTATGTTTGCCTTCAGAACTTTCCCAATATTTACATGATAAGAAACTCGAACGTCAAAATTTGAAATAACTAGTTACTTTGACAGAAAGTCAATATAACAAAATGGATGAACTTCCTGGTTTCGAGTTTTTTGTTTTCTCGATTTAAACCTACTTTTAAGTCAAGTTGCAGATTATAATTTGGCACAAAGCTAGAAAATAGTCAAGTTTTAATAAGTTTCTTCGATTTGGATTTTGTTTTATAAATGAAGTTGCAATTCATATATATATGTAGCCCCTCGTTTTGTTACATGCGATGGTCTAAATGCATGAATTGCAGCTTTATTTAAAAAAATCAAATTCCAGAGCCGAGAGCATTTCTAAAAGCTATAGACTTTATTGTCTAACTTTGTGCCAAATGATAATCCGCAACATGACTTATAAGTAAGTTTAAATCTCGGAAATTCATCCTTTACCACTGAGCAAAAAGTGGTGACATATTGTTATGGTTTCCGTTTTTTATGGCGGCGATCGGCGGTTGGCGTCTGTAACAAATTCTGAAAACTTCCAATTAGATTTAGCAATTAGACAAGTAGACTCACAGGCTGGTATCGAAAGATTTGTCCGCTGTGACGGAGCATGCTATTTTTCATAAAAACACTAAGAATGCTTCACGATTTATTTTTTAACTCATATGTTTCGTTATATCAAAGATAATTACTTACTCCATGCAATTGATATATCATTTGCGTGTAACCTTCACTTCTGTTTGAAGTCCAATAACGCTAGGAGTAAAATCTATTGAAAACGGCGCCAGAGTATCAAACTCTAAAATGTACCATTTCTTTTTTAACTTTTTAATAGCATGATATAGTGACACGATAATATTAACATATGTTTTCAGCATAACTCTGAATGTATTAATGAGATATTAATGCATTGGGTCTTTTTAATTTTTTTATAAAAAATAAAATTAATATTTTTTTGTCCGCTGTGACGGAGCATTTTCACAGTTAACATTTGCAACTGCTCCGTCACAGCGGACAAAAAAGTTAAGCATTATTTTTTATAAAAGAATTAAAAAGATCAAATACATCAACATCTCATTTATACCTTCATAGTTATGCTGAAACCATGTGTAAATATTATCGTGTCACTATATCGTGCCATTAGAAAGTTAAACAAGAAATGGTACATTTTGAAGTATGATACTCCGGGGCCATTTTCAATAGCTTTTCTTCCCAGCGTAATTGGACTTCAAACAGAAGTGAAAGTTACCCGCAAATGATATATCCATTGCATGGAGTAAGTAATTTTGTATGGTATAACGAAACATATGAGTTAAAAAATAAATCGTGAAGTATTCTTAGTGTTTTTTATGAAAAATAGTATGCTCCGTCACAGCGGACAGATATTTCGATACCAGCCTGTGAGACTGACTTCGGGTTTTTTCAAAATCATCTACAAGTTTTCAGAAGTTCAATTCTGATTTTGGAATTGACCTTCTCAGTGTAAAAAAAGGTCAAAAAGGTATTTTTCCAACTTGCTTCAAATTGACCAATTTTTTTCAAAATCCTCTACACGTTATCGGAAGTTGAAATCTGACATAAGATTTAAGATTTGACCTTCATTGACCTTCTCGAGGTAAAAAAGGTCAAAAAGGTCTTTTTTCAACTTGCTTCAAATTGATTTTTTAAAATCATCTACAAGTTATCAGAAGTTCAAATCTGACTATAGATTTGAGCTTCAATAACATTCTTAAGGTCAAAAGAAGATTTGACTTTCACTTTTTTCAACTTCCTTCAAATTGACCATTTTTTCAAAATCATCTACAACTTCTCAGAAGTTCAACTCTGACTTTAGATTTGAGATTTCACCTTCAATGACCTTCTCGGGTTCAAAAAAGGTCTTTAGTCAACTTGCCTCAGATTAACCAATTTTTTCAAAATTAATTATAAGTTCTCAGAAATTCTCGGAGAAGTAAGTAGAGAAGTAAGTCTTAAGAGGTAAGGCTAACCATCTGACGGATCCAGGTGCTAACGAGGGGGACCATCATGATAAACCATGACATCTCATTTCTTCCAGGCCCGTAGCCAGGGGGGGGGTTCGCAGGGTTCGGACGAACGCTCCCCCCGCCCTGGCCAAAAATTCTTTCAAATTTTATGAAAATTGAACCCCCCCCCCCCCTTGGCAAATCCTGGGTACGGGCCTGTCTTCTCAGCCCTGTTTCAGGTGAAACAGAAAGATGCTACGAGTATCAGAATGAGGGGGGTCCCAGATTACAAGTTCTAAAATATCTTCCGCACTGCAGTGCTTACAGTTATCATGGGCTTTCAAGAGAAATTCTATTGTGACAAACTTTCGTCTGTACTACATAGACATCAGACATATGATAGGATCACGGGGGATAGTGTCGGGGGATAGTGTCGATTGACCAGGGCTTGAAAAATTTCAGAAAAAACTTCATGAAGTATCCACATTAAGCAGTCATACACAAGCCCAAGATACTAGAATAACACCCTAAATGATATAGGAAAGAATAATTCAAACCTCAATCTTGGCATTCTAGCCAGGATTCTAGGGCCAGAATACTGTAAATGCAGGTGGGTCCGTACTGGCCAGGATTTACCGGGGGGAGCGGTTTTACCAAGGGGGAAGCTTTTGCCAAGGGGGGTGGGCTTTTTAAAATGACAGTTTTGGCAAAGAATCATGCGAAAAGTGCTCAGAATAGTGAAAAACTGCATCGCGCCGGGGGGGGGGGCTTATTTTTGACGAATGGGCCATTCGGATCGCGAGACGCATGGAATGCAGGGGGAATTTTACTTTCATTAAGGACTTTCATCCTTGAAGTATGGAGATACGAGACCTACACTTATACAGTTTCATCAGTAGAGTAACTAACAAATAAACAAGAAAGAAATGAAACTGGGACATGTACGTTTAACTTACAGTATTATCATGTATTTTCCCGGGACTATTGTTGCAGTTTTTCGCCCAGTGTAAACTAAGTTTCCGGAAGTTGCGCCGAATAGCTGCGCGTGTTTCCTCTAGCAACAAAATGAGAAATATTCAGTTTTCCTACATTATATTACGAAAGAACAGTATTTCTGACATCCACGACTTAAACCAAAATAATTGAAATGTTCCTGCATAAGGTATGTAAGATTTTAAAGTGAAATATTGTCATATGGAAGTCGATTTTTGAACGAAGCTGTCGCCAAGATAAACAACATGGCGGAATTTTTTTAGGCCTTACGGTGGAATTGAATTATATAGACTACAGTGTAGGTTTCCCACAGTGAGCACTATCAATCTTCAGATATTAGGCTGATTTTATTATATTAGATAGATAGTGCTGACTTTGAGGTTTCCTCATCGTGCTTGTGCTTTCTATCAAAATGTTTATCGACACAAACCTCTATTTCTATTTATTTAAGATGCAACAGGCTTACTCGAGTCTCTAGCCAATACTTGGCTAGAGGGGATTCATCTGGAATACTGTGAACTCTATTTGAAAAAAGCTGCCGGGGTGTCATAAATTTATTGAATATTTTAAAAATCGCCAGATAAATAAATCATTAATCAAACCGGACCCAGCTCGGCTCCTTGATGAGATATGACATGATTTCATCAGGATTTCGTCTAAAATTAAAACAAAATGGCTCCAAGAAAAATGGCGATGTTCGAAAACTGGACGAAATGTCGTTACGTCTGACATTAGTAACTGGCTGTAAATTCTAAGTTAGCGATCCAGAAGATGTGAACTAATACACTGATCACTTTGTGTGTGTTTTGGAATTTTTGGTGAGGTAATAAGACCAAAACTCGCAATTCAAATTGTGATGTGGAAAAATGGCGGACATATGATTTCAAATTTTATGATTACGACATGACCAGTTGTTCATGCAGGAATATATCTGTACTGGAAGGCCACGATACAGTGGCCTTAGAAGAAGGTAACAACAGGCATATTTGCCCACAATGCAAATTTCAATACATACATTTATATAAAATATTAATATTAAATTATCTATAAGTGTAAAAAGTTACTAAAATAGTTAATGTTAATGTAAAATGCATTAGTTGACTAGAGCTAGTGGTAAAATAAGTTTACTAAAAAAAAATTGTCCTCAGCCAGATTCCTAGATTTCTAGCCACGGACATCTAATACGTTCTTCGAACTGCCCTGGAACTATATCTATACCAGGACTGGCATCCAGATCCAAGTAATTTTTAAGACTGCCGACTCTCGTTGGGCTATTTATCCCTATTGACTCAGTTGTTCATATAAATTTACGTACCTTAGATGCTTTGTAATCGTTGAGATAGAAAATATTGTTTCCTAAATTGTTCTGAAAAGCGATAATTATTACTAAATGTACTTTGAACAGGTCGACTGACCAAAAAGTCGGACTTCTGGCACAAGGTCACGTGACCAAATAGAATTTGTATAGATAATATTGATGACGTCACCGCCATCGGTGTAGGTCAGGTCAAAAGTCATCCATCTTGCCATTTGCCCACCGTATTCTTACCAGTCGACAAAAAACGATGAAATCACGTTGAAAATAAAATATACACTTTAAAATTGAGGCTGATTGAATATGACAAGACTCCATTGAATACAGCTGTGCAATTTACAGTCACCAAGATGAGCTAATTTCGGAGAGATTCGGTGAGATTCGGGAATTAAAAAAGGTAAGCCCTTCCGGTTTCCCAACTTCATAAATTTAAAATCCCAGAAGCTCCTTTCGCCAGAAACATTCTCTCTGACTGTGTTTCTAGCCTTAAATTTAGGCCTACAGTAATCTAAAAGACATACCACTGTCAGTATCAGGCCTGTCAACTTGGGACCATACATGAGTGACTTCGAAATGTTGAACACCTTCCTTCAAATTCTGGACACTTTACTGAACACTGGTCAATTTTGGACACCCTAAAGTTTTTCCTAAAGTTCACAAGCCCGTCAAAGGGAGGGGGTGCAAATATTTTTGAAACAAAAGCGTGATTTATTCACATATTTTGGACCAAATGCGTGACATGAACGGCAATCGCGTGCAAAAACTGGATGGAATGCGTTCGCTTTTTTTCGCCTTTCGTTAATTGTATTGGCATTTTATAAAAAAACTATTTTTAAAAATATCAACAAAATGCGTGATATTTGATCATACACACTATGATGTATGATCATACATTATATGACAATCATGCCTAATGCGTGAGGGTTGACAGGGCTGCAGTATGCACTTAATATGGGGCAAGCCAAAATCATTAGTCTACATTTTCTCTTAACGTAAGCGCCTATTGATAAAAGCATAAACTACATGTAGCTGAGCAGAAAGATAGTGTCAGATCTTGGAGATTTCTGATGATCATGACTTCTATTCCAGAGATCATATGACTAGAGATTCTGAGAATGTGACGCCACTTCAGATGATGTCACCCAGAGATAACCAAGACACGTCATGCCGTTTCTTGAAATCATAGAAAACATAACTAGGGCTTGTTTAGGCTACGTGATCAGTTGCTTTTATTGACTGTTCAAAGCCATACATTATTATTCCTTGCTGAAAAATTGAAATTATTGTTCCAGTAAAACTCTATTTACAGCATCAATAACTAATATCTTGTCTATGTCAATAATCTGCAAAAGGCTTATAAGCTCTTTTAAAGGAGATATATAATTTAACATGTAACCATTCAAACTGAAATATGAAGAGAATACAGGGCGAATATTGATCAGTCCATGCTTGAGAGATGGTATAGGTAAAGGTCTGCACTTGGGTCATATTTTGGGTAGTCATTTTTGGATTTAAGATTTTTTGGTTTTGTGTCTGGTCTACTCATTATTTCATTGAGCCTACTACTAATTGGGACTGGATCTTGCTCAAGGTCTTTGATTCAGGGACTTTTTAAAGACAGAGACATATAAAACTATATGTATTTCATACTTGAGTGGGTTTGGGGTAGATATCACCCGGGAATATATATCATATCTGAGGAGCGGGCAGGATATATTGTATATGTCCCGCTCTAGGCCAAATGCGGGCAGATATAATATATCCATCCCAAAAGTTTAAAAAAGTTTAAAACTTTAAAAAATTTAAATTTCAGAAGTTTAAAATTTTTCAAAAAGTTTAAATGTTACAATTCTATAGTATTGAACTGAAGGAATATTATGAAAATGTTATATATAAATTGTGCTTTTACAGTATAGGCCTATCTTGTCATTTAAAAAAGGTGGTAAAGGTTATATCTACCTCAAACTCAATTAGGAGATACACCAGTTATGTACGGTCCGTTTTGGATACAGTGTTTATCCCGCAGGAAATATGTGTATCTCACTCGGTCCCTGCGGTCCCTCGTGAGATACACATATTTCCCTTGGGATAAACCCTGTATCCAAAACCTCCCAGTACATAACCCTTATATATGTCTCTGTTAAAGACCTCTAATCATTGATGGTTGTGGGAGTCATGTGTTCTTTTATGTTCACCACCCTAAACATATACATACAAATACATGTCACAGCCTTTTATTTGAGTTGTGGACCACTCAGTTAAACACTAAGATCACATAACTCACAAACACCAGTGAAGTGCAAATCAAACCCTGGTTCAAGCGATAGTGGTAATCTTCGCTCTGCCAATAAGCCATAGTGGGTGGACATTTAAAATAGTATACAAATGTATATGTATTCATCAGGATTTGTGTATGATTCCTTGAGTGAATTTGAAATAGGATGAAGTTTGGCATCTAAGACATCCCAGCAGTTTTAATACAAGTTGAAACCTTGTGAATCAAGATGAACCTTTCACTCCTAAAATATGAGTAAAATGTGTATCGTCTAGTTTGAGTTCTAGTTCTCAATATGATATTAATTCTTGAATCAGAGGTTTCACTAGAATTTCTCACAACGGGCTAAATAAATGAAAACAACAGGCAAAATTAATGGAAATTATTTTAACACTGAAAAGTTGAAAACCACCTGTTGCCTGCCAGGGTTGCATGCTGCTAATGAAACCCCGTGAATGATGATTTTTTTTTAATTTCAGACAAAATGAAGGATCTATTTGTGATAACTAAGGCCATCGAGTAGACTCAGTGACTCACCATGCCTGTTGAGCCAGGAATATCTTACCCCCGCTACAAGCCAGTGCCAAACATACAGCCTGATAGCAAGAACCAGGAGGGAATGTATAATGAAACCAATTTAGGATTCAGCCAAGTAAGCAATACTACAATAGACCAACATGATTTTGCTGGTGTTGCATCAAGTCCTCATAATTAACCCATCTCTATCTCTTAACCAGATCACCTACATTCAGATTTAGAAAGTATAAAATTAGGGGGAGTACCCTAAGCTATCATATACTTGATGAATATCACTAAAACTCAGGCCCATAGCCAGTTTTTGCCATGGGGAGGGGGTCCACATTTTAATTCCAGGGAGGGATTCACTATTGACAACATTGGCCCATAATCACTTGAAAAATGCTCAGAATGGTGAAAACTGCATGCGTTTGAAAGATTTTTTACCAAGAGGTGGGAGGGGTCAGCCCTCTGAACGCTTGAAACCAGACCAACTCTTGAACGGAAACATCTCCATTGGTTTCCGCAATATAAGTACCTCATCCAGTCTTTTTCTGTGGGTTGAAATACTCTTTTCTAATTTTTTGATTTTACTTTTTTGAAAGAGAACTTTACCTGCTGCCCTATTTCAGTCCATTGATTTCAAGATCATCTTTTGATCCAGCCATACAGATTAAAAATCTAGGAATATGGTCCAATATCAAAATCCAGCTACCCAACTAGAATTACAGTCTGATAATGGATTAGAGAGGTGTTTAATTTACAGATTTCACTGTATATGTGTATGTTAAGGTCATTAATAACATTAATGTTTTGTATTTGTAGAAAGATGTACAGGGTCGCTATGAGGCAGTGCTGGGACCTTTGTCTCTCTTTGCACCATATCCGCATGAAGATGGTAATTAAATATCTTTAGCCGTCAGTCGTCACACTATAATGATACACATACTTTGATACTTGTGAAAACATTTCTCAGTACAACTTGTATTTCTTTGTCTCTACTTTGACTTATTTAAAACTAAAATGCATGTTTTATTAGAATTGATAAATTCCTATATGTAATCAAATCAATTACTGGAGTGAAAAATCAGTTTTGAAATTGATACATACTTTAGACTAGTGCACTTAAACAATACTAACATCTGTGTGTCTTTTCATATGCTAACATCTCTTACCATTGTAGTTGATATCCCTCACAATTTTGGTCTTGGTGACAATAGCGACTATGGTCTAAGTATGGCTACATAAATATAGATATTTTGTTTTGCATAATATTCTTTAAAAGTTAAAACTGGCTATAAATAAGAAGTACTAGAGTAAATTTCTTTGAAATAAGGTAGAGATAGAAGTCATGTTCAATGGTGTAAATTACCAACACAGGCCCCAATTGAGCTTCGTTCAGATGAGTTGCAGTTTCTTTTTGTGCAATAGTTTTTGACAGCTAGATGGACATGATGGTCATTCCATAGTTTCAATATGAGCCAAAAATGGCAAAGGGCTCATAAATAAAACCAACTTACCTTTGTGATTAATATACATGATGTAATCCTTGGTAACTCAAATGCAAATTGTCAGATTTACTTAATGTCATATGTTAATGCCATATGGACATCTGCTCTGCTCAAGAAATCATTTTCAAAATATCACTGAATAGAATCATGGGATTTCAATAATCTATTGAATTTGGTTCAAATTCTATGGGAAAAAATTCTTATGGGAATAGGACTCTGCTCAAAGAGGAGTTTTCAAGATGGATGCTGAATTCAAAAAGAAGAAATCTGATTGCACGGTTAGCACAGTTGTCAAATTTCTTATGGGCATCAGACCTTTTTTAATATGTTCTCATGTCACAATCATATGTGAAGATATGCCAAAATGTGACAAATACTATTGCCTGGTTATTTTTATCATTCAAATTGAGAGTAATTTGATAAAATAGGTTTTCTGTGGGATTTGTTACATCAGGGAATTGCTGTTTTTCTAGTTGAGACTCCTGAGTTCAAGGCCAGCCATTGGAAACTTTATAAATGTTGTGTATTTGAAAGAGTACTTACTTAGTATAGTATGCTATTGCTTTTTACCTTTAGGATTGCCTGCTTTTTTCTGTCTTAGACATATTGAATTGTTTCAAAGCTGTTTATAGAACACTAATTCTTTACATTTTTAATATTATGATTTTCAATTTGCCCCAATTGAAAAAATTATTGAATTTCCTGTTGTTATAATTTGTAAACGGATATGGTTACATATATTTTAGATACATGTATAGATAAACTACATGTACTGTGTATATTGTGTACTTTGCTATTCACTGCAACCTGCAGTTACATTTAACATTTTTTAAAACTTAGTTTTATGTGGAGGTATATGATTTATCCTTTAGGGATGGACATACAACAGTTCTTAATAGTTAATATATGTAAATATATTGTATAGGATAGGCCTAATTTAGATATATTTGAATGTTTCTCTTCTCCATGTTAAGGCTTTTTATGTAAATGAATGAGATTCCTAGTTAAACACTCACATTGAGCCAATTTAAAATATATAAATTTTGAAAGGGCTCAGTACCTATACCAAATTAAAATATCAAAATAATTTATGATTAGCTTGCAGTAAAAGACTGGAGTAAATAGGGGATCAGAGTTAGGGAATGAACTGTATTTAATATCTACAAATCATATTGTTATTAATTTAGAAAATATGCTATGAAATATTTTTAATTCCCAAGAAATAATACATATTTTGTGAAAATATTACGGGTGCACTCAAAAAAGTCATTAATCTACTTTTTTACATGTTCATCACAATAAAATGTATTTTTACAGTACAAACTCCAGAGCCAATGCTTCTCAACAGACCTGTCACACCTATTGATGTAAGTACAATATCTTCAAGATTACTAATATACATGTATAATATAGTTAATGTCCATAAATTTTTCAACTAATCAATTTGGTATATTTGAATTATCCTTTGGGTGCAAGCAGCTGGGTACAAGGTAATCTTACTCGGCACACAGTTGCTACAAAGCTGTTGACACTGTCATGTTATGCCCACTCACAACCTTGTTTTCAATATGTAAGTTTGTATAGCGTTTAAAATGGGTGAATTTATATTTATGCAGGTAACTTTCTAATAACTGAAACTATGATAAATTTATGGGATATTATCTCATCTTGCCCTTTTTAATGCTCTTATTTTGTGTTTTAGGAAGAAATCAGGGCACCACCTAAAAACTTTTCTAAGCTTGCTCAGTATGTACGACGTAGAATCGCAGTCCGCAATGATGTCCAACACATCTCATCTGATGATCAACAATATCTGGTAAATACATTGATGAAATTATTTTATCATGGATAATGAAACTATACAGTGATCTCCCCAGCATTAAACAGGTGGGTGCAGCACCCATCTGAGATTTTAAAAATAGGCTTGCACTCACCTAAAAATCCATTTGCACCCTCTTGAAAATGAGAGAAAAATCATGAAAATTTTCATATTTTGACCAAATTTTATCTGTTTTTTAAAAATAAGAATTTTGCACCCACCTGAGAAAAAGTCCATTTGTAGCTATTAATAATATTAGCTAAGTCCATGGAAATGATGGTTAAGATAACAATAGACTTATGAATTCATAAATTATATAATTATATGTACATGTACTGTATATGCTAATTGCAGGCTGGCACAATCATGGGAGAAGTCAATGCAATATGGGAGGACATCAGGCTGCAAGTCGATGACCCTTTCTTGGTAATACATCAACTGAATGATTCATTCACAGGGGTTTCGCTAGAATTTCTCACAATAGGCTATAAAGAAAACAACAGGCAAAATTAATGGAAATCATAAATTCAACATAAAAAAGACCCTAAAAACAAGAGGCGATTTTGTGAAAACAACCAATGAAAATTTCCTGTGCCTGCTGCTATGAAACCCCTGCATTCAATTAATGAGACACATACTACATTAGGAAGATGTAAAAACAAACTGCGAACTATGTAGAATGCTCATATTTAAAAGTGTGGATGGAAATACACGAGTATAGGCTGACACTTGCATGTCAGATATGCATGTAGGAAATATTACATATTCCTCAATAAAGTGTGCATAAATTAATGATTTGCTTACATTGATGCACAATACATGACCATGTTTTGACAAATGTAAATGTATAAATTTTATTTTGTGTATACAATCCATACTTTCCTGCATTTCCTAGCTTTCGAAAGCTAACACATATGTCTGATATTTTTCACTGCATCTACTGTATATTTTAGACTCCTGTTGAGAACAGAGAGCTGAACAGAAGGATTATTGTTCACATTGTCACTGTTTGTGAGGAGCTCTTCAAACATTATTTGGAGAAGGCAAGAGGTAAGCTTCGATTAGTCTTTATATGCAAGGGTATATAACAACATAGTCCTAATTTTTTAGCTTAAGTTTTCATTTTTAGCACAGATATTTCCCAAACATTTGAGAGAATTTTTCTTACTTTCTTACATTTTTTTGGAAAATTTCATTCTTCAGATTTTCAACATTCTACAAATATTCTCTCTGATTTACCATTGTTATCAATCACCACTTATACATTATATTTTAAAATCAATATCATATTTCTATAATATGTTGTATTGATATTTCAGTGTTGAATGCCAGGGGGATATTCTCTGGTCCTGCGAACATGAGTCGTTTAAAAGCCCAGTTAGCATTGGATGCCAACAAATTGTAAGTTGAATTCAGTTTCCGTGTGTATTTGATGATAATCTTTGGATTATATAGATAATATGAAAAGATAATCATTGTAATCAGAATGGAAAATGCCATCTTCTAATGTTTTTCAATTAATTATTAAATGTTTGTTAACCATTCAGATTTGACATAATTTTAATAAAAGTTCAAATGATTTTTTAGATTTTTTGATTTTTCATGAATAAGTATTTAAAGCAATATTGTATATGTGTGCAATTATATTTTTAGTCTTAACTTTCTTACCATACGTCGCTACATCGTCAGTGACATGAGGGAAGGGCGCCAGACAAAAGATGATAAAACAGATGATGGATTTGAGTACCCTAAAAAGGCAGCGTTGCCAGAGCAACCAGCCCCATTGTTGTCATATAGAGGCCTGGTGAGTAGAAATATCAACTTTAATAACTTATTTTTCATTAAAAGTAATATACGGTATGCAATTAATATACATATTTTTATATTTTGTGGTTGTATTCACTTTTTCACTCGTTGGTATTTTTTAATTTAAATTCTAACATTTACCTAGAGTTTTGAAGGTTTTTAGTTCTAAAGGTGTTCACTAACACAGGTTATGCTGTATGCTTTTATAAGATGAACTATATCGTGATCATATTTAGATATGATATTTAGATAAAAATCAGGATTTGAAGATTTTGATTGATCCATTGTCAAGACACATTGGTTAATGGAGAGTAATAAAATCAATCAATTAAATTCCATTTTGTCTTTTCAACAACATATGATCTTTAATCTTGTTTGAGTGTCTTGAGGTGCTTACATTACATAGAGAACCTGTCTAACCTTGTTTTAATTAACATGTTCATAGCAAAGGAAGAAAAAGGTTTGTATAATGTTTATGTTTCGTATGGGAGGAGCACTGTGTGTTTTACCGTGCACCATGTACACATTTATATTGTGCCACACTTAGGGGACATCTCAAAGGTTTTACACTGAATTCTACACTATAACTGCCAAACGACCCAAACACCCTCGTTAATGTGATAAATTTTTAAATTAGAGGATCAGTAAAGATGGGAAGCAATCTTTTTAAAAACGATTTTTATCATCAAGTCTAATTTAGACATGTTGAAGGTTTAAAGGAAAAAGGAATAAGAATGGATAGAGAGTGCGAAACTTTGGCAAACAATCTATTAAATTAATACTAGATTATAAGACATAGATTTAAGGCCATTTCAGTTATTTGACAATTTTTTGAAAACTTTTTCTCAACTCGTCTCTATTTTTTCCTTTAACCATCTGGTCTCATAACCCCCCCCCCCATTCTCCTTCCTAAATAAAAGTTATTATTAGTAGAATTCTCTGTAAAACATATGAGTCAATGCTTTATGCACATAAAAACCTATTGTATATTCTGACTTTACTTAGTTTTTAACAACCCAATATTTTGAATGTACATGTACAGTATATAGCAATTCCAGGTTGATAGGAGTCTTTTGCATGAATACTTTAGAAGCATGAAAAGTTATTGCTTTTCTTCCTAGACTGTTACCCTGTACTTGTTCTCTTCTGATCATCACAAGGTCTTTATTGTAATTAGAAATACAGGGTGTTACTGAAAATTGCATGTTTTATGCTTGCTCAAGTTTGAGCTGCACCCTCTGCATGCTTTTTTTAATAAATGTATTTTCAAAATCTTGAAAATGGACTATTTGGCAGATCTTGAAGTTAGCTATACTGTAGTGTCTAATATATGGATGCTATATCATAAATTGAAATAGTTTTGAAAACTTGCATGCCTCTTATGATAAAATCCACTGATACTATGATACATAAATCTATGTAAATGTATAGATTCAAAAATGAGATACAATTTACATTTTACACATTGTTTTTTATATTTTTGGAATTTGCTTTGCTTAATATAGCAGTATATGTAAAATAAAGAGGTATAGTGAATATAGATTTTCCATTATTACTTTTGTTGTGCATTTTTTGCCTTTAGCTAGCTAGTACTCAAATAATGAAATAATTCCCTTGTTATGTCAAATATAAGCTACTTATTTTGATTGGGCTTTGATCTGGTCAATAAAACAGTCACATCATGAGGTCATCCAGTGAATACAAGTTAAAACATGGCATGTATTAAAATATTACTGCCAATACATGTACATAAAATTCATTTGATTTTGCCGCTTTAAAAGAGCGCTTCATCTACAATGTAATATTGATGAAAAAGCTCATGCAGGGTGATTCATGGGACAAATAGTATCATCAATATTTTATTTTGTTCGCTGCATGCTTAGCATTAAAAAAATTAGATTTTAATTTTTTATTGTTTTGTTTCAGTTAAACGCCAGTAGGCCAAAGTCCAAGTCTAAAAAGTACAAGTTTAGAACAGCAGAAGAAGATCTCCAAGAGGTACTGTACTATATATATCTATATGTTTTGTCATTTCGGGTTGTTTTGTCCTTTATGTTCAATACTTTGTTCCTTACGGAGTATGCATTTTATTTATTTCCTCAAAATGAAATTATGAATACATGAAATGTTGATTTATGTTTTTAAATCATTATATCATCATCATTTATACAATTGAAAAAGCCTTTGCCTTACTCCAGTATAGAAAATCTGTTTCACCAATCAACTTTGTTTCAGATGGAAGATAACTTGCCTGTGTTGGACACAGGTAAGCTATTAGGTATCATATCAGACTTGCCTGATCGCAGGGAGGAATTGGAAGAAGAGGCGGAGCTAGTCAATGAGGAGGTCAATCACAAGAGAAAACTTCGAGACACTGAGTGAGTCTGAATTTGAATGTACTACATAAGTGTGATTTACATTTACAGGTGGTAGTTAATTGTAAGAAAAGTACCAGTTGTGATGTACCTGTTGAATACATAGACATGTAATATTTTCATGAATTTTATATAAAAGGTGGCATCACTCACTTAAGGGTGCCAGAAACTGAACTAGAAATGATTGTTTACTCACATTTTAAACACATTCAATTATATGCATGTACTTCAGACATTTTGAGCAAAGACTTTCTAGTTTTGAGCATACACTTTGTATATTCCAGGCGTTTTGAGCTGAGCTCTCGGGAGAAGATCATGTTAAAGCGCTGTGGTTCCCTGCCTCAGATCCACTATGGAGAGACCCTTGCTGAGGAGCTTGGTCTTGATGAGGATCAGAGAGACATAATGAGCCAGATGGAATATGCTGGCCCATATGAGGAAGTAGAACAGGAGGTGTGTATTAGAGTGTCATTTGTTGAAATAACATTCTGCAAATTCTATTTTAGATATTGTCCTTATGGTGACATGCTTATGTGTGACATGTTTCTTTTTTCATTGTCACGATACATATTTCTTTATGACGGTATGCTTGATTTTTGATGTTTTATTGGTTGATCTTTATTTTTATTTCATTAAATTTATTGATTTTCTGTTTCACTCATTCAACAAAATATGGCATATGTGACTTATTGACACCAATATGAAAAACACTACATAGAGTATTATGTCACCACCACAAGTGCTATCATATTGTTATAATCAACCTTTTTGTGGATGGTGTTTGGCAGATGGGGTTTGGTGGTCAGTGTTTGGCATTTTGTGGACAGTGATCAATGTCGGTAACAAATGGCAGGTGATGACATTTTGCATGTTAATGCCTTGTATTCATATAATGTCTGTGTTACTATAGGATGATGACATAGATGAAAATGAGAAGGCCCAGTTAGACTCCATGGCTTATGCAGCTCAAGATCTTGCCAAGTTAACCATGCGATATGATGAGAAACATCCGGAAGAAAAACCAGATGAAGACCTACCTCCCTTATTACAGGTGCGCAATTTAACCTTACTGTAGAACATGTTACGATAAAACTGTAAATTTGAACATTTATAAAATGGGCACTAAGAAAGATATACACTGTTATTTAGTTCCCTTATTTAGATGTCTCATTAAACGATTACATGACATCAGACCTCCAAGTCTCAATTAATCCAAGCCCTCGGGTCTAAATATTTATAACATGAAATGTTATTCTCAAAGGTAAATTACACTGTAAGAATTGAGAGTTTAGAAAATGACATTACAGGTTTGTAAATACTGAATACATGAATGCTTTTGTAGGCTCTAAGTAGTACATCCAAGCATGACAACAGGAAAGAACACCTGAAAAGGCAATTAGATGAACTAGAACGCAAGGAGCAAGAATACCAAAAGCAACAAAAGTATGTACTTTTATATGTTAGCTATTAAGCTACATGTAATACTGAATATTGTGTCTTCTCAGATGTTGCACTTTTTGTTATTTCCACATGTACTTTACATTGTTATCTGTTCACACAAATGTGTTTTAAGTCCGTTACATTGCACCTTTAGCTTATTGATATAACGTGGATGTCTGGCATGAGCTTGAGCACCAATCCGGGTACATCGGAATTTCTAGATTTTGCCAGAATGATGACAGTATGTATTGTAGATGTATTCAATATACCATACACATTTTACACATGCACAGTATAATGTTCAATTTAAGCATGTTGAGTGTCAATTCCCATTGACATTGAACTGATTTGTTTTTTTAATTAGAATGCTAATATAAGAGGTGGAACCATATTTGGAATTAAATATTAGAATAGTTTTTGCATTCAAATTTTCTTAAATTTCTTGGAAACATCTTTTAATGCACTCTGTTCTTCTATTGAGAAATGGCAAGGAAGGCACACTTTTACTTAATCATCACCATCTGTAAAGCATGTGTCACTGCATGTTGCTATGGTTACAGCATTCAACTAGAGGAGCCTCTTCAGCCCCAGCCTGCCACTGTAGCAGCTAAAATGCCAAATAAGGTATGTGACCTAAATATTAAGATTTTGCCATTGTGTGAAAAGATCCAGTATTCATATATGAAACCATCAATCAAATAAAAGTTTTCTTTTTTTAAATAAGAATAGGAAATTACAAGTATGTTAATTTTTTTTTAATTTAGAAAGGAATCTTGAATATAGCACTCCAGTAGGTAGCCATATTTTTGTACTTTTCCAAGTATGTTCCTGTGTATTTATGAGAAATATTGTCATAATGAATAGAGACAGAGCTGCAACAAGTATCTAAGAATTTGTATTATTTTATAGATGATAGTGCGCACATCAGATATCCGTGTCTCTGAGAGAGTCTGTATGAGCTCTATCACAATAAACCAGTACAATCCAGTTTATAATGACCTTGTAGATGAGGTAAGTTGTCCCTTAAAACAAGAACATGTTCTCTGGCTTATGTGAAAAAACACTCAACCTCATTGACATGTACTCTGGCTTATGTGAAAAACACTCAACCTCATTGACATGTTCTCTGGCTTATATGAAAAAACACTCAACCTCAGTGGAACTTGTACTTAAAGTATTATATATTATGAATATAAATCAAAAAACAAAAAAAAAAGATTTTTCCTGTTTTGTATTATCTTCAGACAACCTTTTAAATAGGCCTATCCATTTATTCTCATTATATGTTATTATCTCTTTCCTTTGAATTCCAACAAATGCTAAAACGAAACCATATCATAAGATTGACCACAGAAAATGAAGCTATTGTGTCATATTTCAGATTGACCCCCAGACTGTGAAGGCTTTGGACAAGAATTTGTTTCTTGGAGATGAAATTAAGGAAGTTTATAAAGAGATTATGAAAACTGTGCCAACCGACCATCTTGATATAGAAAGAGTAAGTCATATTGTGTCTGCAACTTTTAAGGGTATTCTTAGAAAAAATGACACAATTAAAGTGAATTATTGAATTGTTTGGTTTAACATACATTGAGATATTCTGAATAATTATTGAATAATTTGGCGTTCCTTTTTTATTATTATTTATTATTAATTTTATTCATATTCTATGTATTTATGCTGGTCTAGTTCACAAAATATAATATTTGATTTATATTATTTTCTTCACATACAGTCTTTTTTCAATTTATCAATATTTAATTGCATAATATAATGAGGATAAATCTGAAAAGGAAATAATTAGCCAAGTACATGTATATACATGGACAGATGCAGTAAAGGCAGGTTTAAAGTGTGTTAGCGAATCATTGACCCTTGTGGGATTCTAACCTGCCACTTCTCATTTTCTAGTCTGACACTACGCCAACTGAGCTGCCTAAATTAAGTTAGAGTATCTGTGCTGTAGCAACTTCCTATCCTTGTGAGTTACACTATATAAACTTAATGCTTTACATTTTAGGGTGACATTGTTGAACCAGTAGCAGACTACGCTGATTTGTCAAAGTGTCTCGCCTCTGCAACTCTCGGGAAGAAAAAAGTTGATCGTGTGATCAATGAGTCACTGCAAACACGTCATGAACCACCATGGCAGGAGAAGGGTGCAAAGGAATGGGTCAGAACGTATGTATTCATTATTATACCATTTGTACATGTTTACTGATGTTTCAAGATAGTTTAATTGATAATTTGGTGAATGGTTCCATAAATGAAAATAAATAAATAGCTCTCGTACATTGAACTATTGAATTGATCCCTAATACTGACATGTTTCCTACAGCATGTTCTGCGACAGACTCACATATATCTTGAAATATCATTGAATAGTTAACACAGGATTGGTTTTTATTAGTTTACCCTGGATTAGGTTTTATTAGTTAACACTGGAGACAATTTTATCAGTAAACACTGGATTAGTTTTTATTAGTTAAGCCTGGATTGGATTTTATCAGTTAACACTGGATACAATTTAATTAACACTGGATTGGATTTTATTATTAACACTGCAGTGGTTTTATTTACTGTAAAATAAATATTCAATAGCAGAGGCATCACTTTTCATTTAATTTCAATCAATGATACTAAAATCTAAAATTTTGTATTTTTGTGAATTTCTCTTGAATTATTGAATCCAATATCTCAAAATACATATACAGTACTCAGTAGAAATCTGATGCCTTTGAATTGGAAGTATTTTCAGTGGTGCATGAAATAACTGCAAAGTAGTTGCTATTACCTGTACATTAAGAATTCTTGTATAAGTTTGTGATGACCTGATATTTTAAGAACACGTATTGAACATTTACTTTAGTTGTCTATAGTAAAATTTTAAATGTTTGTGGGTACTTTGAATTTAAAAAATAAGCAATCAAATGACCAAATTGAAACAGTTTATGTAAAAATAGGAACATTTATATTTATCCTAACTTTTGTATATTTTAGTTTGTTTTGTAGTTTAGCTATCATATCTGTGTTCTCTTATATTTTGATACTTCTCTGCCAAGTTATTTTCTGAAAAATTAGCATGGCTGAAACTCCCTAAATTACAGAAGTCCACAGCTTTGCTGCACATTATACATTACTATCTGAAATATACAAAAGTTAGGATAAATATAAATGTTTCTATTTTTACATAAACTGTTTCAATTTGGTCATTTGATCGCTTATTTTTTAAATTCAAAGTACATGTACTCACAAACATTTACAATTTTACTGTACAATTTAGTTTTCATGTAGGAATTACTCATTTTCTTAATACAATTATCCTATTAAGAAAGTGTGTGTGTACATTGTGAACAGTATTAGAGTACGAGGGTTGATCCAAAAGTTCTCCACCGTTTTACCTAAAAAAAAATTTCTTGGTGAATTTTGCTCATACTTGGTCAGGAGCAACATGTATATGATAGCTTGGTATTGTATTAATATCATTGAAAAAATATAATATTAACTATGTCATTTGGTTACCATAGTAACAGGACAATGAAGTAGGCGGAGCTGAATAAAATCACTGTTTATTACAATATCTTGTCAAACAATGTGGTATTATTATAGAGTTTTAACCAGGGGTTTAACATTAATGAAGGCTTTTATTTGATGCAATATCAATGTTCATTCTCCCTCAAAATAGACCCCATCATGAGCTATGCATTTATTGCATCGTTTTATCCAATTATTGAACACATGCCGAAGTCCATTCTCAGCGACTGAATACACACTGTTGGTAAAAGCTTCAATCGGCGACTCATCATCTGCAAAATGAATCCCACGGAGGGGCTTCTTAGCTTCGGGAAACATGTGGATGTCACAGGGAGCTGTATCTGGGGAATATGGGGGATGCTTGACAAGTTCTGCTTGTAAATGCTCATGTATAACTTCTATTGTAAGATTAGCTCTGTGGGCAGGGGCGTTGTCATAATGGAAGTAGAAGCCATCTGCAATAAACTCTGGCCTCTTCCTCCCGATGGCATCTTTCAGATTCTTCCTTAGCAACTGAAACACATCAATAATGATACCTCAGTTCATTTTCTATTATCACGAAGAGACCCACATACATGTACATGACATATTGTATAACTATGAAGGTACCATGGAAAGGCATATTATATCAACTAAGACATTGAAGAAGTCAAGTGTCTAAAACACAGAGTCCAAGTCGGGTCCAAAACCCGGGATTCACAACTTACCTTTGAATAATATGCAGAATTCACAGTATCTCCAGTTGGCACGGCGTGAACGAGGATGATTCCGTGGATGTCGAAAAAGACGATAAACATCACTTTAGATGCAGATTTCTGTACCTTTGTCTTCTTTGGCCTATCCAATCCATCTCAACAGTACTGGCTTCACTAAGAAGTCCCTCCGTGGGATTCGTTTTGCAGATGATGAGTCGCTGATTGAAGCTTTTACAAACATTGTGTATTCAGTCGCTGAGAATGGACTTCGGCATGTGTTCAATATTTGGATAAAACGATGCAATAAATGCATAGCTCATGGTGGGGTCTATTTTGAGGGAGAATGAACATTGATATTGCATCAAATAAAAGCCTTCATTAATACTAAAACCCCTGGTTAAAACTCTGTAATAATACCACATTGTTTGACAAGAAATTGTAATAAACAGTGATTTTATTCAGCTCCGCCTACCTCGTTGTCCTGTTACTATGGCAACCAAATGACATAGTTAATATTATATTTTTTCAATGATATTAATAAAATACCAAGCTATCATATTCATGTTGCTTCTGACCAAGTTTGAACAAAATTCACCAAGAAATAATTTTTTTAGATAAAACGGTGGAGAACTTTTGGATCAACCCTCGTATATTGATTCACTTTATATAGAGAAGACCTTGCTGTAGCTATTAACCTTATACCTTTGTTAACATACACTTAGTACACTTCTTTCTTCTTATGGCTGCTCCAGAATTGCAGGGTTTGTATTCATATACAAATATTTAATAGTCTTTCTGCCACCTTTCTGTTGCCAGCCTTCTTCTGTAAGAATTAAGCTTAAAGAAGATAATACAGGGTGACACACAAATGCAACTCTTTAGTTTTAGAATAACTGATCAATAATGATGAAATCTGTGGATTCTCTCGTGTATAGATTAAGAATTCAAAATTGGAAGTTTGCAATTTTTTGTATCACCCTGTATGCATATCATGTGTGGCATTTTGGCATTTTCAAATCTATTCAGTGTAAGAATAAAATGAGATAGAAACAAATGATGAATGTGTTGAAATGGATCGAATACATCATAAAAATACGATTTTTGAAGGCTTGCTAGAAAATTAGATTATGGACTAATTGTTGTTACACATACCAATTTGTTAGCTCATATGCTCAGTAATAATGAAATCAGGATTTTCAAAATCTGGAATTAATTTTACATCACAATATGTTCTAGAAGTCACCTTTCTGGATATATGTTAAAGGGATTCAATGATTACTGATTATCATGTCATGGGTGTTGCCAGCTTTCAGTCAGTGGGGGGGGGGTGATCATGGCACAAGCGAGCCAAAAAAGATTTTTTTAGGATTTGTTTTGAATTTCATGAAAAGTTGGTGTAACTTCCTTTAAAATTGAGCAAGAAGCTTCAAATAAAAAGCATTTTAAAGCTCTTTTTTGGTTATGGGGGGGGGGTGCACACATTACACCCCCCCCCCTGGCTACGCCTATGCATGTTATACATGTATTACATTCCCACCTTCAGTAGATGAATAGAATGTAGTACTGTTATTCCCTTGCTGTGTTCCCTTTCCACCTCTTGCAAAGTGTGATTGACAAGTATAGATGTTTTTTATATGATCAATTTTACAAGATTTGTTTAAAATGATATCTTATTCCTTGCATAAACCAAGTTTAATAAATAAAATCACAAAGAATTAAAAATTACGAAATATTTATCGTAAAGTTTTTGATATGATTTTGGAGTCACTACATATATGAAGCTTCAATAATAGCTTATTGTACGAAAGCTTATGTACAGAATAGCTTATTTTACTGCTTATGTACAGAATAGTCTATCTATTTATGGTTAGATTTAGTGATGTTCACCTTGCTTCAGTTTGGGAAGTGTTACAACTTTAAACTAGTTTTTTCCTACCGATGGAATCATATCTGGATTTGGGCACATTTTACATTATAGATTTTTTAGATTATAGATTATATGTTTTTAGGCAGCCATTTTGAATTTTTAAATAATTTTTATATGATTTTTATTAATGTTCTTGTGTTCAAAATTCCAGGAAATCTACTGTCTCATTTAATAATTTTAATCATATTCTGTTAATATTTTTAAGTATTTAAATTTTCTTTTATAATACCAGTTTAACAGCACATGGCATTGACAAGGATTCACAATATATTCTATCAAGTCAATTAACATTCATAGAAGAATTGCAGGCCTGTAGCTAGGGGGGAGCAGAGGGAGCCGCCCCCCAATCCCCCACCCCTGGCCAGAAATTGTCATGCAGATTTTCACCATTCTGAGCATTTTTGCATGTCTTTTTGCCAAAACTGTAAAAAAGCTCCCCCCTTGGCAAAAACCCGGCAACCCCCCCCCCCCCTTGGTTTAACCGCTCCCCCAGGTAAATCCTGGCTATGGGCCTGAACTGATAGGACCTGAAACAGTTTTGTGCATCTTTGTAAAATGCTGATTGATAATTTTGACTTTTATTTAACATTTTTTTAACATTTTTACTGCATGAGTTTTCTGTAATATTGTTCTGACTTGTACTGTTAACATTCTCTTGTGTGATGTTACAGTTTAAGGACCAAACTAGATCATGACCGTGCTTTGGAAGCTGATAGGTAGGTGTTCTACTGTAATAATCTCATGCACTGTACTATAATACTGTACTGTAGTGTACTATACGGTACTATACTGAACTGTACGATGTACTGTACTGTACTGTGCCTATGGAACCATCCACTCATTCAGTTTGTCCTGTCTTTGTTTGCCTTTCAACTATTTTTGAAAAAATTAATGCTGCACCAATACTCATATCCATTTTATAGGGGTCCATTTCAGTAAATGACACCATTGGTCCATTGGCAAATCTGCTTTAGTACCATATGAGCCCACCCAAGGTGGGCTCTGGAGGATATGATTTTATAAATTATATTTTTGTGATTTAGTCTTGCAAGAAGTGTGGTTCTCATATTTTTCTAATCTAGTATATTTTGGGGACACAAGAGCTTGGTTCAACCTTATAGTGTTAAGTCAAGTCAACCTTATAGTGTTAAGTCAAGTTAACCTTATAGTGTTAAATCAAGTCAGTATAAGTTTTGAGATAGCTTGAGTAATGCAATATGAATATTAAGTATTATAACATATTGATTGTGAGTTTTTACAAGATGTTTATATTTACACTCACTGTTACAGGCCGGGCTCTCCACCTAAAGACAAGAAAGGTGTTGCCTTACTGGACCCCATGGTAAGATTCGCCACTTACACCTCATGTTGTTGTTCTAATGTTATAAAGACTTCTTACTGTAAAAATATTTTATTTGGGTTAAGTGTAAATTGTAACTGGTATCTCCCATGTTATTTTGTGTCAAGAGAAAATACATGGGAGTTGGTAAAACGAATTATATTGTGTACCCCAGTGTGAAAATATTAAAAATATCAATAAGTATCAAAGTATTGTCCCTCTAACTGACAGTGATTTTCTTAAAATATTTTTACATTCATGCCAAACATATGTTGGAGTATATTCATTTTTGTAGACCCCAGATGTTGCCAAGATCATGGACATCTCAAATAAGATTAAAACACATGATCCCAACCTGCCTTCCATGGCTATGGACTTTGCCTCAAGATCCTACGCCTCTTGGCTGAACTGGTGGAAACATACCATTACTAGTGATGATTATATGAAGTACTTATCAACTCAGGTAGGTCCTTAAATTTGCTGTTCAGGGTGACCCAAAAGTGTAAAAGAGAGTGATTACAGATATTGAAGGAATCGTTACAACTCTGGGCAGTTCTGTGTTATGAGTCACTATTGTAGAAACCAAAATTTCAAGGGCTGTCCTGGTTTTTCCTGTTACTGCCTCTTTAAATCATCTCATACATTTGAATAGAATGAGAAAGTAGACTAAAACACAAAGGGCAACACTTTTACAGATGATTGTTTATTTTCAGGAATCTGACTACATCAACACAATCTTCCACTTCTATGATTCAGAAGAGGAAGATGATGAGGAAGAGATGCGGTCGCCATCACAACAGACTGCATACACACAGAGGATAGAGAGAGCCAGGTAACAGATCTGGAGTACACTGTGTTTTTTATTGTATTTGTATTATAAGCTATTAGAAATATTCTGGAAGGATAAAATGAAACTGAAATTATTAGCAAAGTTAAATTATTACTGTTAGGCTAATGGTATTTTCATAAATAAGTCAACTCAAAGAGAAAGAATTCATAGTAGACTGATCATCAACAAGTATTTTTTAATGTTGGGAGTTTTTTTTGGTGACGATGAATTAATAGCGAACTTACAAAAAGGAACATAACTGAAATAAGCACTCTGGGGGGGGGGGGGGTCACTAAAATACTTAGAAATTATTATCCCTTGATATTAGGACATTATGAAAATTTGGAATTGATTTTGAAAATGGCTCCATTTTTAAAATATGGCTCAAAATCCCCAAAGATCTACATGCTCACGTTAAGTGGATTATATTTTCAGAGAGAAAGAAGAGCAGATTGAGGAAATGCGTAAGCAGAAAAAAGAATATGAGCCAGGCATGTGGAACGTCAATTCTGTCTTACTAGGTGGACTAGGGAAAGACCCAGCAGATGAAGGTTTGGATTTTGTTTGTTGAGATCATCTTGTGATACCTGAGCAAATGTTTTGCAGTGCCTCTTAAGTATTGACAGCTTTACTTCAAGATGCAATATACTTGAAAAGATCTTCTAAATTGTTAGTCATACATTCATTGTACATCATATTTTATATTGTAATATCATGTAGCAATTTCATTACAAATTCCCAATATCTTGCAGTTTTTGGTACACATTTGGATTAATTATTGAGAAGCTGTTTAACATAACATGTACTGTTTAGTCATTTTTAGAAGAGGAGTGGGTGACATTGTATTTTTATACACACTAATAATGAAGTGTACCTAGTATGAAATTACTGCAAGTGTAGCAATCCACAAGGGAAACATACATATATAATTTTATTTTATGAAAAATGAATCTGTGTCAGAAAAATCATCAAGATGTCGAAATGACTTATATGTGCAGCAACTGTTTCCATGGTGATTTTCAGAGGAGGAAGATGTAGAGAGTCAACATGAAGGAGGACTTCTCCCTACACGCCCTTCAGATACCAGAGGATCACAAAGATCTGGAACTATGCTTTCCTTAAAATCCCATAACCTGTTGGATAGACCTGCCAGCCATATTATCATAAAAAATCTTGTGCCTAGAGACTTTTCAAGGTAATGTTAAGACGGAAAAATAGTGATTCATCTACACTTGAAGAGTGGTGATATACTTGAAGTACAGTTTATAAAACTACTGGGTTAAGTGCTACAATTAGGTTTTCCCTCTCTGAGTTAGATAATATCATACTTGTTAAAAACATGAAAGTAATAAGAAGGCACAATTACCAGATGACAGTTACATAGTTTTTATCATTAAAAGAGAGATTCATATACAGAAATTACAATATACAGTAGCCTCAGTTCTGGGCTTATGGGAATATTCATGTATATTATAGTTATCTTGTATCTGACAATTTTGATCTAAAATTATATCAAACACCTGCTGCCATCTTTATGTCCATCCATTTTCTTATTGGTCACAAATTCAACATATCTGCTTCAGAACTGACATTGCACCATCAAGGTTGACCTTGTTAACTCAACACACTGACACCAAATCTACAATCACCAAGAAGTCTGAGAAAATGCTGAGCCCCCAGGACCGTTTAGAGAGAGTTTGGGCGTCCCTACAGATGCCTGATGCACAGAAGCTAGACATGGCAATAAAATACAGCTCACATGATCACTTTGAAAACCTTGAAAGGGTAAGTGTGATGTGATGTTAATGTCCAATTAATGTATAATAGTCATTATGTTTGGAGGTCATTAATCAAAGCAAGGTGTCATATAGACATGTACTCTAATATAGACCACCAATATTCAATTGTATGCATGTTCCATTGACTACAAAATTGAAGTGAACAATTTTATTTTTATTTCATGGTAATTTCATTCTGTTTTCTTATCAAGTGGTTTTTCATTTCTTTCTACTGAATATTGAGTATTTTCTCTAAATTGTAATAAACATAAAAAGAACATCAACTTTTCTTTAGAGTATTGAAGAGTGGGAGAGGGCCACTAGGTTGGTTCTACAGAGAGAGGAACTAATAGCAAGATTGGAAAAGTTTGAGAGAGAAGCCTCAGATCCTAACAGATTCTTTGATAAAGGTGAGAACATTTGAAAAATCCCACCCCCCTCGTTGCATTCCTTTAATGCCATGTTCAGTGCTCTATCATTGAGAAAGATGTTGACTCATGTTGTCTTGCCACAGCATCGACAATTGCATTAATAATAGCAAGGGAAGGTCATGCACAACTGATAGACTGTAAGAAAACATCTTTAGTTTTCATAGATGGTGCATGTTGTTATGAATAATGCAGATTGTTTTGTATACTCTGGTTACAATTGCCATTAAAACTATATCTGGCAATCAATAAAAGGTGGATTGAGAAATGAATCAAATCAGAAACTATTTTCTCAAGATCCCTATAGTACATCTCTGATTCTAGCTTCATCCAAAATACACATTATCAATTTCTGTAATATATCACTTACGTAGATATTTCTTTTTTAAATCATTATTAGATGGCAAGCTTCCAACACAATCTCTTATCTTGAATTTATTCATTTGATTTATTCAGAACCAAACACCATTCTGACTGTTTGTATGTCAAACAAGCCATTATTTTGTTGGCTCATTGCTTCATCCAGTTATTAGATAATACTTACCTTGTCTATATTTCATGTGACTCAATATTTATGATATTTAACCTTATTCTAAGTTACCTTTGTTTGATTGTAGGTTACCGTGGTTCCTCAGTTGCCAGGCTAGATGAGGCTAGACATAGAAGCAGTTTATATAGGGTAGGTTTTCATGTACAGTTGGTTTGAATAGGAGGAATCCATAGGAATGATCAACAGTTAAGTTGTGGTGAGATTTAGAGATATGAAATAAAATAAAATAATAAGCCCATAGTTAACCTGAACTTCATTGACTTACAGTCTGTTAAAACTTCATAGTGACTAGTTGAACCTAAAAATAAGAAATGTAAAGACCATTTGCGCAATGATATATGGAAAAACATATTCAAACTGCACATGAATGACATTTGTATATTTCAGATTATTTAGTTTTTAGTGCAATAAACCCGTGTCCTCTTATAATTTGAGGTCTATAAGCCATGTTAATTTTTCAACTTGTTTTCAGAAGCTACAGACTTTGTAAGCCAATTTAGAAGCAATCCAAGACATACAAATGTCATTCATATACAGTATGAATATGTTTTCCATATATTATTGCACAATGGTCTTTACATTTCTTATTTTTTAGGTTCAACTGGTCACTATGAAGTAAATTTAACAGACTGTAAGTTAAGATTGAGCCTTTTATGGTTTTTATGGTAGCAGTCAAACAAAGGCTAATGGCAGTCATAGGTCCTTATGAATATTTAGCGATTGTATATTAGAGAGACCTACATGTACATGCAATGTGGAAATGACTTTAACGTTTTGTTTATATTTCAGAAAATTGAAGTGATAACTAAAGACGTGAAGAGGATAGTGACATCTATTGAAGAAGAGTTTGGCGACAAAATAACATTTCAGGTAGGGTAAAACACTATCTAATCATCAAGGTGTGACATATATACTCACCCTGAGACCATTAGCCAGCTAGTTTTGACCAGAGCTGGTTTATTTATTATTTTAACATGTATAATTTGTATTGAAATTTAAGATGACAGGTTTTAGGCACACAAATATTGAAATTCATATTTTTTTCATGTTACCTTCCTTGATATGAAGGTTTTTGACTGCTTACAAAGGTACTCACCACACAATTCACAATTTTTTTCCCTTAACAGTCTCGTTTAATTTACATAGGTGTTACCTTATGTATTTTAGGGGCTATGCAGAGGACTGTTTAGAGTTTTATTGACTAAAGATATTAAATTGCCTGTGTTATTATTATAGCCTAATATAAATAATGACTGTATTTACTATTTATGTTTCCGTTAAAATTTATTCTGTATTTACCAAGCAGAATGTCAATGAGATTGTCATGACAGTTGACGCATATTTAATCTTTAATGAGGCATAAATGATATCCGACCTTGAACTTGGTTTATTTCACAATTTAGAGTAGATTCCATAAATTCAATTTTTATTTTCCAATAACTTCGATCATTACATTTTATGATGCAATCGGTTGTGTAGAAATAATTCATATATATTTTATGTCACCTCCAAGATGTGTTGACAAATAAATTGTTGTGGCCTCCATTTTTGTGACAATTGGTCAGAGGTTGGCATTTACAGTTTTTGTTTGGCATTTGTAACAATTGTTACACTTTTGTAACCTTTAGGCATAAATTACGAGGTGGTCGTATTTTGTCCTGTCATTGCCACATTATTAATTATTGTATTTGTTAATTTTGATATTGAATTTTACTTTTGTCAGGGAGACTTTTTGTATATTGTACATTCAATAAATGTATGTTTTCAATGTTCCAGGGGAGACCTTACCTGGAGAAGATGCAGTGGGACAGAACAGAGATGCTCTACTGGTTACAAGAGGAGAGAAAACAGCAGATGCTGGAACACGAGGCAAGGATAAAACAGCTGCCACTTAGGATGGCCCAGTTGGAGCCTATCACACCTACAATTTCATAGCACAGACCAACTCATCGAGCCTCAGTATAGAGGGGGGGGGGGTGGCTCTATCGAAGACTTAGTGAATAGGGAGGTCTATTGTGCATGATCTCTAAGGACTCTCTGGATTTCTTATTCCTTTTTCATTTTGAGGACTTACACCTAATCTTGATAGTACATGCAATGAGAAATTAAAACTTTAAAATATTAGGTGTACATCATATATGTTTTTTGGCCTCTTATACCTTATTTATTGAGGACCTTATAACTTATCTTGATAGACCCTCGCCCCTATGTTATAGCTCTGTTTTCGTATTAGTGCCATTGTGATTTAAAACCATGCTGTAACCATAAACATCATAAAAACCTGATGAAAATCATATTTGCCACATTCATCCATGAATAATTGAAATCAAAGGTGATAATGAACAGGTGAAATAACCATAATATATCATTAAACCACAACCATGACACACCAAGAAATAGTTAATGATACCGATACAAGGAAGAGATTAAAACCACATAAAAGCCACAGCCAATTATCAGACCACATAAACTAAAAATGTTTACTTGTTCCTGGAACTTTGAAATGAACGATTGAGAGATTTCCATAAATGACATGTTATTTGCAAGTCTAAAAATACTTACAGTTTATTAATGCCATGAGTGCTTACCATATTTCATGTATGCTAATATATAGAGAACAGTGGAAAAGCACGTAATGTAAAACGTGAGCAAGTTAAGATGATCTGTTTTGTGAGCAACTGCTATTTGTATATTTGTGTCAGTTGTATTTGCATATAATTATTTATTACTTCAAAACTGTTTCCGTGTAAAACAAAATGACATGGAAAAGCTAGAGTAAATATATCAAGTGTTTAGCACGTCGTCGATATCCTGAATCCCTTTACGTAAATATATAGTCCATGTTTTAAAGGGCCCATATAAAGTTTAAACCACTGCCTTATGGTGTAGTTTTATCCAATGCTACCAAAATGTGATATGTGAAATTTTTTTTTTAATTTCAAAAAGTTGTTGTACAATGTATATGTCCCACATATAGAAATGCTCAGGTGAATATGATTTTAGCATATTTTATCCATTATATTGACAGGTGTATTTGTTCTTGACCGAAATTATAGTTCTAAGGTATAAGAAATCAGTCTCACCTTTTTCTGGAAACACTAAGCTAAACATAGCATTTATTTACTCAGCCAAATTATTGTGCAGTGACACCTAAACAAAATTTGTGACTGATTTACTTTCCCCAAGTCTAAGTTATATTCATGTTGAGGCATAGCACATATTGCAACAGCTTATCATATTTTTGGGTTACTCACACAGGTTTAATACTTGTTATACTGCTGAGAAAGTATTTCAGAGAAGTGAGATATTATTCAAAGTTAGGTTGTGATATTGGTAGCTGTTACGACAACATAATTTTATTTTAAGAGGAATATAAAAAGCCCACCTTCAAAAAACATAAAAATATGAAAATTGGTGATATGCACAGTACCTCTTTTGATCATTCAATGTTATTTTATTAAGCTTTAATAAAGAGAGGGGGTATTCTGTTCAACTGTTGGTGAGGAAAAAATGAATCAACCTCAGATATTTTGTCATTACTTAAACGCTGTTTTAGTTGGGTTACATTGACATTTCAAATTGGTTGTGATGTTTTACATTGGCATTTCAAATGGTTGTGATGTTTTAGATTGATATTTCAAATGGTTGTGATGTTTTACATTGACATTTCAAATTGGTTGTGATGTTTTGCATTGGCATTTCAAATTGGTTGTGATGTTTTCAAGGATAAATGACATATGTCAAATGCAATAGCAAATAATGTATATGTGTATATATGTGTACAAAAATGTAAATAGGCTTAAAATGGTATTTACTGTATATAATTATTTGTATTGGTAAAAAGAATGATTTTTCACTTTTCCGTCCATGTTATTATGCAGTGCATATATTGAAATATACTAATTTTCACAAATGAAATAGAATAAAATGTTGTGTTCTTAATTTATGCAATAATGTGTTCTAATTACTAAAAATATGTAGATACACATACTATGTAAATAAACACAAATTAGTTAATAAGGAAAAGTCAAGTAAAACCATAATCAATTCCCTCACCTGTACTGCTGTACTGTGAATTTCAAGAAAATTAGGAATGGCAAAAAGGCTGGGATTTTTCTCAGAATTCATATTTTGTTGGATATTAAAAATATCAAATCATTAAATTACAGTAGCATTGTTGTTCTATAAATGTTCATTATTCTGGTAAATTGTTAATAATGCAAATAAGCTGAGATGGAATAAATTTAAATTATTAACACCATGGGCTTTCTTGAAAGCCCATGTTAACACTGAAATGTTATTTGGGGTCCGCGCATTATACATCCCTGTTTGGGGTCCGCGCATTATACCGAAACCCATTATACCGACGCGCATTGTACCGAAAGGCGTTATACCGAATGCCATAATCACTGGCTATTCTCTGTACTTGTGTCCGTGCCTCATTTTGAGTAGGGAGTGTAAATTCTTCTCGGAAACATGATTATGTTTTCCCTGTAATATGAATTGGAGATATCTGACAAAATAAATATAGCCTAAAATATAAATTTTGTGTTTTTGAACATGCGGAAATATCTTGAACACTTTGAAACTGAAGTACAGTTCCTTAATAGGTGTTTCAGTTTTCTTGTTTTTGTTCTACATGTAACACTTGTGTTTAATAGCCATGCGTAATTATTAATAAGCGTAATCAGATTATTTCAAGCGTCGAAATAGCTTATTTTCCTCGACGTATCTACACAAACCTATTCACTTACCGTTATATTGAGCGATCTAGATGCGTCAATTATAATTCTTTTCAATCATCGGCTTTAGTGGCCCGCGATACCTTTTACTTCATTCATTTGAGACGCAATTGATATATTGGCAACAAATCAAATGTTCTAAATGATTCTTCTTCATTTTGGAATGTTTCTCCTACCCGATATTCAAAGATGTGTCTGAAATATTATACTTTACATTGATCACGATTCCTGTACTTTCTGTCTTTACGACCCCCGTTCACATTTGCAAGAGTTGTTGATTGCATTACCTTGATCGTTGGTCGAACTTCGATTCCAACTAAATCAGATTAATCAATTAAGAAATGTAATATCATGTTTATCCAAGCAAATAATTGTAACAACTACATAATTTTTTAGCAGTTTTGACACCTAAGCAGGGTAGCCTAGTGGCGTAGACTGAGGCTACTTTGCGGTTGAACGTCGTGGGATACGGAGGTCCCGCGTTCGAGCCCCAGGTACGGAGTTGTTGATCATTGTCACTACGGACACCCGGTCCGAAGGTCCAACCGTTTACCGGCCCTTGGCATGGGTTGGTTCTCTGGCCGCTCTTGCCGGAGACAGATTGTGAGACTGTGGTTGGTTCCTCCACTAACGTGCTTTAGTAAACTCCGGGAGTCATATAGTATGGTAGCGGGCCCCCACCAAGGGCAGTAGTGGAACGACGCGAATCGGTCCCAGTATGGTTGCCTTGCAACTGAAGAGACTCGAGGAAATCATGCCATTCGCAGTGACCCAGAAAAGACTTTTGCTTCTTAATTTGACGTTTTAATTCATTTATTTACATACCTTATTCATATTGCTTTCCAGGTAGTTATGATTTTTATTGGTCAAATGAATGAACGAGGCATATAGGTACTATTAAATACATCTAGATATATAGTATCAAAACCATAATAATGGATTTGGAAAGATTTAAAGTAAAACAAATGAATACGTTTCTTACTATCTCCATGACAACATATCTTGGTCTCTCTCCATAACAACAATTTTTGGCCCCATCAGCATAAGATCGGAAATACAGTAATTATCATCAAGTTCAATAAGAAATGTGAAACTTTATATTTAATAGCACAATTATTTATTTCTACCAATGAAACAATACAGTATAAATAAATGTTTACTTCATTGAATACAGAATTTACCACGGTTAAATATATTTTATGAAGTATGGTTAACTGGAATTAAGTTTGTTGAGACGACCCCTCAATCCGAAACGCCTAGCATCAGTTAAAAAATTTCTGGCCGCAACTGAGATGTAATATCCTTTGCATTCGTTCAACTTCACTTCTTAAAAGAGAGCTTCGTCTAGTTTATAACTAGACTCTGCGCGCAGGGTAGAGATGTAAAGATGTGCAACGATTTTAAATTAAGCTTTATCTGTTTTGCCCGATAAACTTTTAATTAGTCAGGTTTGAAGAGGAGATAAGTTCACAGAATATTTCAAAAATATATAGAAGCAATCTTTAGGTGGATTTCAAAACTTCATACCATCCTTTTGAGAACCTGAAGTGGCACCAAGCAATCTATTGACTGTTTCACCAAAAATCCAAGATGGCCGCCACAATGTATCGACAAATTACTAAAATTGACTAATATCATCATTTAATTTGTCAAAATAGTTAAATACTGATCAAACATGACTAATAATAGTACCTATTAGATGGTCATATGCATTTAAAGTCACTGGATTATTTTTGTGTGAAAACTGGAGTCCCACAAGGCTCAACTTTATGTCCCCTACTTTTTTAGTCCAATGACTTTCATTGACCATGGCATTTGTACATTGCAATGTATAGAAATCCATTTTTGTAACATGTGCACCTGGGACCACATTTTACCTTGCACCCAAACTTGACCAATGCTTGGCATGCCTTAGCTGCTTGAGGAAGGGCTGTACATGGTGGCATCAGGAGGGACATGTCATTCTGCCAGCCACATGTTGTGAACTCGATAATCATTTTGGTTATGGCACCAAACTATACCGCCTTGGTTAGCAAGTTAAGATTTTCTGTGCAAGGGCTCTTTTTGTTGATGGTATTTTTTCAATGACTGTATGACCGTTACAGAACATAAGCCTTCGTGCTGCATTGATATCTGTCTGGTTGCTGGTTCAATCATATAATAAAACAGTAAAATGTTCCAGGGACTGAATGGCTTGAACTGACAAAGGCAGGTTTGTTGTAACCATTTGTGCCACTTGTAGAAAAGCTGGAGTAACTTACTTGAACACATTCCATAGATTGAAGGGCAGATTCTTAGCTATGGCCAAAGAATGTTGGAGTTAAATAATATATTAATACCTGTAATTTTTGAGAGGTCCGAAGGCAATCCAGATTGACACCTATTGCGCCCTAATGCTGCAGCCATGGCAAGAGAAACAGACATCAGTATCTCCACTTCTGATTATGAAGTATTTTTTCACCTTCTGAGGTCATCTGTTTTATATGAACAAAGAGCCTAGTGACAGCTTTTTCATGAGTACAAGGTTCAATCATTGCTGTATCTGGCAATTGAGGAAAGCACTGAAGAGATTCCCAAATAGTAGTTATCATTTGCTTTTCATTAACATCAACCTCAGACATAAAGTTGGCCAAAAATGCAAACAGCCTAGTCTGGTTCCATTGGTTGTTAGAAAGGCTGGTCAATTCTTTGGCATTTGTGCATCTCTGCATATATCATCCTTCTAGCACCAGTGCCATGATAAATCCTTGTTAGGGACTTCTCACTGTTTTGTAGGTAAACATTTCAGATACTTGGGATGAAACACCAGAAAGGAGCATGTCTATTAAAACTGCATCTGCAGGTGGCTTTTCCAATACTTTGGGTTCATCTGGCTCAGTTTCTAGGCATTTAAGTAGGTCATTTAGTTGTAAGTCTCATGGCTCCATGCTTAGCTAGGGATGGAGGGAACTCATGGTTTTCATGTTTGAAAAACCCAGACATGTTATGTGTCTTGATTGTCAAAGGCAAGCAATATAGAGCATATATAGCAAAAAGGTAATTTTCTTCTCTCAGTTGCTTGACCTCAGGAATCACTGCAGACGATTCTTTGTTTCTAGCTCCCTAGACCACACCAAGTGCAAGCAAGTTAATCCTGAGAAATGATTGTGACCTTTTTGCTATTACTCTACATTGCATGCCAATCAAGACACAATGACATGTCTGAGTTTTTCAAATATGAAAACCATGAGTTCCTGCCATCCCTAATTTTAAGCATGGAGCCATGAGACCTACAACAAAAGCAGACTTACTTAAATGTCAAGAAGCTAAGCCAGATGGATCTGAAGTATTGGAAAAGCCACCTGCAGATGCAATTCTAATAGATGGCATCATTCTGGTCCATGAGATGCATCCTGGTGTGGCTACCAACTTCCAAGAATATGGTATCAATGTCTCATCCCAAGTTAAGGCAGCCTATGGAAGGTGTTTCAAGATAAGATATTATCTGGGATATCTACCTATAAAACAGTAGGAAGTCCCTGACAAGGATTCATCATGGCAATGGATGGCTTATGCAGAGAATGTGATGCCCCAAAATTGGTTAGGCTTTCTAAGAAACAACCAGAACAAGACTGAGCTATTAGCATTCCTGGCCAACTCTATTTTTGAGGTTGATGTTTATGACTATTGTGGAATCTGTTAAGTGCTTTCCTCAGTTTCCAGTGACAGTAATGATTGAACTTTGTACTCATGAAGAAGCTGATACTACACTAGACTCTTTGTTCAGGTAAAACAGATGACCTCAGAGGGTAAAAAAGACTTCATAAACAGAATCAGTGGAGATACTGGTGTAGTTGTTCTTGCCATGGCTGCAGCATTAGGGTGCAATAAGTGTCAAGCTGGATTGCCTTCTGACCTCTCAAAAAATACAGGTATTAAATTATATTATATAACTGCACCATTCTTTGGCCAATAGCAAAGAATCTGCCCTTCAAGCTATGGAATGTGTTCAAGGAAGTTACTCCAGCTTTTCTACAAGTAGCACAAATGGTTACAACAAACCTGACTTTGTCAGTTCATGTCATTCAGTCCCAAATACATTTTACTGCTCTAGTATATGATCGAACCAGCAACCAGATAGATATTGATGCAGCACAAATGCAAATGTTCTGTGATGGCCATACAGTCAATGATAGAATGCCACCAACAGAAGGAGCCCTTGCACAGAACATTTTAAGAACTTGCTAACCAAGGTGGTATTGTTTGGGGCCAACTGTACAATCTCAATACAACATGGGGCTGGCAGTATGACATGTCCCTCTATATACAGCCCTTCCTCAAGCAGCATGCGAAGCATTGGTCAAGTGTGGGTGCAAGGTGAAATGTGGTCCAAGGTGCACATGTTACAAAAATGGATTTCTATGCATTGCTATGTGCAAATGCCATGGTCAATGCAAAAAAGTAGCGGACATAAAGTTGAGCCTTGTGGGACTCCAGTTTTCACACAAAAATGATCCAATGACTTTAAATGGATATGAACTTCTGATAGGTACTATTATTAGTCATGTTTGATCAGTATACAAATATTTTGACTAATTAAATCATAACTTTAGACATTTTTGATGATTTTTTGATACATTGCGGCGGCCATCTTGGATTTTCGGTGAAAAAGTCAATTGATTGCTTGGTGCCACTTCAGGTTTTCAAAAGAATGGTATGAAGTTTTGAAATCCACCTTAAAATTGCTTCTATATATTTTTGAAATATTTTCACCTAAATCTTCTTGACTAAATTGAAAATGAATATATAAATACCAGATTAACATCCAGTCTCATATCAAAAAGTTTAAAGTTAAAATATTGTGAACGTAAATAAAATGAATTGTATTACTCGAAATTCCCGCTGTAAAGATATAGTCCTACGCGGAAGTGCATGTCATACAACTGATGGGTTAAGGCAATGTGCCGTCCCACTGGCACGGATTTCGGTACAACGCGCATTGGTAGGCCTTTTCGGCAAAATGCGCGTCAGTATAATGGGTTTCGGTATAATGCGCGTCGGTATAATGGGTTTCGGTATAATACGCGTCGGTATAATTGTTGTTTAACCTGAGATTACTTTGATCTCATAGCTCATTTTCAGTCACGCCGGGTCGACTGCAGTATTTTGTTCAAAACTGATTTCAACTTGCTTCAAATTGATCAAACTTTGAAGCCGGGCACTGGCTGATAAGTCGGAGCAAATGTGACCCAGGCATTAGTGAACATGAAATCTGTTGACCTTTAAGTTAACAACTGTTCCAGTTACAGAGGTGTTCTACTTGACAGTTTTTACAAATACTTTTTCTTTGACCATCACAATCAAGGGGAAATTATAGTAGAGTTTGAGGGAGATAAGTTGGCAAGATATATCTGTATCCTGATTTTGAGGTTTCCATATCCAGAACCTCCATACATGTATCTCTTGCATATTTCCCACTCCAGGGTATGTTACGGTAACATACCCTGGAGGGGTTAAGGGTTAAACCGTTTTACCTTTTATTCTGTAAATTTTAAGTTTTTCCCATTTGATTTGCCAAAGTTAAGGTTGGACACTTAATTGTAGCTCACAGTCATCTTATACATATGGTATTTTCCAAGATAATGATGCATTTTGAAATGCAAAATAACAAATTAAATTCAACTGGCATTGGATGCATACATATGTTAACAAAGTCATATGGTTGTAAGGTGACTTTTGTGATGTCATAATTTGTTGTATTTTATGGTGTTATTAGGATATATTTTCTCATAACAAATGCATGCATCACACCCAGGAGAGACAGTGCCCATGCACACACAGCTTTGCTCACTAAGTGATGCTATTAGGATACTAGGGCTAGCCCTACTTAGACACCCCCCCCCCGTATATTCCACAGAGGGAAAATAAATATGCAAGAACAAATAAACTCAGACCAAATGTCTTAGCAAGACTTCGGGAAATGAACAAGAATGACTTTAAAAGTGCATTCAGAAAATGGATGACCAGGCATGAGAAATGTGCAGCTAAAGATGAGACTTTAGGACTGTTTCGTATTATATCTGTAGCAGAAATATACCTGAAGAGTGAATAAAGCTACCAGAAAGATTAAATATGTTTTGAAAAGTTGTGACGTAAACAAACCTGCCTGCCTTTTTGTTGTTTCGATTACTATAGCAACAATATATCTGCCCAATCAAATGGAAAATTTTCAAATGCAGAATCCATTTTAAATGGTTTGTTTAAATTGTTTTACACCTTGGGCTTTCATTAAGATTGGTGCAATATTAAGAAAGTTTTAGTATAGTTACCTTATTTATTGGACACCCTGTAATAATTAAATGCACGATAAATGAATAAAATAAATGAAAAATCATAGATATATGTGTATTTCCCTTTGGATAAATCATATATCCAAAATCTCTGGTAAACAACCCTTATCTACATCCAAGATGTAGCATACTACTTCAGGTAATCTCAGAGAATACTTGTCTTGAGTCTAGATTAATTATATTTTTATGGCAGATCATCATAAGGGCAAACAGCCTATTTGAAGTTCATTCATATTTAAATCATAAAGTATGATTTATTATGTGGATGGCTGCACAGACCTTTTTCAATTGCATCAGTTAAGTTAGAAAAACACTTATACATCTATAAGTATTACATATACAATATTTATAACCATTTTATTGGCACTAAATTTACTTTGTAGAGTTTGATACACTCTTGAGATTATCAGTTATAGATAAAAAATGAATGTGTAATGTAAGATATTAAAACGATAAATCAGATGAGTTAACAACAAACTGAATTGATTTCAATATTAAAATAGAAAAACAACTCTACTTTCTTAAGCCTTTTGAATAAAACATACATATTCTCATATTATCAGAATAAGAAGACATGAGCAGCCTTTCTGATTAAAATGCCCACTTATTGACATATTGTTATAGTCTCTAACCTTTTTGTGGACAGTGTTCAGCATTTCACATTCAGTGTCTGTAACAAATGGCAGGTGATGACATTTTGCATGTTAATGCCCTGTTATTGTTGCCATAGAAATTAGACAAGCCAACCACCATCCGCCCATCACCAACCGCTGATCATATCAATATGTCACCACTTTTTGGTGGCGACACAAAAACCAAACCCCCATAGAACAACAATTATGTGGGTAAATAATAATAGTTGATTCAACACCAACTGGATTTAAAAGGCTTCATTTGGTACTGAGAATTTGAGAATCTACTGGAACTAAATAATACAGAATCCATGGTTTGTCCCATTTGTTAATATTTATTCCTATAAATCAACACCAATGTTTTTACAATTGCACATTCATCCAATTCAAGACCAAGAAATGGCCTCTAAAAATTCAAATTTATTCTAATTCATGCGTTAAAATGTTAAGAAATTGAAAGATTGATATAATAGAGAGGACATGTATTTTACAAATAAAATCATCAGTCTTGATATATGGTACAACAGTAAGTGTGACAGCGAATGATAATGAAAGTACATTTAACTTAATCAAGTAAACACAGTGCAAAGGTGATACACTGTATCACCTTACGATGGTTGAAAAGAAAAAGAATAAATACTAGCATTCAAATTATGAAAAACGAAGGTGAAATTGACATCATAAAGATGAATCTATTTGTTAAACTAATTAAACTGATTTAAATTTCATATTTCACTCATCTAAACATATCGACATTGCGTTATACATGCAAATATTCTTAAGCCCTGCATAATATAGACGAATACTTATAACTTCATGTAAAAATCATGTTTTTACATTGTGATAACATTGACCCACAAACATCTGATCAATATTAATAATCAACAACTATCTGTCAACAAACAATACAATGGCTAAATATATAGTGTTAACTTGTGGTACTGAAATTACTTCTAACACCAATATATTTACCCTCTGCATTTTTTGAACTTTGCTTCGTAAAAGAGAGCTTCGCACGGTACATAATATTATTACTGTTGTTGCCAATATCAGATGTTGTGGGAATGTTTCAAAAGTCCTCTAAAATTATGATTGAAAGGATTTTCATGAATATAAGAATGCGCACAATTCTGCAACCAAGGTTATGTCAGAAGCATTGTTAAATATGGTATTATTACAATGTACGACATTTATATATGATTATTTTATGCAGTTTTTTTAAATGCATAAATTCAGAAACAGTTTATAACACAGTGCAAATTGGAAATGTCTGATGATATACTACAGTACAAATACTAAACATGATATATTGATAAGGGCCTTAAAACGCATCATTCTGGGAGTTACTGAATATTTGTGCTATACATAATCTACAATATCCACGAGGGACTGTATACAAGTATGAGATTTTTAATTTCTTTGACAATGAAGTAGAGTAGCCTTGCATTAAGCCCTTATGTAGCCCTTCCATATTTGAGGTTTGATACGAGGCTACTGATACACACATTTTCCGATTTCCCTGAATGTAAAAATTCATATTGTTACACATACATAATGAAGATATTAACTAAAGTCCATTTAAAGTCAGTTATATTTGTAGGAGTTAGTCTCCTGTGAGAGGCTAAAGTAAAGCTGAACAGCGATGGTTCCCAATATGCCAGTGAAGAGGAATTTTGCAAACAACAATGTCCAGGATCCCAGACCAACAGCATGGATTAAGATTCTGAAAGTACACAAAATATGACTTGTATTAGCCTACAATGTAAATATCTTGAATGAGAAAGCATAGTTTTTGATAGACACTTCGATATGTGATGTCACATGATTTTTAGGCCTCTTATTTTGAATCTCTGAAAGCATCGCCTATATTTCATTTTGTAGAACATCCCATACACTCCCTCATTCTTTGTTCTTAGAACACACAGCAGTGTGATGCAGTCATTGGAACAAACGCCTTCAATTAATCTTGGAACTACCTATTTGTGCAACAGGATAGAACTGTCCACCAATAGACTACAATGATTGGAACCCTTAAGACAAGCTAGTATAGCCACATCTTTTACTTCGGTAAAACCAGTAGAACACTTCAATAAGTAGAGCACATTTCAAATCCCAGTTAGTCATCAGCCAATGTAAACTTAACCTGAAACTGAAACACCTCCAGAATGGACATTCCACTAACACAGGTTTTATTGTATCTACATGTGTTGAGGTGATTTTACAGTCTGCATGTTTATGTTTTAAATGATCTTTCATGGTCAGTTGAGTTCCTGCAAAGTTGTCTTCCATATTTTCCATATCAAAGGAAATATATTCAAAGATGTGAAAATGGCAATGAAGTTAATTAATTCATGTTTTAAATACAAACGGACTAAAATAGCAGACATAATACCATGATAATAAGGTCACTTCAATCAACTGTGAATTTCTTATGGCAAAATCAATTCTAGAATGACTAGATGTAATAATAAATAAAAAATAGATTCAGTACATCCACATTAACTTCTTTTTGGTACAGTGCATGGCTGAGCACTTTATTAATTACCCATACTTCGGCCATTGTTAAAGATGCAGTATACCATATGCTTCTAGCCCATATTATCAATGAAGTCCCATTATTATTGCCCATATGATATCTCACATACAATGGATCTTGAGAATAACTTAGGGATATATTATTGCCAAAATATTGAAATAATCAACAGAACAACCAACCTCCAGAATTAAACAAAAAAGCGATTCCTTGGCTAGCGAGGGGAATCCCTGTTGATCGAGCCACAAAAGCTCCCAGATGCACCTTGAACCAGACAGCCAATCAGGTTCATGATAAACAAAATTCAACAACCAATCAGATAATGGGGCTTTTCCCGGTATATTCAAACTTCAGATTGAATTAATTTCCATGAAATTTTGACAAATTGTTGACATGTGATAATGCATATTAAAATTGTATTTTAGTGATAAAATTTCAAGTATAGGTCACAGGGTATACATAATTTCCAGTTTTGCCTAAAAAACACTCTTACTTAACCATCAACAGGCCAACATTTTCCTCTTATATTCACGTCGGGAAAGCGTTAAACACATTTTCAAGACTCTTTATCATACTCTAAGATATAATGGTCTATAACTGGATAATTACTGCAATAACAATAGCAATTTTGCAACTATAAACAAAATAACAATAAATTGCTTTCAAGGATTATTAAATACAAGAGTACAAATGTCATCTTGTTAATAACATGATTTTTGTTTTAAAAATAGTGTTAATCAGGATCTGAACGCACGTGTATGAAATATTCAGTAATTAGCAAAACAGGAAGATATTATGAAGATCACAATACCCACATGTACATGTTATTACAGTTTTATGGACTGATTCATGGAGTTATTAAGTATTTATAGTTTAATGTAGATGAGCGCAAAGCGCTGCTCGATTGCAAGCAATTAATTAGCACAAAGCGCTGTCCAACTGCCAGCAATAAATTAGCAAAAACACTGACTGATTGCAAGTAATAAATCAGCAAAAACACTGACCGATTGCAAATAATGAGTGTAAAATGCTGATTGATTACAGGGCATGAAAATTGAGAAAATCAAGGACATATTGAGTGACACTGAAATCGAAATTGTTGTCTGATAATGAATGAGTGAGATTAACCATTGCCTATATGTCATCATGGACTTCTAATCATTAAGTTATTTGAAGTCCATGATGTCATCAATCTCAATTTGGAATTCATTCTTGCAATTCCTCTATTTGGCTCTCTTCACAAAACATATAAAAACTGACAAGAAAGAGTCGGGAAACAGATTATGGCTGAATTGACTTGTGTTCAGCTTGACTTGGAAATGACATCACAATTTAGAATTGTGCCACAGATTTAGTTGTTTATCAATTAACATAAATAAGCAATCTGATTGGTCTAGAATATTTATCTGTCATAGGTGAATGTTGAATAAAGTTACTCACTTCGAGAGCCATGTTAGATTTTGAAACTTATATCAAAATCCACATAGCTTTCGCAGGAAGTAAGAATAAAGTAGACTTTTAGTTTTTTATGTTTTAAATGATGTGATAATGTATTGCATATCTAGCGCCAATCTTCTGGATCTTTCACATTACATCTTCCTGTTTATACCATTAAGATATAAAATGATACACTTGCTAATCCACATCATTGATTTCAATGCATAAATCATATCAATCAGCAATTCTTGAATAATAAAATTAATATAAAAATCATAATACTTATGATTTATTCGTAAGAATAACTGAAGGTCAAAATATTGGCAAGTGGCACGTTCTTCAACTTCATCATTGCGTTAACACTCTTCAGTCTCTTAAGAAGTTAAAAATATGACAATCCTATTAAGTATAATGTGTTAATAAATCCTACCAAGTACAATGCACAATATCTGAATCCCACCAAGGACAATATCTGAATCTTACCAAGCACAATATCTGAATCATACCAAGCATAATATCTGAATACTACTAAGCATAACATCTGAATCCTACAAAGCATAATATCTGAATCTTACCAAGCATAATATCTGAATCCTACCAAGCACAAAATCTGAATCTTACCAAGCAAAATATCTGAATACTACTAAGCATAATATCTGAATCATACCAAGCATAAAATCTGAATCCTACAAAGCACAATATCTGAATTCTACCAAGCATAATATCTGAATACTACTAAGCATAACATCTGAATCCTACCAAGCATTATATCTGAATCCCACCAAGCATAATATCTGAATACTACTAAGCATAACATCTGAATCCTACCAAGCATAATATCTGAATCTTACCAAGCAAAATATCTGAATACTACTAAGCATAACATCTGAATCCTACCAAGCATTATATCTGAATCTTACCAAGCTCAATATCTGAATACTACTAGGCACAATATCTGAATCCTACCAAGCATAATATCTTAATCCTATCAAGCATAATGTGTTATTGAGGTCAAATATAATAATGGGGAACTTGAAAATGTTCCACTTTTCACATTAAATACATCTTCTAATATAGTTAAATCTAAAAGAAAGATACATTTTGATGCAAAAACAAAATGTCTTCTTTGGATCAAAGGCAAACAGAACAAGACATCATAAATCACACAGGCCACAAAATAGATGAAACTTATCTACTCAATCTTTATAAGAAACACACAGACAGGTTAACAAGACAAAATGGAGTGTAATGTGACCCTATATATCAATGTGACATAACAGTTCAATGTGATCTTCAATTCACTTATCAATCAATATATAGAATATCTCACATTTACATATGCAAATACATCTCCATGATGTTGGACTTGACTAAAAAATAATTCAAGAATAAAGGAATGCATTTAAAGCAGATATGAAATGGTATTTTTAACCTAAAGGAATCAATATAATTTTTTGATAAATATATTTGGACATGTTTTCTCATCAGTAGTGCGAAAACTATTTCACTCTAACGATCGTTATAGCTGCTTAATAAGCAATATTCGAATTGGTTGTGACGTTATTGGCCCCCACGTGATCTCTCACTGGTCCCCAAGTGGCCCATAACGTCATAATGCCAAAATGTTTTGTTTTGGTTTACACTACAATCCTATGGTTGCCGTGACGTTGTGATTACTAAGGCACCAATAAACCAAAGCTATATTTTGTATATGACGTTACTTATCACGTGGGGGCCAATTTGATTGATCAGTTAGTTTTATTTCGTTATTTATGACCGTTAGCAGTTATCTAACATTTATTTTATAATGGCATCGCAAGAACTCTACGTTGGGCTTACAATGGAGAAAACCGCATGTTTGTAGCTGCAAGTTGAGAAAAGCTATTTCAGTTGTCCTTTAATGCTTAAGATCAAAGATATCTGGTGATTGATGGCTTTAATATGTTACGTCAATTCTTTTAATAATTGAGAGCATGGTACTCTCTCCAGATCATTGACTATTTAAGTACCCATAGAAATCAAAATATATCAAAGAAAAGTACTCATATTATTTGTATCGATGTTATCTAATAGGCAAACTTAAAGTGGCAGTGAAGAATGGAGAGCAAAATCGTTGGGTTGGCTGCTTTTCAATTTAAAAAACATAAAAATCTGAAGGTTATCATGAATCGAGTCAGAACTGTTGGACCTTTGAGAAAAAATGGAATGTTCGAACAAAAAGTCTGAGGAAAAATTTCAAAATTATATTTGAAAAAGGTTACTCCTTACTCATCTCAAGTACTGGTAATTTAAATAAGTGGGAATAAAATAATAAAAATCAATATTAAACATATATTTATTCTTTAGTGCCACTTAAACGATTTCAATCACTGATACCCAAAGTAAACCCTTTGAAACAAGTAAAATAAAAAATACTAGCTTACTCTACAATAAGTGGTTTATAACAGCTCAGCGCCAATAGAGTAACCACGATGGGGGTGAATGACTTGTTGAGATCATGTCGGCTGTACAACCACACAAGGGCCGCAGTTGTGATGTGTTGCACAAGACTGATGTTCGAGTCAAAGCTCATCTGCATATACTTCCAGTCAAACTCTATCCCCCTAGCACCAATCCATAGAGGCAAAAATCTGCAATTGTTTTTAAAAGCATTTTAAAATTATTTTGATAAGTCTCAGATTTTTTGTAAATTGACTTTTAAACAAAGCATTTAGGTATTGTTCAATCATATATTGTTTTGAAACTAATCACATGATGGGAACATCTGATAACAGGGAAAATAAGTGAACAGTCAAAATTATTGGACATTATTTCTACCATAAAAACTGAATTTCTCAATGTTGAGAAAATCACCTGTTACTTGCCGCTAGTGAATGATATGTATTTAGTAAATGTTCATTGCAATAAATATGTTATTTCCTTTTTTAAATTATAGCATATCATTTTATTCAATCACAATAAAATTTGGAAAAGATGAGAATATTTAAATAAAAACAATGAAAAACCTGTTAAATGGAACAGCTCCAGAAGTAGAACACCTCTGTTAGAGGCAAATTTCAGAGTCCAGAGATCAACTGACTAATGTTAAATGAACCTCTGTAAGTGGAACACTTCCCAAGTAGAACACTTTATAGAGGTACCAGAGATGTTCTACTATGACAGGTTTTACTGTACTAAATTGCAGAGGATCAGTGAATGCTTCACAGTCCCAAGACCAACTGACTTAATGTTAAATGAACCTCTGTAAGTGGAACACCAAAAAAAACACTTTACAGAGGTACCAAAGATGTTCTACTAAGACAAGTTTTATTATACATGTATGTCTATTTTGCCATTATATTATTCAAGACAAATATAAACATCATATTCACTACAAGTACAAGTACTATACATGTATATATTATTTCACTGATATAAGATCTTACTAAAAGTCAACACATTCCTTTTTAATGTCCGAGTCTATTTTATTCACTCTCACTGCTCTTTCATCAAAGCAAAAGCCTAATAAAGATTTCTGTTTACGTTTATTTAATGTTTTTTCCTTCAATAAAGTCCCATAAATATTCAACTGATTGATACAGCTCATTGAATGCGGTTGGTCAGATATATTTCTTGAATTTATATTCTAATCGAATCGATTAACTTTACTGGTGTATTCAAACTGCATATAATGACTGTTAATGGCGAATTAGATGCTTTAAAGATAAAAGGTAATATTGTTTCCTGTCACTAGTCAGATGGCTCAAAAAAGTTTAAAATAGTTCGCTTAATCATATGCATATACAAGTAATGTATAAATAAGACAAGACATTAACATGACAAAATGTCATCAACTTGTTACAATTACAAATGTTTAACAAGGCATTACCATGACAAAATGTCCCCACCTTGTTAAATCAAGGCATATGGTTACTAAGGTGTAACAGATTGTTACAGATGCCAAATGTTGATTGGAATTGCCGAACATTGGTCACAAAGAGGCTATAACAATATGTTAGGCACTACTTTAGCTATTAAACATAAATAAGCAAATTCTTTTTCAACAATTTTAAAAAATGTGATTATGTCATAATTAATAATGAAAGTACATCCAAATTAATACACAAAATGTTGGGAAATTATTGTTCAGACAAACTGTTCATAAATATGTTCTGCATTCATTTTTGCCATTCTGCATTAGCTCTGATTTTATTTTGATTAATCGTATTTACATATCAGTTAGATTCCATCTTTTGTTTATCATTAGATTTTCAGTATCATAAAAATCATCATGTTGTTGGCATTGGACAACATGAGGGATTAATGTCATTTTTCAAATAAATACCTGAAAGTACCTTCAAAAAATGCTCATTGGTAAAAGAACAAACTCTCATTTGAACATCTAGGGCATATTCACAAGAAAATCTTGCAGATTAATTAAATGCCAGAAAATGGACATTTTAAAAAAGAAGCTGTTATTTTGAATTAGCCATGTTTATATCAAATCAAAAGTGATTGATCTGAATAGGGGCATTTGTTTGATTATTTCAAGTTCATGACATGCTTGTTGAAGTGCAGATTAAAGACTTAAAACCAGAATAAAAGTTCAATACCCTCATTGTTATCAGACTTTATAAAATGACATAATTGTAATTAAAGGGTAACGCATATCATTTAGCAAATCGAACACTCGTTTTTTGGTGTTGCTCACAATTGAGTATCAAAGGCGCAATCCCGGAATAAAATTCAAGGGTACAAAGGTTTGAGGTCATTGTGTAAAGACCTCTGCCTGTTTATGTAGCAATAGTATAGTATAGATCATCACCGATTTATAAAGGGAGATTTTTATTTTGACAAATCAATTTCACATTCTATAGATGAGATTTAAAAATGGACTGATCCAGTTGACTCGCCTGGAGCCTCCATGTTGTTCTTATATGGGAAGCTTATCGTAACCCTTTAAGTGTAATATTTCAATGAAAATTTCTCTCATCTGAACACCTCTCAATGTGAACACTATTTTGTTCAATTTCATCATCATTTAAGCTACTATTCTTATAAAAATGATGTTATATTAATTGTAATTAAGTGTGATATTGCAATGGAAATTATGTAAGTTATAATGCTGGATATATAAATTCGATCAATATGTTAAAAGCAACATTTGCATAATCCTAGTATTAATCTACTAAATCATTGAAGCTGAGGATGTTTTCAAATATTACGATGTTTGACACAATTTGGAAGGAAAGATTAAATAAAAGTTTGCACCAACAAAAATTCATATATTTATTTTTGATTAACTCTTTTGACCGGTAATTAGCAAATTTGCTACATTGCTAGAATGGGTAATTAATTTCATAAAATTGACAAATTGTGACTGATTGTATTCAAACAGTCATAACTTTTTAACTCGTGATCAGATGTTGATGAAATTTTTAGCACATGCTGTCAATATATTATTTTACCATTTCAAACCATCAAGGCGGTAAACATAAAAATCATTTGTCAAATCAAATTTAGACCAATCTTACTTTACTTCGATCACAGTGACATATTTTCAAACAAATAGCTCCCTGTCTCTCAAGTAAACATGATGCTTTTTTAAGTTTATGTTTTATTTATTTCATAATCTATTCAAAAAATAAATACAGGGCCTACGCGAATCATTATACTTTTTAATTCGAATTACAGGTGGGTGGTTTAACACTGTTGCTGAATGGGATATGGATTGTTTTGTTAACGAGGCGTATAGCCTTTTTACAAAAAAAAACGAAACACATAGATACTCGAATGATGTTGATTGGACATCAGGGTGCAGAAAAATCGTAATTTTACTGAGTGGCTTCATGAAAAAATAAGCAGCACTTTAGGCCACCTTTAGCTTAATATGCTGGCTTTTTCTTTGTTAATTCAGCAAAACATTTTTGAAATGAGCAGCTAGCTGAATGTTGATAATGTGTCCTGTGTATATGGCATCTTTTATGATTCTTGATTTGTAAAAATGGCATTTAATGACAATTTGAGCATAGAGAATTAATTTCTATAAACATTACATTATCAGCTGTGTAAAGGAGGCACTTATTTTCATTATATTATTTATTGATCATAAAAATAATTAGAATAACTAACGATGATGTATTATTCCATACAATCTGTTATAAAAATAACTGAACAAATAAATATACATAAAAATGAATCAAATCTTGACATTATGATCACATTGACTTGAAACAACACAGGCAATTTATTGAAAAGTAAAATGTGAAGTGAAAATATCATCATCTTCAGACATTACATTCTTTGAATTTTTATATTTGTTATACTGTATTTCTGTTAAATTAAGAATATAAATGATTCTTTATGAAATTGATTAAACATGAATAGCCAGTGTTTAATTATTCAAGAATATTCTCAGGTTTCCCCCCTCATAAGATATTCCTGGGCCATTCCAATCTAAATAAAGCCGCACAAGGGATTGATGTGTTTTATTCAATGATCTCCAAGAGATATGCTTATTATAAAAGTTTTAATGTGAATGTATGTGGAGCAACCAAGCATGGTGTAACATTACTTAACATGAAGCAGGACTTAACTAACATTTTGTTTGATTAATCCCAAATTGCAAGAGATACCATCAAAACATCTTTATTTTCAAATTTTTTTTACAAAAATTATACTTTGAATCATTATTGTTATAAAAAATAAAAAAGAAGATATGTGCGACATTGGTCCATTTTATAGGATACCATGGTTACCTGGTCATGATAAGTTCAGCCGTGGCCCAGCCAACTCCTGCCACTAAGAACTTTAACTGTCCCTTTCCTGCTACACGTGTCATTATCAGGTGTAGTCCCACAAGGTCACCTAAGTCAACTGTCGACTTCAAGAATTCCTAAAATAAAACAAAATATGCATTCAACTTCTACAGACTTATATTGTGAACTGGCTTCTTCATCACTTCATTGGAACTCATGAAAATTCTTGTAAACTGACCCGACCTAAACCTTGAACAATGACCTTGAACTTTAATAATGACCTTTTGTTGGCCTTAATTTAGGTGAGCCACAAGCCATCCAGGGAGATGTACATAAGCTATATCAATTAGAGAAATAAGATTTAGAAAAATCTTGTACAATTGTTATATATTGTACTTTGAAAAGTTAAAAAATGAAATATTGTACTTTGAACAATGTATAAAATTCAATGTTATTGACCAAACCAATGTCTGGAAGGTCAAGCACCCATTTGTGAAACAATTATGAGATATTCATTATGCTGTCCCATATGTAACCCCTTCGGAATCTTTCCGGGGAACAATGCATTCTTATTTCAAAAAAAATAAAAGGATTTATGAATAATGAATTAGAAAAAAATATTACAGCTGTACAGGATGTAGGAGTATCTTGGTATGCATAATGATTAGTCTAACATCCAATTATTATACAGTCATTATCTATACAAGGAACAGAAAATAAATGAGGGATGTTAACATTATACTTATACAATTACTAGGAATTATGTTTATTAATACACAACCTGCATGCCCACAAACTCTCATGTAGATTTAACTGACATTGGTCATTCCTCATTGTTAAATACAAAACTCATTACACTGATATCTGTGGGAGTTTCTATGTATTCTTTTGTATGATTGATGTTAAATTCTGATATACGATCTATATATGGAATACTGCAAAAAGTTATCTATGGTGTTTATGAATTATATGTACTGTGTGTACTAAGGTGAATGGAGATCATTTATTTTACTAATAAAAATTTTATCTCAATTTTATCTTTTTATTTTTTATAATTATTATTGCCAAACTTGTTGTTAATAACAGACAGAATATTTCTTATTTTTGTTATTTATTTGATTGTCATTGCTGATAACAATTCACACTGAGGGGAAATACCTCATTATAACCAGCTTGAAAACAATCCATCAAAACAGTTTGCATGAAAATTTACCAAGCATGACCCAATCACTACTTTACAATTTCCAGACATAAAAAAACATCTATATAAGGCAGCGTTCCACCTAGAATCAAATGTTATATTCAGAAATCTACTCCAAGATGAGAGAAGTGTTTGCTTGTTGTGTACCTAAGTAATACTTATTATATAGATCTATATATAAGTAATGGTCATTACATAAAGTATATTTTCATTTATCAAAGTCTCTCTTTTTCTAATGCTTGCTTTGGCATCCATAATGTCTGTAGTGAAGTACATTATAATTGTATATTATACTATTAGTGAACTACATGCATTATAATTGTTTGCTTATATTAGCAACATGAAGAGAGATTTTGGAGACAATATGACATGATCAAAATTCAAAAATAACCACCATAAAACCTTTCCCTATGTCTAATAATAAATAAATCAGACCAATAATGCCGAACCAAGAAGCACATGCATGAAAATTTCAAAACAAACATCAAATAGTTTGCCTGAAAATTACCCAGCATGACTTATATGAATTTTCAAACATCCATCATAATTTCAAATAAACCGGCCGACAAATCTAAATGTTTTGCCTCGCAAAAATACAAAATGGCCGCCTTATTTACTCATTATTTTTTAAAAATTATTAGATTTTTGTATTAAAAAGCATCTATGAATCCCAAATACTTTGAGCACCAAAAACAAATAACAATTTTGTTTACAATAAAATTGTTATTTTCAACTTTGTAACACAAAAACTCAAAAATTGCCACATGGACAACAATATTGTATTTATTGTACATGTATATTCTTAATTATGACAAAAAGTTAGAATACATTGACATACCCCTACAACATCAAGGGAACCCTCTGCCACATCAGATCCAGGGAAGAAAGTGGCCAGGACAAGCATCTTACACAGCTGCGTGAACAAATAGGCGGCCCCTGCTTGCACGCACTTCCAGAATGCACTGTACTCATTCCTGAAAATATAGTAAAATGGCAATATAAGTAACAATAACAAAAAGAAACAGCAATTTGGCAGTAATATAGTAGGAAACAAAAATATAAAACACATAAAATAGATAGCAAACAGCAGCGATATGGTAGGCTATAAAATTGGCAAAACAAAAAATATAGTTACATGTTAAATACAGGGTGTCCAATAAATAAGGTGAAAGATATTGTAACTTTCTTAATATTGCACCAATCTTGATGAAATTTTCAGAGTTTGTAGATCAAACCTTTTTACCTTTATTCTGTGAATTTAAAGCGTCTTCTATATGATTGGCCAGAGTTGTGGTTGCTATAGCAACCGAAACAACAAAAAGGTGGGGCAAGTTTGTTTTTGTCACAACTTTCCAAAACATATTTATTATTTCTGATAGCTTTATTCATACTCCCAGGTCTATTACTACTACAAATACAATATAAAAACAGTCCTAAAGTCTCATTGCTATGAAAATAAGCTATTCAATATAATGTCCATCTCTAGCTATACACTTCTTATGCCTATTCACTAGGGGTGAGACGAGTCGAAAAAATCCGATTCGAGTCGAATCCAATTCGAGTCAGAAAATGACGATTCGAGTTTCGAATCCGTTTCGAGTCGCGCGAAGTGCGAACAACATCGCTTTTGACCGTTCGTATTTTTAATGCGTCAATGGTGGAAAGCCGGAAATATAAACAAACACAATTCGTCGTAAGTTTATTCTGATTTTATTACATATATTCTTTCATTTATGTGTACATACAATATAATAATTTAATACAAGCATATCCAAGTCATTGAAACTTATATATATTCAACGCAATATCGAGTAAAAACATGCATATTGACAGTATTTTTCTGAATTTTTTTCTTTTTTCGAATTTTTTTCTCAACTCGAAAATGATTCGATTCATCAACTTCGACTCGATTCGACTCGACTCGAAGCCCCAAACCCGCGAGTCCTCGACTCATCGGGTTGTCGTCTCACCCCTACTATTCACCCACTCTCTAAACGCACTTTAGGCTCTATAGCAGGCTATAAAGATACCCAAAAACGTAAGTATCAGAGGCTTTGATTTTTAGAGAAAAAAAGGTTTGATCAAAGTTTATGGTGAAAAATTATCTGAGCTATCTTTTAGAGCTGAGCTATTTTAGAATCGCCTCTTGAATCCAATAAACAAAACTGGTGAATTAACATGATAAAATATTGTAATTGTCACAACCTGGTTGTAAATACAAAAGTGAAATCATTTGTAACATTTGTCATTTGTAACAATGTCATTTGTGACAATGTCACAATATTGAATACCAAATGCCAATGCTGAATACCAGTTGATTTGGTTGGTGGTGATATAAAACTGGTTGTTGCGTACCAAATGCCGATGCTGAATGCCAGTTGATTTGGTTGGTGGTGATATAAAACCGGTTGTTGCGTACCAAATGCCGATGCTGAATGCCAGTTGATTTGGTTGTAGGTGATATAAAACTGGTTGTTGCGTACCAAATGCCGATGCTGAATGCCAGTTGATTTGGTTGGTGGTGATATAAAACCGGTTGTTGTGTACTAAATGCCAATGCTGAATGCCAGTTGACTTGGTTGGTGGTGATATAAAACCGGTTGTTGCGTACCAAATGCCAATGCTGAATACCAGTTGACTTGGTTGGTGGTGATATAAAACTGGTTGTTGCGTAACTCAAGTTATTATCATTGACTACAGTCTGATAAATATAAAATATTGCAAATGGAAGGATGCGATAATAACCTAAGATTAGCATATGGAAGTATATTAATCAAGATTCTCTTTGCATAATGTGGAATATTAAATCAGTTTTTAACACAAATGTTTTATCACATTGGCAGTTAGCATCAATCATTTGTATTGCCTTCACCTTCTACTTAGAAATATGCTAAAGTAATGTCATTTTGTAGATAATCGTCCATTATGGCCACAGAATGAGGAAATGGTCAATGATTCACTTATTTACAAAATTTATGCTTCAAATCATATTATACCTGCACTTACTTGACTAGATCAGTACAGTAAAACCTGTCTATGCGAACACCTCTCTCTAGTGAACACCAGTATATAGTGAATATCACTTCAAGACACATTGAACATCCTATATAAAAGCCCCCTCTGTAGTGAACACCTGTCTATAGTAAACACTTTTGTAGTCCCATAGGTGTTTACTATATACAGGTTTTACTGTATGTACTTTTGTTTTGACAATCGCAAATACAAACCATAATAGAGAGTCACAATGTGAAGAAAATAAAGCATTCTTACTGTTGAATACTAGTATACTAGATCTGTTTGTTCTCTCTCAACAACACTGACAATCTTAATTAATTGTTCAATCATTTGCATGTAAGCAATTTCATTTTTACTAAATGTGAGTCGACATAAAGAGGTGATTTTTAGTGCTTACTCTTATAAAAGTGAGGATATGAGGGGTGCAAAATTCTCATACTTCAATTCTATCCAAAATCAGTGAGGTAAAATATAATAGCCTTATTTTCTTATTCTGCAATCTTGGTTCTGTTTAAAGTACATGTTACGGTAGCTGAAGAATATCAAGAACTTCAGATCAATCATACTCTAATATACTAAAATACTGTTGCTATAAGTGCATTTATTAAATGAACATGTATAGTATGTAGTTGTACGAGACGAAGAATCACCAAAAGCAGAGAAAGATTGTCAAAAGGATTTGAAAGAGAATGAGATACGACCTAACCTGTCTCCAAAAATGAAATAAATATGAACCAAAGAAGATGAATTTGTGTATCATGAGACCCGCTATGGCTCAGTGGCAGAGTCAAGGTTGCCAATATCGCTTGGCCCCGGGTTCGATTCCCGGTTCAGACAAGTTTGTTTGTGAGTTATGTAATCCTGGGTGTTTGACTGAGTGCATCTAGAGTTGTAAGCTAGGAAAACAAACTAAGTTTGATGACGGCAATCAGAGAACACGGTGATAAACCTTACGTTATGAGATTATTCATATTTGAATCAAAATTGATACATTGATATTGATACATTGATAGAGGGATATTTCTCAAAGTATGGTAAAACGACTAGAAAAGTGTCGTCTGCCTATCTAGACTACACTAGAGACATCACATCTTCATTCTATATTTTGTTTACATTACAAGTAAGAAAGAGTTATGTAAAAAATATGTTTTTGTCACTTCACAAGAGTATGACGACCAGACCAATATATTGTTCGCGGTTGGGTGATTATATATTTTTATTGTTGTGAAAGCTATTAAGCTATCAATAGTAGATCTACTAAGTTTCTATTACGCCTAAACAGTTGACTGACAACATTGTTACATACAAAAATGTAATTATGTACTTTAGATGTTATTTTTTCCAAGGTGCCATATCCAGACTTATCTGAGGAATTTCCAAGGAAAAGCAACGACAATGGAAGGAAGAGTGCTAGCTTAACTTTTATTCATATCTTCATATAATTCCAATGTTCTGCAGTAAATTTCTAGATGTCCAGTTTATAGAGGGCAAGGTTATGCACTGGGAGGTTTGGATACTGGGAATATCCCGAGGGATATATTGTGCATCATGAAGGACTGTTCATAACTGTTGTATTCCATACCTGATGAGGCGAAATGAAAAAATCTTTACTACTGGGAAATATGGTTTTGAACATGTTTTTCAAAAATAAAATAATGACTCACATGTTGAAGAAAATGACAATGATGACTCACATGTTGAAAAGAATGATAATGATGACTCACATGTTGAAGAAAATGACAATGATGACTCACATGTTGAAGAGAATGATAATGATGACTCATATGCTGAAGAGAATGACAATGATGACTCACATGTTGAAGAGAATGATAATGATGACTCACATGTTGAAGAGAATGATAATGATGACTCACATGTTGAAGAGAGTGACACTGATGACTCATATGTTGAAGAGAATGACAATGATGACTCACATGTTGAAGAGAATGACAATGATGACTCACATGTTGAAGAAAATGACAATGATGACTTAAATATTGAAGAGAATGACAATGATGACTCACATGTTGAAGAGAATGATAATGATGACTCATATGTTGAAGAGAATGATAATGATGACTCACATGTTGAAGAGAGTGACACTGATGACTCATATGTTGAAAAGAATGATAATGATGACTCACATGTTGGAGAAAATGACAATGATGACTCACATGTTGAAGAGAATGATAATGATGACTCATATGCTGAAGAGAATGACAATGATGACTCACATGTTGAAGAGAATGATAATGATGACTCACATGTTGAAGAAAATGACAATGATGACTCACATGTTGAAGAAAATGACAATGATGACTCACATGTTGAAAAGAATGATAATGATGACTCACATGTTGAAGAGAATGATAATGATGACTCATATGCTGAAGAGAATGACAATGATGACTCACATGTTGAAGAGAATGATAATGATGACTCACATGTTGAAGAGAATGATAATGATGACTCACATGTTGAAGAGAGTGACACTGATGACTCATATGTTGAAGAGAATGACAATGATGACTCACATGTTGAAGAGAATGATAATGATGACTCACATGTTGAAGAGAGTGACACTGATGACTCATATGTTGAAGAGAATGACAATGATGACTCACATGTTGAAGAGAATGACAATGATGACTCACATGTTGAAGAAAATGACAATGATGACTTAAATATTGAAGAGAATGACAATGATGACTCACATGTTGAAGAGAATGATAATGATGACTCATATGTTGAAGAGAATGACAATGATGACTCACATGTTGAAGAAAATGACAATGACGACTTAAATATTGAAGAGAATGACAATGATGACTCATATGTTGAAGAGAATGAACCAGACTGTTGTATCAATTCTGTATCTCACAATATGAAAATAAAGAATATTTTCAAGCTTAAGTATGACCACGAAGTCCAAACTCAAGCTACATGAAAATTTGTGTGTCTTTACTTCGTTGCTCTGCAAAATAGTTATTATATGATCCAATTACTGTTATGTAAGTTATTTATAGGGATGAGTATGTAACATTGAACAATCATATGAAAAATTGAAATCAGATAGTACATTATTTATCCATCTTATCCATACCAATAAGGGACCACAATGAAAGTATTTTCTTTATCAAGCATATACTGATTGTAGGTATATGTAGGTACTACAGCAGGTGTTCATTATTACAAGATGGTGTTCACTATCATATTGTAAGAGAGCTGAAAAATAATGACATTCCCCTTTACCCTAAACCTCTATTGTCATTTACCTATCATGTTTAACATGACACGCCTATTCCCATCATACATACATATATCTATTCCTCTATAACATCCATCTCTCACTATGACCTTTCCAATTTGCATATTACCCTTCAAAAGCCTTCCTATATTCTTCTATTCAATCAGCCTTGATCTTGACTTTCATACCATTTCCTTGTCATTTTTGTTTTATTTGTTTGATGTCATCAATATTTTACTGACCATCAATAAATCCATTAATCATTATGACAATGATAGGACAATCAAATAAAAACAAACATATGCACTTTCTACTTGTATATAATTATTCATTAAAGGAATACTACTGCCATATTGACTGACTATGATGGATAATATTTTCAACATCCCTGAAGTATTTTTCTCCATTGAAATTTTATTACAGATAGAATAAGATCAAAATTTCTTCGAAATAAGATAATCGCTTTGTTGTTATTTCTTTGTAAAACATTCACAATCACAAACTGTTTCAATCAGATTTCTTATGAAGATATCAGTTCACACACTATTCCTTAAAATTGGTGAATATGAATATCTATGACTTTCATAATTCATTCAATACTGGGTCAAAAACCATATGGTACCTCTGAGATAATATATATAGTATATACAATATACATGGGCATACATATATAGTGTTATATATCATTTTAAAGCATATGATAAACTCTTTCAGAATTAATAGGTTTTTGAGTCCCATTTTATAAGTTGTCATGGTTACCAGATTCCAAAAATACATTGGGTTTGTGCTTGGTCATGATATCACATCCTTCATAATCAACGTATGTGCTTTATGACGTCATATCACGTCCTCGTAGCGAATGAGTTAATAATGTTAAGTAAATGTGATAGTGCTCCTTTAACAGTTTGACAGATATATGAAAATATATTGACATTCTTGATACTTCCCCTATGCAAAAATAAATGTAATTAAAGTAACAATTTGAATCAATTTTTAATAAAATAACAAAAGTGATATATTATAGATGAAACATTGAATTCATACACGACAGAGAAATGTTAATTCATCTTTCATGAAAAGAGAAAGAAGAGATATTAGTAAGATGGAGGAAATTATGAATGTTGTGTATTTATCTTTAATTTTGGCCATTTTACATGTTGAGGCAAGAAACAGTCGATTTTCTGATATGGGAAAAACTCCTGATTCAAGTAAGTTTTTAATTGATAACAATCATATTTCTGCTTTTTCTCTTCTACTTAATGCTCAACAAATGCTTTAAAACATTAATTTAATGATCTGCTAATAGTTTTCGTAATAAAAGCATTCTAAATAACCTTTGTAAATCATGAAGATACATGATAAAAGGATATGATAGGGATGACATAACTCATTTACAGCCATTTAGCATTACTGGTTGCGTCCATATTTAAGCGAATAATATTTTCACGATGGAAGAATCCAGATTTTCTTCATACTTATACCATAAAGATATAATATCTACAAATATCTGATCCTTTTTTGATTAAAAGAAAGCTTAGTTTGGTTCCTTTCCTGTGGTACATTTGGTTTGATATATTTACTTTGATTAACATGCATTTACTTTGATTATGTCATCTTGATTTGATACATTCCCCAAAATATCTATTTTGCTCTATTTTCTTTAATAAACATGCATTTACTAAGATATATTTTTAACCATCATGATATATTCCAGGGTGCCATGAAAAAAATGAAAATTACCTCGTAGAGTATGTGGCAATTGACCCAATTGACAAAACACAGTGTACCTATTACCGATGTGCAGATTCTTACTATAAGAAAACCAGATGCCCAAAGGGCACATCGATAGGCATAAAGTATAAGATAAAAGGAAAGAAAGGAATTTCACAAAGAATGATGCCATGTACCATACAAGCTGATGCATGTGGAGATCCAAATGAGGAAGCACAACGAAACAGTAAGTATGATAATGAAGTACATAAGGGGGAACTAGACTTGCTATATGTTATATGTAAGTTGTCACGCCCATAGCCAGGATTTGCAAAAGGGGGTCACTTTTTAAATCATGATAAGTTAAAAACAAGAACACAAATGTGTACAATATGTCCCGACCAATGGGTGATCCCATGAAATGGTTATCCTGAAAATGAGTAGACAAGACTTTACTGACACAATTTGAGGACGGAAAGTCCAAAATGGCCGCCTTAAAATTTACCCAGAATCCCCAAAAATTAGCTAGTTCTAGATCCGTCAAACAGTTAAACAAGACTTTACAGACAAGATTTTAGGATGGAAAATCCAAAATGGCTGCCTTGACATTTACCCAGAATGTCAAAAAACTAATCAGTTCTAGATTTTTATACTAAGAATCATCCCTGAAAATTTGAAATTGATCTACCAAACGGTTCACCTGAAAACGCGTAGACAAGACTTTACAGACAAGATTTTAGGACATAAAATCCAAAATGGCTGCCTTGACATTTACGCAGAATGTCAAAAAACTAATCAGATCTAGGTTTTCATACTAAGAATCATCCCTGAAAATTTGAAATTGATCTAACAAATGGTTCACCTGGAAATGCGTAGACAAGACTTTAGAGACAAGATTTTAGGACGGAAAATCCAAAATGGCTGCCTTGACATTTACCCAGAACGCCAAAAAAACTAATCAGATCTAGATTTTCATACTAAGAATCATCCCTGAAAATTTGAAATTGATCTACCAAACGGTTCACCTGGAAATGCGTAGACAAGACTTTACAGACAAGATTTTAGGACAGAATATCCAAAATGGCTGCCTTGACATTTACTCAGAACGCCAAAAAACTATTCAGATCTAGATTTTCATACTAAGATTCATCCCCGAAAATTTGAAATTGATCTACCAAACGGTTCACCTGAAAACGTGTAGACAAGACTTTACAGACAAGATTTTAGGACGGAAAAAACCAAAATGGGCGACAATAAAAAAGTGATTATGATTTTTTGCTGATTTCCTTTTACAAAATTATCACATATAACTACTGTTAACAATAACATAGGCTTTTTCAACAAAGTACACCTGGAATTATTTATAAAGCTACAAAATAGTTAAAGTATGAAAACTCAAAAACACCATTCAATATGATACAAAGTATTATCGCGCGCTAACTTTTCTTCAGACATTCAAAATGGCTGGCATGACTGGGCTAACAGGTCCAAAACCTAGTCAGATGTAGAATGAAGTGAGCTGAACAAGATGTTAAAGTTTTAAAAGCAACTGTGAAGCCGTTTTTCTTAAAGTTTGCAGACAAGGATTTTAGCATTTGACCTCAAAATGGCCGACAGGAAGTAGCTATCGAGTTATTTTTTTTTATCCACATCTGTATGCACTCACAAGTTATTCCTGAAAATTTGAAGGTGATACCTGTAGCGGTTTTGGAGAAAACTGCCGGACGTACGGACGGACAGACAGACAACCAGACAGACGGACGGACGCGCCTAGGACGCAAGCTGGCCCCACACTATGTGGTGGGGACATAAAAATGATAATCATGGCTGGGAATCATAGAATTAGATACAATTGATTACATAGATTTTTGTGGTCATAGAAATGTTCATATTGATTGCAAGGAGGTTGCATTTTGTCAAGAAGTTGGACTACATTTAATTAATGATTAGTACTGCATTTGGAGAGGAGGTTGCATTTTGTCATTTAATTGATAATAAGTAACTGCATTTGGAGGAGGTTGCATTTTGTCATTTAATTAATGATTTTTACTGCATTTGGAGGAGGTTGCATTTTGTCATTTAATTAATGATTAGTATATGTACTGCATTTGGAGGAGGTTGCATTTTGTCATTTAATTAATGATCAGTATATGTACTGCATTTGGAGGAGGTTGCATTTTGTCATTTAATTAATGATTATTACTGCATTTGGAGGAGGTTGCATTTTGTCATTTAATTAATGATTATTACTGCATTTGGAGGAGGTTGCATTTTGTCATTTAATTGATAATAAGTAACTGCATTTGGAGGAGGTTGCATTTTGTCATTTAATTAATGATTTTTACTGCATTTGGAGGAGGTTGCATTTTGTCATTTAATTAATGATTAGTATATGTACTGCATTTGGAGGAGGTTGCATTTTGTCATTTAATTAATGATCAGTATATGTACTGCATTTGGAGGAGGTTGCATTTTGTCATTTAATTAATGATTATTACTGCATTTGGAGGAGGTTGCATTTTGTCATTTAATTAATGATTATTACTGCATTTGGAGGAGGTTGCATTTTGTCATTTAATTAATGATTAGTATATGTACTGCATTTGGAGGAGGTTGCATTTTGTCATTTAATTAATGATTAGTATATGTACTGCATTTGGAGGAGGTTGCATTTTGTCATTTAATTAATGATCAGTATATGTACTGCATTTGGAGGAGGTTGCATTTGTCATTTAATTAATGATTATTACTGCATTTGGAGGAGGTTGCATTTTGTCATTTAATTAATGATTATTACTGCATTTGGAGGAGGTTGCATTTTGTCATTTAATTAATGATTATTACTGCATTTGGAGGAGGTTGCATTTTGTCATTTAATTAATGATTAGTATATGTACTGCATCTGGAGGAGGTTGCATTTTGTCATTTAATTAATGATTAGTATATGTACTGCATTTGGAGGAGGTTGCATTTTGTCATTTAATTAATGATCAGTATATGTACTGCATTTGGAGGAGGTTGCATTTTGTCATTTAATTAATGATTATTACTGCATTTGGAGGAGGTTGCATTTTGTCATTTAATTAATGATTATTACTGCATTTGGAGGAGGTTGCATTTTGTCATTTAATTAATGATTAGTATATGAACTGCATTTGGAGGAGGTTGCATTTTGTCATTTAATTAATGATTAGTATATGTACTGCATTTGGAGGAGGTTGCATTTTGTCATTTAATTAATGATTAGTATATGTACTGCATTTGGAGGAGGTTGCATTTTGTCATTTAATTAATGACTAGTACTGCATTTGGAGGAGGGTGCATTTTGTCATTTAATTAATGATTAGTACTGTATTTGGAGAAGGTTGCAATTTATCATTTATTAATGATTAGTACTGCATTTGGAGGAGGTCACAATTAGTCATTTAATTTATGATTAGTACTGCACTCGATTGCACCACAAATGTTTATATCAACCATTAAAGGTTATATAACTCATCAACAAACTAGTTAATCAATTTCAATTCTGAATAATTACTTTTCTTCATGCTAAATGTTAATCTGATCTCATATTACAGTGTATTGTGATATCTTTTAAGAAATGATTCACCAATTTATTTTCAGTGCTCTCAGAGAGGACATTGAGATTCTGTGGTATGGATCTGATATGGGTGGCTGATATGAGCTGTTCTATTGCACCAGACGACAAGGAGCGTGTTAAAAAATTCATAATGAACGTCATTGAATCATTCCGTATCAGCCCTATACATGTTAGAACTGGTGGTGTTTCTTATGGACATGAGGTCCACAATATACAAACTCTAAAAGAAGGGAGAAATCGTCCTATCACACTTAGGAACTTTGAAAATATGAATACTGATGACGGCAAATGCAGAACAGTTACAAATGACGCACTTAGAAGAGTAAGAGACAAATATTTCATTGAAGCTGCTGGAGATAGACCTCAGTTCCCAAATGTATTAATAGTTATTACTGATGGAAAAACAAATCAGGGAAAAAAAGAAGACAACGATGCTTTCTCTAAAGAAACGATTCGGCTAGCTGAGGAAATACGTAAGAGTGGAGCCGAAACGATTGTGGTAGGTCTAGCTCAAAAGCGGTCTGGCAAGCTGACTGGGTATGAAGAATGGTTAGGGATTGCAGGTACTGAGGAGAATATTTACGTAATGGAATCATTTGAACAATTGGCTACAAAAGTGAAAGTTCTTGCTGAAAAGTCATGCTGTAAGTAATTTATTCAATAACTAGCATGGTTTATCTATCCCATCATCTATATATCTGATGAAAATACAGGTTTATGTCAGAGTGTAGGTATACCCAGGAGGAGTGAGTAGCTCCCATAATTCTTTCATATTCTATCGTATTCGGGGATTCCCCATTACATCATCTCTTGCATCATCTCCAATCAAATTGCAGGATTCGATCACATGAACAATCATGAGTACGTGCTCTCTCAGTGCTCCGCATGCGCAGAGTTAAATTTGAAATCGTGGGGTAGCGTTAATAGCTGAGTTCAACATCATCATTTTAAACCTACGGTAATACTATTGAAGTTACTCGATCCATACTTGTAGAGAATACTCATAAAACTACAGTGAACATTTGGAGATTCATTTTAACGGCAAATTGAGGCCTGATTATGAAATTTGTTTTCGAACGTTCTAATATGATAGGTCATCTTTGGGAAATCTCTCCCCCCCTGGGTATACCAATGGGTACAGATTGTGTTCCCCTTTTAGCAGATCTTTTTCTGTTCTCATTTTTTACAACTAAGGATGAAGAAAGCTAAAGCTAAATTTCATTCTGCAAAGTGATTTAATAAGACAGATGGATATATTGATGACCTGTTAAGTTCAGACAACCCAAAATTTAAAGACTTCAGATGAGATATATTCTCCTAAGCTAGAATCGAAAAAAGACTTATAAATTACCAATATGAAATAACTATTAACTAGTAATAACTAATATTAGTATGATAGTAAATTATGCTGAGAAAATAACAGGCAAAACTGTAGTTTTGTTTGATCTGTGAAACAAAGCTTTGGTAAAAACATGCGTGTGATTAACATAAATGATATCAATGCTTGATGTCATGTGTGTTGATTTTCCCCAATGGTGTCTTAATTTTACAATTTTCAGCTCCTATCATTTCTTGTCAAATCCATGTTTTAAAATCTTGATGGTCTCCTGGGTGTTAATCCATAGTTAATCCTTGAAAATGAGAAATATTTTTGGGGATTATATGATGCAATCTTACTAACTGTATTTAACTTATTCTATTTTTCAGTTCATGGACATGAAGTGTAACATACAGGATAGGACTTGGTATGCAAAACTGACAAAGCTGGAAACTCTGCAGGAATTCTAATATAGGAGACAACATTTCGTTTTTGTTCATTTGTTCAGATAAACTCATTTGTACTGTACATTTTTGTAAATGTTAAAATGTACAGTAAATGTAAAAAAATATAACAAAACTAAAGGCAGAATCAGATCTAGTAAGATTTTAAGGAGTTCTTTTGACGAACATTGTTTCAATTTTAGAATATTGTGGGCTCACATCATTCCTTGTCATGTCTATTTACTAAAAATGTATGCATTTGAGGAAAGATTTTTAGTTTGGACCATAAATAAATGACAGGTGGATTTGCTAAAGTGAGGATTTCCCATGTTAAAAATAAGAGAATTTTCAAGAGGCCATACATCAGTGGATGAGATTATACAAAATGTAAAATATGCAAATTTTATTTTTTTATTTTATTTCTATAATCAACACCGTTACTGAATTTACCAATTTCCCACCAATTTTTAACATATGGATCTTTTGGGAGATATTATATCTGAGATTGTAAGGAATATATTGGTAAGCCAACTGTCCACTTTGCTTGCAATTTTGTCACCCCCTGTAAATCTGATTCTGTCATTAACGTTTTAATATGATTCTTTTATCATAAGGAAACACTCTTCTTATAATAATTGATTTGAATGAAATGGATGTTTGAACAAAATATTTGAACAATTACAAAAAAATATTGACATTTAGCTTATATTGTTAGGATTCTGAAGTTTGTAATCTCAAATATAATATATTACATCATATGTCTCTCAGGTCTACAATCCTCTTAAATGAAGCTCAGATCCTCGATTTCAAAATTACACTTAAAACAATAATTTCATCCTGAATAATTTGTAATACTCGTATCATACATGTTTTTAAATTTGACTTTGATATTACCCTTACTCAATACTGTAAATATATGCAATTCATTCATACTATATACTGATATTTGTACCTGATAGAAAAAGTTGAACTAATATTGTAAATAAATGAAAACGTTTGGATGTGATATATTCATATATGATCTATCACCAAATCATAATTCAGCACTAAACAAATAAAATATTTGTTTAATAACCCATTATAAACTCTGACCATAGCTCATTTCAAGGGTCATTACCATATTCCAGTAAGGCCACTTAGATCTTATAGGTTTTCTACAGAAGCATCAGTGTCCATGGTACATAAATTATTTCAAGGTATTGTTATAACAACCATCTATCTACCAGTGTCCTTCCTGCATGACTGCTATGTACACTCATTTGAATAAAGAAATACTCTGTCAAATGATCTGCATAAAAAGAAAGTTCGAAGAAGTTCAATCTATTGCCAGATTAACTAGTCAGTCATAAGTCAGGGAGAAACATGCAGCAAGTTTTGCAGGTTTTTATATTCATATGTGTGTTTGTACTGGCATACTCTGATGAAGAAATCAGACGTAAGTAAACTTTATATGAATTATGAAGAATTTTCATATTTTCTATTATTAATTTTTGATTAATCAATTAATTAAATAAATGACATACTGATAGCATTGGAGTAAAAATGACACAACCTTTTTTGGCATGGGCAATCAAAATTCTATTATCAATATTTTTTAATCAATCAATTAAATGAATGACACTAACTGATAGCACTGGAGTTAGAATGATGCAACCTTTTTGGCATGGGCAATCAAAATTCCATTATCAATATTTTTTAATCAATCAATTAAATGTATGATACTAACAGATAGCACTGGAGTTAGAATGGCACAACCTTTTTGGCATGGGCAATCAAAATTCCATTATCAATATTTTTTTTATTAATCAATCAATCAAATAAATGACACAAACTGATAGAACTGAAGTCAGAATGACACAACCTTTTTGGCATGGGCAATCAAAATTCCATTATCAATATTTTTTTTAATCAATCAATAAATGAATGACACTAACTGATAGCACTGGAGTTAGAATGGCATAACCTTTTTGGCATGGGCAATCAAAATTCTATTATCAATATTTTTTATTAATCAATTATTTAATAAATGACACAAACTGATAGAACTGAAGTTAGAATGGCATAACCTTTTTGGAATGGGCAATCAAAATTTCATTATCAATATTTTTTAATCAATCAATTAAATGAATGACACTAACAGATAGCACTGGAGTTAGAATGGCACAACCTTTTTGGCATGGGCAATCAAAATTCCATTATCAATATTTTTTTTATTAATCAATCAAATAAATGACACAAACTGATAGAACTGAAGTCAGAATGACACAACCTTTTTGGCATGGGCAATCAAAATTCCATTATCAATATTTTTTTTAATCAATCAATAAATGAATGACACTAACTGATAGCACTGGAGTTAGAATGGCATAACCTTTTTGGCATGGGCAATCAAAATCCTATTATCAATATTTTTTATTAATCAATTTATTAAATAAATGACACAAACTGATAGAACTGAAGTTAGAATGTCATAACCTTTTTGGCATGGGCAATCAAAATTCTATTATCAATATTTTTTATTAATCAATTTATTAAATAAATGACACAAACTGATAGAACTGAAGTTAGAATGGCATAACCTTTTTGGCATGGGCAATCAAAATTCCATTATCAATATTCTTTATTAATCAATCAATTGAAAACATGACACTAACTGATAGAACTTAAGTTAGAATGATACAGCTTTTTAAAATGTAACAGAAGTGCAATTATTTCAGATCATTGAAACCCTGGCTAGTTCACAATAAGAAGAGGTGGTGACATTGTTATGCCCCATGCTAAATTTTTTAGTTAATTTATATAATAATTGTGATATTTCTACACTTCCATATAGGCTAAATAATAAAAAAGAATAATGGGATTAAACAGATAGTTCATAAATTTGATGTCAAAACATAAAAGGAGTGTAATATTGTTTAATATTTCTAAATCCAGGTTGTAATGATGCTACAGAAAAATACATGGTTATCCCAAAATTGTTCCGTCAGCCTAATGAGGACCAGTGTGAATATTTAAGGTGTGTAAACTCCTATTATGTGCGGGAACAATGTCCTAAAGGGTTAGCTATTCAGGATAGATATCTACAACGTAAGGATGGACAACCTCTTCAAAAGAGTAAGAAACCCAGCGATAATTATCCCTGCAGAAAACGAAGTCAGGCTTGCCGTCAAGGGAACCCTCCTATAAGTAGGTAATTTTTTAGTAAACATTATTTAGCATAAATAAGACTGAGCGAAATAAGCCATTGCGACATTCTTTGACATATCAGCATATTTAGCATAAATAAAACTGAGCGAAATAAGCCATTGCAACATTCTTTGACATATCAGCATATTTAGCATAAATAAGACTGAACGAAATAAGCCATTGCAACATTCTTTGACATATCAGCATATTTAGCATAAATAAAACTGAATGAAATAAGCCAATGCAACATTCTTTGACATATCAGCATATTTAACATAAATAAGACTGAGCGAAATAAGCCATTGCAACATTCTTTGACATATCAGCATATTTAGCATAAATAAGACTGAGCGAAATAAGCCATTGCAACATTCTTTGACATATCAGCATATTTAGCATAAATAAGACTGAGCGAAATAAGCCATTGCAACATTCTTTGACATATCAGCATATTTAGCATAAATAAGACTGAGCGAAATAAGCCATTGCAACATTCTTTGACATATCAGCATATTTAGCATAAATAAGACTGAGCGAAATAAGCCATTGCAACATTCTTTGACATATCAGCTTGTAATGTATAGACTGCATAGAGGTGTAGAGGTCATAGAGGTTCATGGTAAATATGTTCATATTGTATAATAGAAGGATATTTCTTTTTAATGTTGTTATCAATTATGATAATGATCAATAATCCTTGGTACATGATGTGCTTCTATTTACTACAGGGCCAGATCTTTCTTTCTGTGGCATGGACCTTATGGTGGTCATTGATATGAGCTGTTCTATCAGTGACGAAAACAAAACAACTGTCGTTAACTTTGTCCAGGACCTCATTTCCAAATTTGTTATCAGTCCGCTACATGTAAAAATTGCAGGAATCTCTTACGCATCAAAAGTGAATAACATTCAGACATTTAATGAAGGTCGAAACCGACCAATCACAATGAGAAACTTTAAAAGGATGACGAGGGAAGATGGCAGGTGCCACACAGTAACAGACGACGCATTGGAAGCTGTACGAGATATATACTTCAAAGAAGTCATGGGAGACAGACCGTTGTACAAAAATGTACTGTTACTTTTGACTGATGGCCATTCCTACAAAGGGAAGAAAGTTGACAAAGAAATGTTGTCCAATAAAACTATTGCTTTAGGGGCTGAACTTAGAAAGAACGGAGTCTTGACTATCATTGTTGGGTTGCCAAAGAAGAGAAAGGGGACTCTTGCTGGAATGAATGAGTGGCTCGGAATTGCTGGAGACCCGGAAAATATATTATATATGAACACATTTGATGAACTTGAAACGAAAATCCAGTTAATAGCTGAGAAGTCATGTGGTAAGCTATTGATGATTTGTCATTCTTTTTATATGCATAAATTGGGTCTTAACAGTCAATTTAATATTAATGTAATATACAGTACCTGCACTCTATATTATATCTATTGTTTATTTATTCATTTCAGTGAGCTTGAATGAAGTGTAACCATACATCAATGCTGATCTCTAACCTGGTACAACAATTGTTAGTAGGAACAACACCATAGTAGACAGGTTTTAAAAAATGAAGATGAACAATCCAAACAAGCATATAGCAGTGACATGAATAAGCATGTTCATATTAACAGATGACACAATCTGCCCTGACTCTTGAATAGGGTAAAGGGGTATAACATTGAGGCCATTTCATTTCTATTTGGGTTAACTTCGACGTAAGGGGTAACTTCGACACCTTGTTCTTTATTTGCTCTAATTTCGGATTTAGGTGGGAAGCCATGTATTTCTTCTCAAGTGATCTCACAAGATTTTTTTTTATTTGATTTGAAAACTATATTTATTATATAGTTTTTTGAAATCCATCTTTGCAGAAATGGTAATTCTAACAAGTAAGTGTCGACTTAATCCATTTGTCGTGTGAAGATTACCCCACATGTTGACATTACACCCCCTTCGCCCCATTCTTTATGTAACATCTGGAATAACATAAATAACATCTGGACTAAAATCACCGAGTTTAATAAAATAAATAGAGTTTATTGCTTTTCTGTATAATACAATGTAAAATATAAGGAAACGTTACTTGAATTTACTATTTTTTTAAATCTGGAATTTCATTTTTATTAGTAGGTACAGTATACCTGTTAAAGTATTAATTAAGAAATTAACTAAGCAATGCCATTTGCAGAAAAAACATATACTACAATTATAATACATGATACAATTGAGAAATGTTATTTTATTATTCATACTTTATGATTATTATATGATTATTATACCATTAACGACATGATACAAGGTAAGCACAACGCAAATCATAATAAGGCAATCAATTGTATCAAGTCCTCAAGTAAAGTATCAACACGGTGTCGTTTATGTCATTCCATTTTACATGTACATGTATTAGTTGTTTTTTACATTAATACGGAATAAAACATACCATTTTATGAAAAATGGTGATCTAGTCCTATGGAAATAGAGATTATGTTTTACAGCAAGTTTGGCAACATACTTTATTGCACACTCTCAAGGGAAATACATCTTTGACGATAGAAGAATGAAAACGTCTTAGGGTCGCTTTTTTGTTTTTTGTCCCTCCCTTGTTTACATTCTCCAAAATATGAGAAATGAGAAAAGTCATCATAACTTTTTGAAACTCCAATTATCAAAACCAATTTCACAAGCTGGTGGTGAATATTTTAGCCCTTCACAAATTCTGGATTCTAATATAGAGATAAATAAATGGACTCATCCACCAGACCACCGCTCATCTGATAATGCTCCCACACGTGAGTTTTAAGCATATCAAATGAGCATAAAAAATAACTTTTCAACTATCGATCTAATCATTACCATTCACATTATTTTAATTTTCCAACTTATGATACTGTAAATAATAGTAATTATTCTGCTTGGTGTATTTAATGGGAAATAATCATAGATTAAAGTTACATTACATCTTGTTACCAAGAAAACAACAGCAATCAGCTGCATATCAGCAGAGATGAAGAATTTGATTTCAATTTTTGGATTGATGTGCCTCACACTGATAGCACATGCTCAAAAAGAAATCAAAATTAAAAGGGATCCAAGAAAGTTTTCAGAACCTGGAAAAACGATTAAATCACGTAAGTTACTTTATTGTGATTACATGAACACATGTACTTGTCACAAAAATTCACTCACCAAAGATTATAGATTTATTAGATTTAGAAAAGAAGTTTATTATTGAGCATGCAATTCACTTCTTTGACTTCATAAAAACTTCCAGATAATTGACGACTGCCAACACTCTTCACTCTTTTCACCCCCTAGAGATAGATTAAACTAATGTAGCAATATCAGTGATCTCCCCAGGATTTTTTTGCTTGCTTTAATGCTTAGGAGATCACTGAATATATTGAGACATTAGAAAATACAAAATATATTATATATTATTATACAGACCTCACAGGTTAAAATGTAATTCTGGACGCCAGTCTAATGATTATCTTATACATCCTATAACATCTGGTGGTTGTAAATAAATATGATAACAACACAAATCTTTGAATATTTTTTAAACATTTTTGCATTCAAGAAATTCTGTTCACAGAATTCTTATTTGTGAACATAGCCATTCATCTTTATTTTCATCGAAACAAAAAAATTCTCTGTACTTCCTTAAATAATATAGAACATTTGGGAGTATTGGAAAATATATCTATATGCTAAAAATGACATGAAGTGTAAGGGAAAATGATACCCTGCGTGCAGAGTCTAGTTAAACTACACTCTGCCTAGTAGAGACCATATTACAGTTTAGTAGCCCCGCCCCATGACGGGTACCGGTGACAGTATGGGTAAATCACTTTTGACCTACGCACTGACCTTCCACCAATCAGTGAGCTTGAAGAAACATACGGCAAATGCGTTCTAATTAAATATGCGCATGTCATTGGTCAATTCCGGGCTCAACGATGACGTCAGAAGGAATGACCATATAAAGAACGTCGGTCAAATTTGGCCGACGAACACTGATTGGCGCGGTGAGTTCACAGGTTTATTTTAGTTTGAAAGAGTGAAGACGAAGCTCTCTTTTAAGAAGTGTAGTCAAACGAATGCAAAGGGTAGGAAAATGACACTAATCACAAAAATATTTTCTTCTTGTTTTCACAACCTTTATTTTACTAAACAGGATGTTTCGGATCCTGTCTGGATCCTTTTTCAACTGTATTTTGTTTAGTAAAATAAAGGTTGTGCAAAGAAGAAAAAAATATTTTTGTGATTTGATAATCTAACCTGAAGAACATGTTTAAGAAAATGACACTAGTTTGAGAAAAGACACTTGTACTTAGTCTCTGATACACCTTGACATTGTTATAATGACTCTAGTATGATTGAGTGTTCAAATATCTGGTTATTTTGGATTTTGAAATCTCCTTCCATTGTTTAACATCAACCTAACAAATATGCAAAATATTTTTTCTTTTCTCTTCAAGGATGTCACCATGCAAATGAACGTTATATAGTTGAAAACATACCTCCAATATTTCGCCTCGAGAAGGTGCTCTGTGATTATTACCGGTGTGATAATTCATATTATGAGAAAACAAGGTGTCCTGATGGAATAGGCATTGGAGAAGATTTTTTGGAAACAGCTAAAGCTGGAATTGCCCACAGTCTTAATCCATGTAATTTACGTACAGAGGAATGTGCACAGCAAAATCCCATACAAAGTAAGTTCCAATTTCGGCATGTATTATCAGAATTGCAAAGTTCACTCTACTATACCTTGCATTTGGTGTTCATGAGCAACCCATCTGGCTTATTAGTAATGTCATGTTATTTGTTTTTATTTGTCTGTTCCTTATTAATGGTTTAATGGATGACTGTTAGATGGTAATAAGGTACTTTCAAAAATATACTGAACAATACAATTAGACAAACAGAGTGTCTTATGCATTTCTAGGGGTTAGGTATAGTAGAGTGAAGTTATTTATTGAAATATAGATACTGGTACATGAAAATATAGACTATATATGTATATGCATATTGTTTACTTTAAAATGGAATTCTAATTTTTTGAAGGTTTAAATCATTCTGTTAAAAAACAATATAGTTGATTGCATGATTTGATATAATGTACATTTATCAATAATGATTTATAACATGATTCTCATTTGTCAATGATCTTCATAGGGCCAGATCTTTCTCTCTGCGGTATGGATCTTATGTTGGTGATTGATATGAGCTGTTCCATCAGTGACGCAAACAAGACAACTGTCATAAAGTTTGTAAATAACCTCATTAGGAAGTTCAGACTCGGTCCACTACATGTAAAAATTGCAGGAGTCTCTTACGCATCAAAAGTCAATAATATTCAGACATTTAAAGAAGGCCGAAGCAGACCACTTACATTGAAAAACTTCGACAAAATGGTGAGGAATGATAGCAGGTGTCACACTGTTACACACAAGGCACTGGAAGCTGTACGAGATATATACTTCACAAAAGAAAATGGGGACAGAGGTTCATTCAAAAATGTCATGATTGTTGCAACTGATGGCAATTCCTATGAAGGGAAGAAAGTTGACAAAGAAATGTTGTCTAACCAAACCATTGCTTTAGGGACTGAACTTAGAGAGAGGGGAGTCATGTCTATGGTAATTGCGTTGCCAAAGAGGAAAAAGGGTGCTCTTGTTGGAATGAATGAGTGGCTGGGAATTGCTGGAGATCCAAAGAATGTATTATATATGAACTCATTTGAGGAACTTGAAAACAAAACCCAGTTAATAGCTGATAAGTCATGTGGTAAGCTGTTGATGATTTTTCATTTTTTATATGTATAAATTGGGTCTTAACAGTCAATTTAATATCAATGTAATAGTACAATAACATCATTTTAAGGGCAATATAGTGAAATATTGGACCAAGGGCCAAAGGCCCAAGGTCAAATATTTCACTATATTGCCCGCAAGGTGGTAATAATATAGTATTTGCAGTATATATTATACCTATAGTTTATTTATTTGTTACAGTGGTCTTGAATGAAGCGTAAACAAGGAAGCCGATCTCTGCCTTCCTACAACAGCTTTCGCATAGTGGCACCTAATCAGAAGTACAATATCAGACAGGGTCTAGTTTTAAAATGATTAATATAAAATACCCAAAGAAAATCAACCGTATGCATGTATGGAATTAATGTTCCTTGTGAATATTCATACTAAACTACTCTTTTGACTCTATATAAAAGAAAATTTGACATATCCTAAGCAAGCACTCAACAGTTTAATAGTAAATGTGCTATATTTGAACAATAAGATTAGGAACGTTTGTACATCTGGATGATCTAAGAACAAAGGATGAAAAATTATACTAAATGAAAAATAGGTTCACATATGGTGACTGTGTCCTTCTGAAGTCAATAATTCTGATATACTGTATATTTTATTTTTTAATAAATGACATATTCTAAACTAAAAGCTAGTTTTTCACTATTCTTAGCTTGTATTCACGAATGCAACTAACGCCTGTTGGCTACTAGATTAACTTACTTTTACATGAACAACTCATTAAAATATGAATGGAATAGTGGCAGGGACAAAGTGCGTAAATGAAGACTCACTTTTGATCTTCATAGTATTTCCAATGGATTAATAAGTACCCGATCTTTCATTTGACACCAAAAAAAGCTCAAACAGACCACATCAGAGTTGACACTTGATCATGACAAAATATTTTTGATCTATCAATTTATATATGTCAAGTTTTTAGCAATGCCATAGAAAGATGGCATTGTTGTTTGCATTAATTATCAATTCATTTTTGACAGGATTTTCAAGCATACGCCATCTTTTAATCCAAGAGTTATTTAAAACATACACTATTTGTGAAAAGTGGTAATTCACTTTTTTCAATCTCTGAACTTCAAATGCTGTTTTCTATGCATGTAATTTTTTTTTCACTTCAGTATTATCCCAAATTAAAATTTTTATCATATTTGATTGACTGTGTGAGTGACATGTCTCAAACAATATTTTGTCCTTTTTCATTCAAAAATAGGCGCATTGCCTGTTTAATTGAGTTGGCTAATGAAATAGCAGGTTAATCTGGAAGCTGATAGGTGTTAGTTGCATATGCAAAACTATTCTTAGTTAACCTATCGGGACTCAACTTTTCATTTCTTCATGACATTGTTTGCAATGAATTTATTGTCTTGGTCTGTTGACAAATACAGGGGGGTGACATGTAAGTAGACTGCCTACATAAAGTGAATAGTAATAGTAATATTCATATTGTAATAGATATACTTGCTATGTACGTGGATGTATAGATGGCATCTATACATGGTGTTTGTTACTGTCGTAAAAGTTCGCAAACTATTGCAAAGATTCGTAATGGGATCGTTCTTGTTTGCTTAATATGCAAATTAGGTAACCATGACCTGATAACTGTCGGCATGAAAAGTTTAGATATCTACCCCTGTAATGCCACTTAACGAACGTTGACGAAGCCTATGCCAAGACTTACTGATAGTTAACGCATTGAAACGAATTACAACGAATGATACACTAAACTTTTATTCGCCGCAAAATTTTAAACATGTTCAAACCTGAAAACTAGGCGAGTCCAACCACTAGGTTTTAGCGTATAAAATCAGTCAATCGGAATTTGGGTTATCAAAGATTACTTTGATAAATAGTGGCCATCTTGAAAATTCCTTCTCGAGTAGATTTCCTACAATCATAAGGCATAAGCCGATGAAACTTGTATCAAATCTGTCAACCACGGATGGACGGATGGATGGACGGCTTCTCTTTATCCTCCTCAAACTTCATTCCGTAGGATAATATATCATGGCCTAGACATTTTCTCATATATAAGGCAATATTTTACAGTAATTTATAAAACCTAATTATATGACGATAATTGTCATCAACAATGCATTAAATTAGCATATCCTGGCAAAGGTAAATAATATAATTGAAAAAAAAAACTAATTGTAAAGTCAGGATTGAATAATCATTATTTTTTAATCCTTTTCACTCAAATTTATATTCTTTTTCTGAATTTATTTCATTAAATATTCATCATTCTATTTGTTGTTCTGTGATATATAGTTATTTCTTAGACTCGGCGCTGGATTGTTATGGTATTAATATTTAATTTAATCCTAGCATAAATGAATAACTACATGGTTTATAAAACACAAAGCAAATTGACTTCATCACATCAAGTTTGGATCTGAAGGACTGAAGTGCCATATTGACGAAGATGAAGAATATGATTCCAATTTGCGCACTGATGTGTGTGATAGTCATGGTTCATGCTGATAAGGAAGTGAAAATAAAAGAAGAATCTGAGTTTTTCTCAGAACCAGGAAAAAATATTTCTTCAAGTAAGTGACATATTGTTACTTCATTCTCTCAAAACTCAACGCTAAAATCGTTAGTATGCTGAGTGGCAGTGTTCTTCAAATTATGCTTTATTTAAGAACTTCATGAACTTAAATAATTAGTTTTACCTTTTTAAAGCATGAAGTTGTATTTGAATTTACCTCGACCATTTGAATTTGCCTTGACTATTATAATTTGCCTCACCTATTTGAATTTGCCTCAACTATTTATCGCTTTGATAAAGTTTCTTTATCTCATCTTCGACTCGATAAAGAAGAATTATCAAAGCTCATCAAGAATGGACGATCTTGCACAGGTACTCATATAAGAACCTCTATATCTATAAGAATAGTTTGAAAAGTGAAAATTTGCTATAGTAGAAAATCCAGTAGTAACATTTATCTATAATTACACTGATATATTGCTAGTTAATTTTCTATTCTACTCAGTATATTTTATTACAAGTGCCACATATCATTACAGTTCTCTGACTTATAAGGTTTAAAATAATACACATCATCTTTGAACTTGCATATGAAACATGCATATCATGTCAGGATAAAATTGCATTGTATTTGTATATTTTTGATTTATATTAGCCATAAATGTCGTAAACTAGCAATACTATTTTCTCTTTTTGCCAGGATGCCACCAAAAGAATGAACAATATATACTTGAGGAGCTTCCACCGTTTGGCGCCGAGGAACTGGTCTGCGATTACTACAGATGTGTCAATACACGTTACCAGAAAACCAAGTGTCCCCCTGGTAGGGCTGTTGGAAAAAAGTATTTGGAAATGGCAAACCATGGAATTGCCACTAGTCTATTTCCCTGCAGCCAGCAAACTAAGGCTTGCGGAGGACTCAGTGATGTTTCATTTCGTAAGTTCAATATAATTGATCTCTTCATATGTTAATTCCTGACTTTGAAAGCTTAAGAAGTTTATTAAAGTTGCAATGAAAGAACAGTCAGAAGCTCTAATTAGCTTGTACTCAGCACATAGAACAAGTCTTTATTATTTTAACTTCAAAGCTAGTGATATTCTCTACAAAACACGATAATTAAGAGAAAACTGTCAACCCCTGAAACATCATTATTTTCGCTTTTTGAGATGATCAGGAGCTTGATATGGCAGAATACCTATTCCAGCAAAAAATATTTCTTCGAGGATAGGTATTCTGGCCATATTCAGCTCCTGATAATACTGTATTTGTTTTATTTTCAATCAATCTTAATATCAATCAAAATATAGTAGAGCAAACTAGAGTGATATAAATTACCAGCTCTGAACTAAGGTTTATTATAAAGTCATTTATAAATTTTATGAAAATCAATTTCAAAATGACAAGTACCCCTATGTCCAGAATAGATAATTTTTGAGTTTGAAAATAATATGTTATTTGGGTATTAAGAAATGTACAATACAAATTATTAATTTTCTTCTGAGAATATTAAGATTGCACCAAGCATTTATTGACTTAACATGAGAATATGCAACTTTGACTTAACATTAAGGGTATCATTATATCCCTTCAACCTAATATTATGTTTTTGCCCTTTGACCTCTATTGTCACACCTATATACTCATGTAGCATTTTTTATGTCACTCTTATTGGGGTCACACTCCCACCCTCATATAAACTAAGGAGAGAAGCAAAGTCACATAACTGATCATGGAGAGTAACACAAATATATCCTTTATGCAATTAAAGCACATTCTCCTGTTTTATATGAAAAATTATGATGTCAAAAAGAAACTTGGCATTGTTTTCATGGATATTTGGCTTGCAATTTCTAAGAGAAAATGTATCCATAACCACAAAGTGTAAACATCATAATTATATACTGTTGTGTTGCCTAGACCACAAACTTAAGTGTTATGGAAATTTAGATTGAAAATAGAAACCAATGGTCAGAATATATTTTGATTCTAAAAGCATGACTGATTTCTTAATTTCACCCCTTGGTGACGAAGGGTTAATATCTAATTTTGCATATTTCATACCAACTGAGGTTTTAGGTACATCATACCTTATAAAGATCTAAAATTCCTAAATATACTTAAGGTACGCATTTTACTGGTCTTAAAGTTTGCGAGATTTTCAAAAAATTTGATAAAAAGAAATTTGAACAAAATAGAAAAAAAGTGAAAAAAAATTTGAAAAAAATTTGAAAAAAAATTTGAAAAAATGTGAACCTCGCATTGGATAATCTCTATACATTGTATGAGCTGAAATGATTCTTGAATTTTGTTACACTGAAATCATTTTGATTTCAAACATAACAATGGTAAAAGGTGCAAATGAACTTTCTCCAAAAATGATGAGTAATCCACATTGAAAATATTTTTTAATGGTTCCTTCTTGATAGTTCGAGTGCTCCTTATTCATATAAGGATTGTTCATATGTATATAACTTGAGGGTAAATATGTAAAAGTAGGACTAAAATTAGGTTGATCAATATAATACTGGTTGTCAAGATCTACTAAAAACTGTCTCTAAGTCAATCATATTTTTCATGATTATTTATTTACATCTAAATTATTTTACTCTTGTTATTATTATATTGTTTTTTTAAAACCTTTATATTGTTGATTAACAGCTTGATAAATAAACATCAATAGATTAGATGCGAGTAGATATAATCTTGATTAATGTCATTAAATATTCAGAATTCAGTCAAAGTGATATCATATTTAAAATCTACAAGTAAAAATACTTCTAGAAATATGGTTACAGAAATAGTTTATCAACTTTGAAAATTTACTTTTTTTGAAAATATAATTTCTGTTCGGGGAGATTCCCCATAGAGCCCATGTTATAAAATAACAAAAAGTTATATATCTTTTCTTGTAATGCACAGATAATATTTTCTTTAACTGGACATATTTTAATTTGCATAACTGTTAGATACATAAGGGTGATATGAAAATTGAACCGCTAAAACAGATAAATATTAAGTTAAAGGGAACTTTCTCCTATACCCGCCATGCTATCTGACCCGAACGAGCCACCTAGTGGTGAAACTGGTAACTACCTACTCGCATCTGAGTCATTGACAAAATCATTCTAATTCATACCTTCATATATTACAGGACCAGATTTAAGGTTTTGTGGCTTTGACCTGATATGGGTAGTAGATATGAGTTGCTCCATTGCGGATGAAGACAAAGCAAAGGTGGTTGACTTCATCAACAAAGTTATTTCAAAGTTTCATATTGGTCCAATGCATGTTCTAACAGGAGGTCTCTCTTATGCATCAGAGACAAATGACATACAGACACTTAAAGAAGGCAGAAATAAACCAATCACACTTAGAAACTTCGCGAAAATGGAACAAAAAGATGGCAAGTGTCGAACAAGGACAGATTTAGCCCTGAAACAAGTTCGAGATCATTACTTCACGAAAGCTGCTGGAGATAGGCCTGATTACCAAAATGTTATGGTATTCATCAGTGATGGAATGACATACATTTCAAAGCAAGATGACAATGAAGCTTTTTCTCAAGAAGCAATTGGTTATGGGGTTGATATCAGGAAATCAGGAGCAATAAATATTGTGGTAGGGATGCCGCATGCAAAAAAGGATGACTATGTAGGAATGGAAGAATGGATAGGGATAAGTGGAGACTCATCAAGAATATATCTTATGGAATCTTTTGAAGAGCTCGCAGAAAAAGTACAATACATGGCAGAAAATATTTGTCGTAAGTAGTTGCCTGTCATCTCCAAACTTTTGAAAGCTTTACGAATACATTGTGTTATACAGTATATTTCTAGGTGAAGACTTTAATATCAATTCCGACATACAGAAAAGTAAATGTTAATCAAAACCAGTAATAATTAATACTCTTAATCACTTTTATCTAATTTTAGCATCATCTTCGGAGCAGTAAATACATGCATTAGTAAGCCTATCAATGGTGCCTTTATAAAAAGGACTCTTGCTACTAACTACAGAATGTCAACATGGATGCTCGGAGCATCTCACTTATGAATATCTGAAGGCCTCGAGAAACTAAAACTAATCAAAAAGGAAATATGTCAATGAACTATGCATATGCATATGTTTAAAGTAACAAAGTGAATTGAGTTTTGAATTCCATGTATATTCCACCAGAAATGCAATAAATGGTTTTGACTAAAGAATTGTGCTTATGGTTGTTAATGATTACGACAGATCAATGACACAATGTGTCACAATGACAGATCTTCTATGTAACTTTTCTAGTCATATATACAAAATATGTCAACTATTCAAAATGCATCACTAGCACATTTTCCCTCATGATTGTAATGCTTCAGAGCTCTTTTAAAAGAATTACATATAGAAAATATTTTAAAGTAATTTATAAAACCTAATTATATGAGGATAATTGTCATCAACAATGCATTAAATTAGCATATCCTGGCAAAAGTAAATAATATAATTGAAAAAAAAACTAATTGTAAAGTCAGGATTGAATAATCATTATTTTTTAATCCTTTTCACTCAAATTTATATTCTTTTTCTGAATTTATTTCATTAAATATTCATCATTCTATTTGTTGTTCTGTGATATATAGTTATTTCTTAGACTCGGCGCTGGATTGTTATGGTATTAATATTTAATTTAATCCTAGCATAAATGAATAACTACATGGTTTATAAAACACAAAGCAAATTGACTTCATCACATCAAGTTTGGATCTGAAGGACTGAGGTGCCATACTGACGAAGATGAAGAATATGATTCCAATTTGCGCACTGATGTGTGTGATAGTCATGGTTCATGCTGATAAAGAAGTGAAAATAAAAGAAGAATCTGAGTTTTTCTCAGAACCAGGAAAAAATATTTCTTCAAGTAAGTGACATATTGTAACTTCATTCTCTCAAAACTCAACGCTAAAATCATTAGTATGCTGAATTGCAGTGTTCTTCAAATTATGCTTTATTTAAGAACTTCATGAACTTAAATAATTAGTTTTACCTTTTTAAAGCATGAAGTTGTATTTGAATTTGCCTCGACCATTTGAATTTGCCTTGACTATTATAATTTGCCTCACCTATTTGAATTTGCCTTTACTATTATAATTTGCCTCACCTATTTGAATTTGCCTTGACTATTATAATTTGCCTCACCTATTTGAATTTGCCTTGACTATTATAATTTGCCTCACCTATTTGAATTTGCCTTTACTATTATAATTTGCCTCACCTATTTGAATTTGCCTCAACTATTTATCGCTTTGATAAAGTTTCTTTATCTCATCTTCGACTCGATAAAGAAGAATTATCAAAGCTCATCAAGAATGGACGATCTTGCACAGGTACTCATATAAGAACCTCTATATCTATAAGAATAGTTTGAAAAGTGAAAATTTGTTATATACTAGTAGTAGAAAATCCAGTAGTAACATTTATCTATAATTACACTGATATATTGCTAGTTAATTTTCTATTCTACTCAGTATATTTTATTACAAGTGCCACATATCATTACAGTTCTCTGACTTATAAGGTTTAAAATAATGCACATCATCTTTAAACTTGCATATGAAACATGCATATTATGTCAGGATAAAATTGCATTGTATTTGTATATTTTGGATTTATATTAGCCATAAATGTCGTCAACTAGCAATACTATTTTCTCTTTTTGCCAGGATGCCACCAAAAGAATGAACAATATATACTTAAGGAGCTACCACCGTTTGGCGGCGATGAACTGGTCTGCGATTACTACAGATGTGTCAATACACGTTACCAGAAAACCAAGTGTCCCCCTGGTAGGGCTGTTGGAAAAAAGTATTTGGAAATGGCAAACCAAGGAATTGCCACTAGTCTATTTCCCTGTAGCCAGCTTACTAAGGCTTGCGGAGGACTCAGTGATGTTTCATTTCGTAAGTGCGATATAAAGCTTATAAAGTTTATTAAAGTTGCAATGAAACAACAGTCAGAAGCTCTAGTTAGCTTGTACTCAGAACATAGAACAAGTCTTATTTTAACTACAAACAAGTGATATTCCCCACAAAACACGATAAATAAGAGAAAAAAATGTCAACCCCCAAAACATTGCTATTTTCGCAGACTTTTTGAGGTCATGTGACCATGACAGTTTTAACGTACTGGATGATCAGGAGCTTGATATGGCAGAATACCATATTCAAGCAAAAAATATTTCTCCGAGGATAGGTATTCTGGCCAAATTCAGCTCCTGTTCATCCTGTATTTGTTTTATTCTCAATCAATCTTTGGAGTGTACTGCAATGTACTTAAATTTTTAGAATTTTGATTTTTCTTCAAACTAAGACTTCATCCGTTTACCTATATGCCTACACTGAACAAAAAATTGTCCCAGAAGATTTCTTTTTCATTTAATATTGTTTTTCTGTTATATTGTTTTGACTAATAAATGTGTTTTAATAGTTATAGGTACACTTTTTTCTCTTATTTGGCACACAATACAAGTATTTATTTCACAAAATATTTGAGTTACAGTGAAATGAAATTCTTGTGTGGGATTCTTCAAAAAATACTGGACAGTCCTGACCGATATCAAAAAAATATTGGTCAGTTTTAAAAAAAATATTAATCTGTTATTAAAGAAAGCCAGATATGGCCAAATTACCAGCCGCTTAAAACCACCTCTGAACTAAAGTTCCAATACACCATTGGAAAGCTGAAAGTGTCAGCTTTAAGAATCTGACCTCCATTATATTGGCCTCGGAATAATCCCAAAATCCGGAACCTCGTATAGGATAATCTCTTTACATTGTATGCGCTGAAATGATTCTTGAATTTTGTTACATTGAAATCATTTTGATTTCAAACATAACAATGGTAAAAGGAGTTATCCACATTGAAAATATGTTTAATGGTTCCTTCTTCATGGTTCGAATGCTCCCTATTCATATTAAGGATTGTTCATATTTATATAACTTGAGGGTAAAATGAGGTTGATCAATATAATACTGGTTGTCAAGATCTACTAAAAACTATCTCAGAGTCAAACATATTTTTCATGATTATTCATTTACATGTAAATTATTTTACTCTTGTTATTATATTGTTTTTTAAAACCTTTATATTGTTGATTAACAGCTTGATAAATAAACATCAATTGACAAAATCATTTTAATTCATACCTTCATATATTACAGGACCAGATTTAAAGTTTTGTGGCTTTGACCTGATCTGGGTGGTAGACATGAGTTGCTCCATTGCGGATGATGACAAAACAAAGGTGGTTGAGTTCATAAACAATGTTATTAAAAAGTTTCATATTGGTCCAATGCATGTTCTAACCGGTGGTCTCTCTTATGCATCAGAGACAAATGACATACAGACTCTTAAAGAAGGCAGAAATAAAGCAATCACACTTAGAAACTTCGCGAAAATGGAACAAAAAGAATGCAAGTGTCGAACAAGGACAGATTTAGCCCTGAAACAAGTTCGAGATCATTACTTCACGAAAGCTGCTGGAGATAGGCCTGATTACCAAAATGTTATGGTATTCATCAGTGATGGAATGACATACATTTCAAAGCAAGATGACAATGAAGCTTTTTCTCAGGAAGCAATTTGTTATGGGGTTGACATCAGGAAATCAGGAGCGAAAAATATTGTGGTAGGGATGCCGCATGCAAAAAAGGATGACTATGTAGGAATGGAAGAATGGATAGGGATAAGTGGAGACTCATCAAGAATATATCTTATGGAATCTTTTGAAGAGCTCGCAGAAAAAGTACAATACATGGCAGAAAATATTTGTCGTAAGTAGTTGCCTGTCATCTTCAAACTTTTGAAAGCTTTACGAATACATTGTGTTATACAGTATATTTCTAGGTGAAGACTTTAATATCAATTCCGACATACAGAAAAGTAAATGTTAATCAAAACCAGTAATAATTAATACTCTTAATCACTTTTATCTAATTTTAGCATCTTCGGAGCAGTAAATACATGCATTAGTAAGCCTATCAATGGTGCCTTTATAAAAAGGACTCTTGCTACTAACTACAGAATGTCAACATGGATGCTCGGAGCATCTCACTTATGAATATCTGAAGGCCTTGAGAAACTAAAACTAATCAAAAAGGAAATATGTCAATGAACTATGCATATGCATATGTTTAAAGTAACAAAGTGAATTGAGTTTTGAATTCCATGTATATTCCACCAGAAATGCAATAAATGGTTTTGACTAAAGAATTGTGCTTATGGTTGTTAATGATTACGACAGATCAATGACACAATGTGTCACAATGACAGATCTTCTATGTAACTTTTCTAGTCATATATACAAAATATGTCAACTATTCAAAATGCATCACTGGCACATTTTCCCTCATGATTGTAATACTTCAGAGCTCTTTTAAAAGAATTACATATAGAAAATGCTCAATTTGTGGGATTACAAAGTGATTCCTTCAGTTTTGCTGCTTGACAACAAAATCTGATTTCTGTGAAAGTTGCTGATATGATGAAGGAATAGACAGATGGTTAAGAACAAGTGGGCAATTCCGTTGATTCAACATGTACTATGTGAGCAAAACATTCTCATGGTGAGTAACGATGTACCTAAAAAGTAAATGTTACACAATTGAAGCAAACAAATGGAGGATTTTTTTAATTGGACTTTTAAAATCATTTAACATAGACCCCAGAGTTCTACAAAGCCATAGATCCCTTACAAAAAAAAAAATATATAGAAAATATACAAATAGAACACAATATGGTTTCAGTGAGGTATTATCACTCATACTTGTAAGTGGCTTGGAAGCAGTACTCACTTTTTATTTTATTTTATTTATTTATTTGGAAACTACGCTTTTACAACAGCAGCACATAAAAATTGGTGCGTCCATTTAAGATACATTTATATGAAGATAAAAAATGTAGTTGGTATTATTTGAGACATTGCATTAATAAGTTGACTTAAATCTTGATTAAAATCATTGTATCTGACTTTATTGAATGCATTAACCAAATATCACTCAGTGAACCGTAATGTTTTTTAGTCTATTTCAAATCAATTCATTCAGATAGTTTTTTAATAAAATTGTGAATTGGAATTGACACAAAAAGTGACCAGATGGTTGCACACAATATTAAAGTATTCTGACAGGAACATAAATTGTAGCACATTCTATTAGATAACAGTGCCACCAATTCCCGTCAAATGTGTTGTTTTATTACATTAACCCTATATGTATTCTACATATTTATGGGTCAATTCATGGTCACATGATATGAAATAGATCTAGACTCTTTCCCTGGAAAGTCCAAAATCCCCGCTCTCTCAGATTACGGGGAAGATAAAACGTAGTAATCACAGGCGATGTCATTGAAATCCCAGGAAAACCACTCACAGTTCAAGTTCTGACAACAATATGGCCAGTCGTTTTTAAACGATGAATGAAGATGATTTGGATGAATTGATGGACTAAGCCAACTCTTTGGCCACAAAAAAACATATATCAAATCTTCAAAGAAACTCTTTGAAGAGTACTGTAGAGAAACTAATTGCGATGATGGCTCAGATAGTCCAGAAACCATCCAGTGGACATATATTCCCTCGGGGAAAATAGCTTGCACTATTTCCCTTAATGGCAGTCACTATTTGTATAATGACCAACCAAAATGGCCATAATTTGTGATGAATTGAGAAATAACATGTAGTATGTAGATATTTAATATAGACAAACAATCTACAAAATGTGCTTTAATAATTTTCCATTTTTCAAATTGACTGCCTTAATCGAAAAAGGGTAGAAAACACTGCACCATGCTTAAAATCAAACAAATATCATATAAGATACCAATAAAATCACTCTAATATCTACTTTTTGAGCTCATGCCAAAAACATAAAACAAAACATGCAAAAATAGCTGCATAAGTTGACAAGAAAGAATAGTCACTAATTTGAACAAAAAGTGATAATCACACTTCCAACAAAATAAAATAATGGAAAAAAAGTAACTCTATTGTCTAAAAATCCCTAGAAACTATATACTGTACATGGCAATTTTTTGCCAATAATGGCTTATTTGTAACATCAGAACATCCAATGTTATCCAAATAATATTGCACTTTGGTCCTTTGATTGCTTACTAATATTTTAAGGTTTTATTGACGCCAAAGTTGAATTGAAATGGTCTGAATATGTAACTAGTCTAACATCTGGGCCTCAAAACAAACTGAATTTGAAAAATGACCCAAGAGAGCTTTGAATTTTGACAAGACACATAATGACTAGTCCAGTGATATACTGTACAGAGTAAAAACTATATCAAAGACAAGAGCTTTTGCTCATTTTCAATGGTGGTAAACAAGACAATTAAAATACTATAAACAACAAAGATATCTTTATGATATTGTTTGAAATATAAAAATGTATTTTATAATGATTGCTAGGAATCGTTACTTTTACAAATTGTGTCGGCGTTACCTGTTTTACTTATAAGAGCATTCATCAGACAAATAATATGAAAATCAACATTGTGCAATCTGAATTACTTTAACAATTATCAAATTAACATTTATTTAATATTTATGTATTTGTTATATCAAAGTTCATGTTGAGTCAATTTGATATTTTATGCCATAAAGTTGTTTTTATTCATTTTTTATTGCTAAGATTGTTTTCAATTGCAAAGTTATTGATATCATTATATAAGAAACCCAAACAAGCTGACTTCATTTAAATTGTTGCTTAACTTCAGTTAATGACACACGTTCTAACAATAATGAAGAACATATTATCAATTTTTCTATTGATGTGTATCACACTGCTAGTACATGCTCAAAAAGAACTGGAGGTCAAAAAGGAAAGTGAATATTTCTCTGAACCAGGAAAATCGATAAATTCACGTAAGTGACCAATTATTATCATGCTCTAAACAATGGATAACCTTTAAGGGATGTCTCTTTCCTGAGGTTAAGATATTTTGATAATGGACTCTTCTACCTGCCACCCCAATTCAATGATTGATTTAGGGTAGCTTATTATCTGAAATGAAGCAGCTTATAAGTTGTTTGAAATTCCTACTAAAATGAGACATTCTAATTTCTAACTCTGTGTGAGAATGCATTAGTCAATCAGTGAATCATTTTACAGAAAAAAATATTTGATATATATTTTTTGAATAAAAAATTCAAAAAATACTTTTTGATGTTTTTTGACTGAAATAACTGTCCCAAAATGGTATATCCTTTATTTAGTCAAATTTTGACTTACCTATACAATAACATTATGTATATATATATATTGTATTGTGTAATGATAGCCTAGAGTAGTGTAGTGTAGTTTAGGGTAGTTAAGTTAATTAATACTTATTTTGTAATGACTAATATGCCAGGTCATGACATCTAAGAGTCAATAAAAAATATAAAAGCAATAAAGCATGTCTCACCTAATTTTCATTTTAGTTACATTTCTGTATTGAGCATTACCGATATTATTGGCTGAACAGTTTTTCTCTTTGCCAGGTTGCCATCAAGAAAATGAATACTATATAGTACAGCCTTCAATATTTGGGGATGTGTGCGACTATTACAAATGTGTAAATACATATTATGAGAAATTTAGATGTCCTCCTGGAAGAGGTGTTGGAAAAGATTATTTGGATTACGGAAAAGAGGGTATTGCCCATAGTCTATTTCCCTGTAGCCTAAACACAGAAGCATGTGCTTTAGGAAACCCTGTACCTCGTAAGTTCAATTCATAATATTCATTTCTTATCATTTCACATATCAAAATAAAGTTCTACATGTATTAAAAATACAAAAAAGACAATTGACAAAATCATTTTAATTCATACCTTCATATATTACAGGACCAGATTTCAAATTTTGTGGCTTTGATCTGATCTGGGTGGTAGACATGAGTTGCTCCATTGCGGATGAGAGCAAAGCAAAGGTGGTTGACTTCATATACAATGTTATTAAAAAGTTTCATATTGGTCCAATGCATGTTCTAACTGGTGGTCTCTCTTATGGGTCAAAGATACATGACATACAGACTCTTAAAGAAGGCAGAAATAAACCAATTACACTAAAAAACTTTAAGAACATGGTTCAAGATGATGGCAGTTGTAAAACAGTGACATATAAAGCACTCAAACAAGTTCATGATCACTACTTCAAGAAAGAAAATGGAGATCGACCAGATTACCAAAATATTATGATATTTATCAGTGACGGCATAACATATGAAGGGAGGCTTGCTGACAACGAAGCTTTATCTCAAGAAGCAATTGGTTATGGAGCGGATATAAAGAAATCGGGAACAATAAATTTTGTACTGGGGATGCCAAACAAAAGGAAGGATGATTATGTTGGTATGAAAGAATGGGGAGGGATAGCTAGCTCGAATGGCAATGTAACACACATATATCTAATGGAATCATTTGATGAGCTTGCGGAAAAGGTGCAATACATGGCAGAAAATATCTGCTGTAAGTAAGCCTCTGTCATAAATAAGTTGTTCTTATTTATTATCACATTATTACAGGCATTATACATGTATTTAATTTTTATATTAATACATGTAATATTGATTTTGGAAAACATATCTGAGCTTGACCTTCTCCTTTGGGAGACTAGAGAGCTTGACCTTCTCCTTTGGGAAACTAGAGAGCTTGACTTTCTCCTTTGGGAGACTAGAGAGTTTGACCTTCTCCTTTGGGAGACTAGAGAGCTTGACCTTCTCCTTTGGGAGACTAAAGAGCTTGACCTTCTCCTTTGGGAGACTAAAGAGCTTGACCTTCTCCTTTGGGAGACTAGAGAGCTCCACATAATACTACTGCATAACCGCTTATCCTTAATATAAAAAAAAAATTAATCAGATGTTTCTTTAATTCCAGTACAATCTACATTGTATTAAAAGGCCAAGCACAGTACTCTCGATGCTGCTTCTTGATGATCACCTTATAGAATCCTTCCACTATGCTGACATAGAGGCAATGACAACCAAACCATTAGTATCTTCTGAGGCTGCACTGACAATATGCAGGCCACAAGAAAACATCTTATCTATTAAACCATATGAACAATAAAATTGCTTGCCTGCACTTCCATATATATTTCTACTGTGTTAAGCTTTGTCTACCCCCATATGTCTACCCCACAGAGTATTAAATAACTTAATTTAAATGATTCACTATAGTCATCAAGGTCTTGTGGTTTGCTTGATTTGAAGAGTGAAAAATAAACTAGATGATGGGAACACCAAGGTATAACAATTATTGAACATCTTATTAAATGTCAGACATTAGATTGGCTTCCATCATTTCTCAAAACGGTCCTTCATACTAACTAGATGAATCACAATTATGGTTTGGGATTGTTGGGGTTTTCTTTTTCTGTGTTCTGTTTTGGTCTTTTCACTTTGCCACTTGTGAAAACATATTTCTTGTTACAATAAAGTATGTCATGCTTGCATGCATTTACATACCAATTAAATTGGTCTATCATATTTTAAAGTTTTCAGGAGTATTTAAAGTGACACATAAAACTGGCTAAACATTTTAGCAGCGGTCCGGGTAGATCGGCTCGGTTTCTTTAAAATTTCTGCTATCTTCATGTCAACCAGAAACACAAATGACCTTCTATTCAACAAAGACATCACTACCAGCCATATGATATGAGATGCAAATAAATATGTAACTAAATAAAATACAATGATGCCATCTTTCATAGTAGACAGACTTGAATATTTATATCACCTGGAATCAATATTATATTAATTTTATTATAAAATAATTCAACTTACACAGCATCTGACGTTACAGCTTGAAGTGACTCTTCTCAGAGTAGCAAAAGATTCATTTGAAACTTTGAAATTAGAAAAAAAGACATCATGAAAAGTACAACAATGAAAAGTATCTACACCTTCAAATGTTTTCCTCTTATTTGTTCCATTTATTTGGATGTATGACCTCATAACCTGGTTTAATATAACAATGAAACACAATAGAAGCTAATCATTCCAATCAGCTGTTAACTTTTACTTATCTTATACACTCTCAGTTTGCGGGTTGCTATTACACAATTATTTTGAGATTTTGTATCATTTGTACCTCCTTTTCCCAACCCGTACAAAACTAGCCACATGATTGTTTCGTTTCTTATCTTAACTTGTACCTTAAAATTTTAAATCTATTGTTATTAATGCTAGCAGATTACTAGCAACAATTTGTTTCAAATGAAATCCACACTTACGTGAGAAATAAAGACACATACATACATACATACATACATAACATTATAAAACATAAAGCTACTAGGTGATAATAGTTTACTTTGTATTTAGTTCATTAAGTAACTTTCAATACCTGTCAATATATTGACAAAACTTATTTAACTGAATAATCATGATGAAACACATGATTAAATTGTCACTAAATTTCACAAATTATCTTAATACAACTGATAAACTAACTTTTTTATGTGAAATAGAACAGTAATAAAGAAAATACAGCATGGAGGTCATTATTAGTGCTTTTATATTAATAAATTTATATTGGACATCAAATGCAATTTCAAGCGATTACTATTTTTCAAACAAAGAAAAAACAAAAGAATCAAGTGAGTATAAATACATCTTACATATTTATTTTCTGATTTGTATAAGGGCCACTTAACTTGTATTGGTGAATGTAACTTTCGACTGGGCTACCGCATTCACTTACTATTTTATGGGCAACTTATTTAAATATGAATAGTTACTCCCAATGTTCCATTCAGTAGAGTTTGTTATAATTTGTTAGATTAGATTCATTTGTATTTAAGTTAGGTCCTGAAGAAGCTAAAGAATTGGATAAAGGAAACATAGGGTAGTTTGTTCATTTATTCTATATGATTCATGTTCATCAGAAGGTAAGTTGTGCCATATCTATCTAGAGAAAAGAATATGTTGTCAGATCCCAGAATTATGCAAGAAAAATTGAAATTGTGCAGCAAAAAAACACAAAAAATTATATAGAGGAAAATGCAAATTATCTAATTATCTACAACAAAAACTTAAAAAATCCATATTTAAGTATATAAAAGCCTTCTTAAATTTTGTGATAGCACCAATCCCATCTCACCATATGTACCACCATTTTCGGTATAGGAGATTTTAAACTTTTTTACCTATTAATTATGAATATGATGAAGCAATGAAACATCAGGTGAAATAACTATGCACTGATGAATGAATCATGTAACATTTCTAGAAATTCAAAACTATGAAAAAATTTAAAAAGCACCACATGGACACATGTTTCTGGAATCTGTGAGTGTTTTGTTATTAAAAATACTAGATACATTATATTCAGTTCACATATATGTGGTGGAGTCAACATCTATTCATAAAGCTGTCCATAAAATACAAAAGTTCACAACAGTCACCAGGAGGAAACTATGGCCATAAAACCCAGTCTCAAAGCAAAATGCTGCAGAAACAACCTTTTTGATGAGAGATCTAAGGTGCTGGCATATCAAAAAGTAGGCACATCAATCTTAGCCTAGATCAAGTTTTGGATTTTATTGAGTTACACTACGTCCCAGTTTCTACTCATTTCTGGCATTACTGACATCTAAGAATGATTTACCTTTGCTTGATTCTCTTTAAGGGTGTCACCAGGCCAATGAGCGTTACCTAGTCATTCCTCCACCACCATTTGCAAGCCAGGATGATGAAGGGTGTACTTACTATGAATGTGACAACACACGTTACATAAAGCGGACATGCCAAAAAGGACAGGCTGTGAGTCGGAAATACAAAAAAAGATCAGGGTATCCAGGACGACTTCACCCCTGTATTACAAGTTCATTAACACCATGTGGGTTAAGAGACGAAATCAAACGTTAGTATTTTATTGTTAATTCAATTCATTCAGGAAATCAATCAAGCATGTTAGAAACATGATTTTGTAAGTGATAACATTAGTGGTTGGCTTTAAACAATTGTAGATATTTATGTCACTGATCATTGTTCAATCATATCATTTTTCCAGGTCCTGAAGTAAACTTATGTGGAATGGATTTAGTCATTGTGATGGATATGAGTTGCTCTATTGCAGAAAAAGACAAACTTTTAATGATCAAATTTGTGCAAAATCTTATTAGCAAGTTTCGCATAAGCGCTCTCAATGTTAAAGTAGCTGGAGTCACATACGCAGGAGGAGTCCACAACATACAGACTTTCCAAGAAGGTAGAAATCGTGCGATCACTCAGAACAACTTTGATCGCATGGTAACGAAAGACAATAATTGTCACACAGTGACAAATGAAGCCTTAGAGCTGATTAGAGATGTTTATCTCAAAAAGGAACAAGGAAGCCGGAAGAATTACCCAAAAGTTATGATGATATTTAGTGATGGGAAGACATTCAAGGGAAAGAAAATTGATTCTGAGGTTTTATCCAATAAAACCATTGAAGTAGGGAAAAGTATAAGAGATATGGGAGTGTTATCACTTGTAGTAGGGATACCAGGCAGGAATAAGAAATTGAGTGGCTATCACGAATGGCTTGGGATAGCTGGAACAGAAAAAAATATTTTTGTTGCAGAGTCTGCTGAACGGTTGAACATGTTACAAGAGAAAGTGCTACACTTAGCTGAGACCACCTGCAGTAAGTCTAAAGCTAAACATTTATGACTGCAAAAATGATCCAAATAAATTTGGGCTGGTGATTGAGAACTATAATTCGTCAAGTGGACTGAATTTTTTAACATTTGAAACCACTCAGGATGATGAATAGTTGGTAACGAATCCTCTGAAATGGCCAATATGTCCCGATATTGATTATGTCTAAATGAAGGATCATACAGTAAAAATCATATGATTTTATACAAATCATATGATTTTATATTATTAAATATAGTGTAGAACAACTTAGTTTTTATATTGAACATTACAGTTTCCATGACAGAACATTCTGTTTTTAATAAACTTTATTTTACAATATTTTTAAATTTTTATCAACATGCTATATTTTCGCCAGATTAAATTTACAGGGCATTTAAGAGTTTGAAACATGTGTACCATTACTAAATATATGTACCAAAGTCAAGACCTTTTGGTATACAATTGTTTAAATTACAACAAGAGGCCTTTCCTCTACCATGATCAAAATAGTTCACATGCATGACCACTATTTTGAGTGAACATTGTTTGTCTTGAAGTATACCATTTTCATATATGGAACTGTCACTTTTTTAGTGACTGACTAATATGACCCAATTCCCGACCCCTCCACCCTATTTCAGAGCCACTCCCTCCCATTTGGGAATACAATAACTCAATATTATAACAACTCATATAATCTAAGTTTATGATCATCAAATGCTGCTCCCTAAAAGGATACATGCTGCTAACTTATGTTTTGTATTTTACAGGCAGCAACCCGAAGCAATAGAAGATAGAAGATGTGGCTCTGCAGCTAACAAATCTGCAGAATGCTGTTTCAAAATAATTTGTCAATCACAGAAACTTAAAAAAATATAAGTCAAGAGATTGAATGTATTTAATTTGTTGATTTCTTTAAACACTAGTAATTGTAATAGCATTCAACCTTTTTGTTTGTTCTTACAATATAATCACTGTCAACCTTTAATATAAAAGTAAATATTAAAGGCTGTCAATCTTTGTAAAGTATACAAAAAGGTCATTTGAATAGAAACATGACACACATTAAATCATCTTTATAGAGGGCTTGCTTCTGACATAAAAATGAGTCACAATGATATTCAGTTTGGAACATAAATAAATGACTACTACATTTGTTATCACCATTTCCAAACCATGATGGTTTGAAGTTCATAGTTTCCAATATTGTTTTGATAAATATCCCCTACAATTTGTATATTTTACATTTTGCTTACTCTCATCCACTGAATCAGTGGATGAGAGTAAGCAAAATGTAAAATATACAAATTTTAATTGTATCGCCTCTTGAAAATTCTCTTCTTTTTAACATGGGAAATCCTCACTTCAGCAAATCCAGGTATCTCTAACCTGAATGTGACCAAAAATATGGGTGCTATTGTCAAAGAGAGGATGGATATTGAGTTGTAAAAAGAGGTCGGTAAGGGCAGATACTCCAAGGAAACTCTTCTAAAATGCCTTAAAAAAGTTTTATGAGGATTATAAAATGTCATACCCCTATTTGAAGTGCATTTAAGGTCATATCTGCTGTTAACGTGGCCAAGGGAGACACGCCAACTATTAATTTTGTGTAAAACTAAACTTTAATTTTGGTAAAACACTACATTTTGAAATACGTGTAACTTTTTCTCGTTCGAGAGTTGAACCATGATACTTTGCAAATCAATTTAAATAACCTCACAACTTATAGGAACTGTGATAAAGAATTATAATTATTATATACCCCTCTGCAATAAAATAACATGACCTAATTCTTGTTTGGGTAACTTTGGACAAGCTTTAAAATGATATATGGCACATACTATGGGGACATTGGTGTATGTCTGCCTAGGGGGGAGGCATACTTTCGGGACACCCTGTACATATACAGAATCAAACAACAAATTACACAATATCTCTCCATCATCAAACCCTCTCAGGGATTCTTGACTAATGCACCGATAATTGCGATGGCCTCTTAGCCATTTAAATATGATTATTTCTGAACAAACAATAAAAATCAATATCTCAGAGATTCTCAGATTATCTTTTATCAATGCACCGAGCATTAACGTGGCCTCTTTGCCATTTAGACACTATTATATGTGCAATAAACTTTTTCAGTCAATAATCAATAAATCTTTTATTCTTCAACACTCAAATACTGAAATATATTTGTGGCTATACCTGTTACTTAATTGTATATACTGTGTGCCAAATATGAACATGAACAGTCAAAATTAACAGTAGTTACATTAAAAGACTGCAAATTTTCAACAAAGTTTCAACATTACTTTGATGAAATAAGATAATTTGAATAGCATGTCTAAATTGTTTTGAACTTATGTCAGTTTCGTGGATACCCTTATCACGAAGTGTAAGAAGAACCTAATTGTTTGTATTTAGAGGTCTACCTCCATCCGAAGCTTAAACTGACGATGGTGTAGGCTCCAAAGCGCTAATGTAAAATATTGAGATATTGAGATATTGAGAACTGTCTTTGACAAATGCATTCTAATGTAATTCTTAAATTGCCTTTCAAACAACAAACAAATTCGAGCCCCGGTATCACACTTAGCGCCAAATTCAAAAGTGGTTTAACAGTTCTATTCAGTTAATGATTTCACTAAATCATTTTCGAAAGACCACGTGCAGTATAGCAGCTTTCACCATGAGTACTTTCTGGGCATAAATACAGTGGTTTTTATTAAGACAATATCTTTTCTTTCAAGTGAAGTACCCATGATGATAAAAATATAAATCAAACATTTCGAAAAAATTATGAATAGGGACCCCATGTCAACATATTTTTCAAAATATTGAACCAATTTACTCAAAAGAGGATCTTCTTTTTCTGATTTTTATTGCATGAAAACATTATTCAACAAGGGGTCTAAGTCATGTTCAAAAATAGAATGGTATTGAAAGTCTAGTTTTGAAGATATCAATTTTCGATGACCAAAATTATGCTGAAAACAATGGATAGCACGAGTTTTCCCTATGGGAAAATAACATGGGATATGTGGTTTTAAACTCATTTCAATACCCATCCCCTTTTCAGAAATTGTTAATATAGTATAGAGGAGACTTCCGATATGTTTAAATTGAGAAAATAAAAGATCCTCTTTTTCGAAAATAAGCCTAACATTCTTCAAAAAGTGCCAAGGTGGGGCCCTTATCCATAATTTTTCAGAGAGTTGGATTGATATTTTACTATCATGGGGACTTCACTTGAAAGAAAACATATTGTTTACATAAAAGCCACTGTATTTATGGCCAGAAAGTACTCATGGTGAAAGATATGACAGTCTAAAATCACTTGCCATACTGCACGTGGTCTTTTATTCACTTCGTTCAAATGTTAGAAAATATATTTCTTTTCCTCTATGGTGCTTCCTATTGTGTCCTTCCTAAACAAAACTGCCTGACATTTTAGATAAAAAAAGTTGATTTTTTTCTGCATAAAAAAGCAAAAATATATATTTTAACTCACACACAAATATTTGCTTCATTAACATGTACCTAAAGGCATTAATATGAGCCTAGTTATAACACTCTATGCCTCATTGACTTGACTTCATTTAATTTTTTCAATAAATAAGTTTACCTTATTATAACTGATACAGCATGTGATAGCTCCTTCGCTTACACAGTGAACTGTTACTGCATTTATCCATGTTAAAATTGTTCTTTAATTTATCTGTTTAGTTTACAATTTTTCTTTAAAATTGGGATATGGGAGTCTAACCTCGCATCTTGGTGTACCTAAGATGCAGTGCTTGCAGTTTCTTGAACTGGAATAAGAAGATGTTGTAAAAACAATAAAAAGATGAGTTCACCATGTGAGCCAAAAATTAATATGCATATGATCTAAGAAAGATCTAATTCTAAATAAATATAAATATGAATAACATAATCTAATTCTAAATATATGAATAACACAATCTTCAACTGAATTCATCTATGAGAAGACTCAAAATTACATTTTGAGTAAACATGATATATTCAGAAAAAATTCTTAAAGTGTGTGCCAAAGTTTAAAACTGCGCAGGTGCAGCGCTCTCGCTAACCTATATAAAGAGATTACAAGGTACAGGCTTCAGAGGTAAGCCAGGGAGGTGAACAATCTTCGTCCTGTGTTGATTTCCCGTATTATCATAACCAGGCAAGTTTCACCATTGAAATTGAAAATTACTATTAGATATACTTTGTAGATATTATTTATGAAGCTATTAAGTGTATGCATCAATCAAATGGCTCATTTTGAACATATAAAAAGTATTTGTGTTTTGTTTCCCAGGGAACTGTATTCCCATGTAGTACACACATAAATAGTGTACATTATGAATAGCCTGGTTTATATAATATTGAAGGGCATGCTGATTGTACACACGAGTACATGCATGAAGGCCTAATATTGATATAGCTTGCATACCTAAATAAAAAATAAACTCTTCTAATCCCCTTATGTAAACATGGCGGTATACGTAGCCCGATTTATCGGGGACTTTAAAAACCAAAAGTACTTTAAACATGATGATGACAAGTCCCTGACATAATGTCACCACCTAGTTGCTCAAATCGCAAATCTTAAGTCAGATTTGAACTTTTGAGAACTAGTAGATGATTTTGAAAAACAATGGTCAATTTGAAGCAAGTTGAAAAATACCTTTTTGACCTTGAGAAGGTCATTGAAGGTCAAATCTCAAATCTAACGTCAGATTTGAACTTCTGAGAACTTGAACTTGTAGATGATTTAGAAAAAATTGAAATCAGTCTAAACAGTATTTTGTAAAGTTATTGGAAGTTGTAAGAATTTGTTATTTATAGACGGCAACCGCCAACCACAGGATGCCAACTGCTACCCACCAGCCACCATCCACTGTCACAAAAAAGATCAAAACAATATATCACTACTTTTTGGCGGTGCCATAATACACACAATATATGGACAAATAAATGTCCATATAGCTTTAATAGTGTTTTGTAACATCAATTTTGATGGACAGATGGAGCAACAGACAGATGGACTATTGAATACATAGGCAGTCCCACAGTGGCCACCCAACTTTATGCAAGAACGCTAAAAATCGAACATATCAACAAATCATCATGACTGCAAAATATAACTACAATTGGATTAGCGAGTGATGATAATTATGTTAATGTAAAACAAAATTTTATTAGATTAGATTAATCCTAAGCATGGAGATAAATCTATTCTATATTCGTATTGATTTTAGATTACAACTAGATATACATCTATTTCCTGCCCCCTTATATTGACAATGACTGATTCGTAAATCATTTGGACATCGACTTTAAAGACTGGAATATCATCATGAAAATTTTTCATTGTTTATTTCTTCTGTCAATTCTGTCAGAAATCAAAGGAAAGAGCACTATAAAAGCTCCAATGAGAAGACCAGAAGATAGTAAGTACTATTATTATTAGAATATTTACTGTCTCTATAATATGAAGTTAAATTTTTTTTATACTTTCTTATATTAAACTAATTCATTGTTAACTGGCTGATGTTTCAGATGATTGATGAATGAATCATGAATGTATCATGAATTAAAAGTACAATATATTTGGCAAACAAGTTTATAAGCTTTATCTTGCTTAAAGGCCCCATGTAAAGTTTAAACCACTTTGGCTTATATTGTAGTCTTACCCAATGTTATCAAAGTGTGATATGTGAAACTTTTTTTTTAAATTTCAAAAAGTGGTTTTTGATAGACTTGTTGTTCAAAAATTTGTTAATTTATTTAAAACCAACTTTTAGAGGTCACTCATATCTTCTAATTAGCCACAATTCATACCAATGCATAGCATTCATCCTTCCATGTTTTTTGCCGAAAAAATTAAGAAAATCGGTTGATAAACAAGCGAGAAATGAACTTATCAGTGCATGAAAATGGTTCTGAGAAAAATGCATTTCAAAATTTTAGTTCTCATAGAAACCAATGGTACAATGATATCTAAAACATAATTCATTCTTCTTTTTAATCTGGTGAGACAATCAACATTGGTTTTTTATGAAAGTCTAGCATATTTAGAAAAGATTGACATCGAAAAAAAAAATTCAATTTTTTTCAAAAAGTTTTTGTTACCTTAGTGACATCACTAATGTTTCAAAATATTTTTGATAAGCTAAAACATTGAAGTGGCCCATTAAATATGACATTTTATTATTGAAATAGTGTGTCTTTTGTTCAATCTTTGCATTGGTGTTAAAAAGATAATCTTTTTTGAAATGCATTAAGAAATATTTGATGATTAAGAAATTTCAACTGAAAAATGGCGGGAAATTTGAACATTTGAGAAATGAAATGCTCACAACTTTTTTTTCAAAAATTTTTTTTGTTCAAAAATCTCTTAAATCACTTTTTAAGTCCTGACAAATCGTCGCATGAGAATAACTTTGTACTATCCCACATTTTTACGGAACTGAGAAATCAAGGTTTGAAAGTTTAGAGGTCTGTATCTTACTTAGTATTGCTATGTGAAACTTGATTTTTTGTATGTTACCTGGTCTCACCCTAGAGATATCTCATATGAAATATCATACCTTGAAACAATTTACAAGATCCTTTTTTAAAACTATGGAAATGGAGTTGATACAATTTCCCACCGGAATAACAGCTTATTTCTAATTTCAAATTGTCATTTCTGATATCAACTGTTTCAACCAATCAACTCTCTAAGAATTGGTCATGTGACTTGCAAAACTTGGAGTTATAACAATCTTATATTAAAACAAAGTATGCCAATATGCATGTTATTGTATCTAGAATGAAAATAATGTTTTGCTTTGTAAAAAAGTCTTCAAAAACCAAAGAATATTATTTAATAAAATAAAGAAAATTCAATTTATAAAACTTTAAAATCAATTTCTCAAATAAGTACAATTATTTCTTAATTTTGGAATCTCAGGACACTCTTCAAAAAGAATTTATTGCCTTTGAAACTAAGGCAGAAGTACAATGCATTGAAACCAATGATGCCAATACGGTCCCCCACATATTTCCCTCGGTATAAACCCTGTAGCCTAAACCTCCCAGCACATTACAATGTAGCCCCTAAGGGCCGGTCCGCTGGTCATTATCAGGTTATTTTTGATACAGACCAGTTGATTTTTTCACTGGGTATAGGAAAATAACATTGCAACTGGTCCGTAATTCCATTTTGACCAGAAGGTTTCAGATCCTTAGGGCCTAAGACATAACCAATTTTTATGACATGCACATGGAAGAAATTTGAAAATAGAAAAATAAATTCTAATTCATTTTAGATTAATGAAAGTGATGAAACCTCGATTTAGGTAATCACATTTTGTTCATTGGGATGCAGCTATCATTATCCATTCATTTTCTGTTGTTTGCTACTCTGTGGAGTACAATTGGGAATTGAAGCAATTGTAGAAGTGGAGACTAAGAGTGGCTCTTTGTAAAGAAATTGAACCAATTTGTTACTTTTCCAAAATAAAATGTAGATGATCTAAAAACAATGATCCCAAAAATGCAAAAGAAAGGACAAATCTGAAAAACATACTAGTAATAAAATAACTAAAAAGATCCCAGATGTTCAGTGAAAAGTAAATCATAAATGAAGAGAAAATTAAATAAATGTTTTAAGGGACTATACTAACATAAAGATAACTCCTTATTGATATAGTGTATGGTCAGTAAAAGTTAAAGCTAGTTTGAATAGATTTAGCTTTTTTCCACAAACTTTAAAACATAATTTTGAAAGAGATTTCAATACTAATCTAGTATACAGACAGTGATTGCCTTTGAGCAATGTAGTGCAAAATATGACAGTTACTATTTGTTTTGATTACTATATCTAGTAATATATAACCTATTATTATGTACTCTATTTGAAGAAACAAATAAGTAGTCTTTCATTTTCAACATTTAATGATGACAGCTTCGTATATGCATTTCTATTGCATTTGGCCATTCAAACTCCTATAAGACCTGGTAGCAGGGAAGATAAAGGGTACCTTTGACTGCTCACATGATCTAATTAACTGGTCATTTGTACTTTTCATCTTCCCTGGTAGCGAGGATTTAGGTTTTCGAGGAAATTAGTAATTCTATTTCATATCATGTGGCCATGATAATCCAATGAGCATCCATAATACAAAGAGTAATTGAGGGCATATAATTTGAATACTAGTATGCATGGGATTACACATACATGTACTGTATCATTTTATTTTTTTGATCTCTTTGTAATAGTTCTAAAACTAAAACATGAAAGGCCAGGCATGCAAACTGGCATGGTATTGTGTTACAAAACATTATTTCATTCTAGATAAAATAACATGCATATTGGCATACTTCGTTTTAATATAAGATTGTTATAACTCCAAGTTTTGTAAGTCACATGACCAATTCTTAGACAGTTGATTTGTTGAAACAGTTGATATCAGATATGACAATTTGAAATTAAAAATAAGCTGTTTGTCTGGAGATGGTACAATTTCACACTGAATTCTAGCTTAATGAGAGGGAATTGAGATGGGGCGTGTATCTGAGATGAAAGCCTGTGTTTCAAATAGTAAAATTCCATGTCTATCTCAATTTTTTTGAAAATGGCAGTTAGTACAAAGTTATTCTCACGCGACGAAATAGTAAAAGAATGATAAAAAAATATTTTCAAACTTTAGACGGGGACTTTAACAGTCTTCAAAGGTTTTCAATTTGTCAGACGTTATGAACATGAACTTGAATATATTGTAAATTTACATATAAAACTATCATTTTTTATCTTAGAAACTCAGTTTTACTCGACTCATAAAAGATATCCTCCTAAAGTCAGAAGATTCTTAGAATATTTTCAGCAATATTTATACAAAATTTATAAAGAATCAGTTCATATAATACTATAAGTAGATGAAGGCTCAAGGCTAAAAGTTAATCAACTTCAGAACCTTAGATGGCAATGAAATTAAGATAAATCAATACAGAAAAATCATCATTATATTGAATAAATTCTGCAGGAGTTGAGTGGCAAGCTACTAATAAGCACAACCAAATCAAAAAAGAGGTTTTGTTCACAGTGACCAACCATAATACAATCCAGACATATTTTCATGTCTAAACATGGGTTTGTCAGTAAAGATTGAAGCCAGAAGCTTTTTTAATTCTTGACAAATCACCATTTGTTTCTACCATGGTAGCATTTTCTAAAATCAAATTGGTAGAAAAATCATTCAGGAAAAATTATCTTCAGTATCAGGAACATCATTTAGTTTGGTAAATATACATGTATATTTTATACACAGAATATTTATAGTTAGACATGTGCTAAAGACAAACTGACTATTTCCTTGAATTAATATTATGTTTAACAATGAACAGATTGCTATAATGCCAATGGGTTGTTTAAATGTTTGTGATGAGTAGTCCATATATTATTTCTTCTGAATCCAGAAAGGATTGGTATCGATATGGTGAACTGAATTCAAAATTGTTTTTCTCTTAAACCAATTATTGAAAACAATCTGTAAAAACACTGTCCTTTATGTAATGGTCACTGATTGACAACAATTTAATGTAAAAATTATTTATATATATATTATATAACTGCTATTATAAAGAATTTTTGTTTTTAGTGCAATTGTTCTTTGTTCTTTTTCAACCAATTCTTGAGAATGAAACATAATATCTTTCCGAACTTTGGCAGAACAAAATAGCATAGGCAACATTTTCTTATACCTCTCAAAATTATAGTTATGCAAAGAAAAATTTGGTTCATTTAACAGAAAATGTTCATAAGATTTAAACAAAAAAACAAAAATAGATAAAAATCAAAGTAAACCTTTTATTTCATGAACAAGATACTTTTTTCAAATGAACCAAACTTTCCTTTATACAATTACAATATTGAGAGACCTAAACACATTGTGTATATGTCATTTTGTTCCAATGAGGTTTGGATAGATGTTTCGTTTCATTCCGAACATATGATACCAAGAAGAAAAGAAATGTCTGATGTGTTTCCTAAATTTATATAAAAGTATCTTTATGTTTTTCAAATTAAATTGTTACCATTCAAAAGATGATCCTTAAATTGACACTTGAATGTCTTTTTCATGACAGGTTTAAGAGAATGCAGTTCACCATATTGATACCAATCCTTTAGGGAATAAATATATAGTGTGTCTTGTCCTGACTATGTTATGCTTATATCCATTGTGCTGATTATCACTGGTGATCCACTCGATTACGCTGGTTACCAAAACAAACCGTTTTGGTAACAAAATGTCGGAACGTCGAAGGCACGATTTTTCTTTTTTCCTGATTTCACGCGTTGTAGGCAGAATCCCCACGACGTTTTTTCTGACAACGTGCATCAGTATCATATGTTTTAGAAAATGTACATGTTTGCGAAAAAATAGCTCAGAAGACAACAGAATCGTCGATTTACTTCCTCACTTAAGTTACATAAACGGTTTTTTCGAAAAACAGTGAAGATCTGCACTTTTAACCCATACCGTTTATGTAACTTAAGTGAGGAAGTAAATCGACAATTCTGTTGTCTTCTGAACTATTTGTTCGCAAATATGTACAATTTCTTAAACATATGATACTGATACACGTTTGTGTTAAAAAATGTCGTGGGAATTCTGCTACAACGTATAAAATAAGGAAACGAGAAAAATCGTACCTTCGATGTTCCGACATTTTGTTACCAAAACGAACTGTTTTGGTAACCAGCGTAATCGAGTGGATCACCAGTGATTATGTCCTAAAAACTCAACCAGAACAACGGCAACGTCAAAGCGTAGCGAATCCCATCGAACAGAAATGGCTGGCATTTTTACAAACGAAATATATAGCAAATATCATGAAATAACACACATAAGAAAGGCCATCATTTTCAAAATGGTTGCTCACTAGCCAAGTTGTCATCAGAAAAAGAAATATGCTTTTTTTTAGTATTCACATACCAAATATGAACAAAATCGCTCCACTACTTTTCGAGTTATAGAAATATACGTTAATATGGCGGCCATTTTTCAAAATGGCCGCTTTCTACCGAAAGTGTCATTAGACAGTGTGCCATACTATAAGTATTCACAAACCAAATATGAACAAAATCACTCCACTACTTTTTGAGTTATAGTAAAATATGTTAAAATGGCGGCCATTTTGAAAAATGGCTGCCTTCAACTGAAAGTGTCATTAGACAGTGTGCTATGCTTATAGTATTCACAAACCAAATATGAACAAAATCGTTCCACTACTTTTTGAGTTATAGTAAAATATGTTAAAATGGCGGCCATTCTCAAAATGGCTGCCTCCTACCAAAAGTGTCATTAGACAGTGAGCCATGCTTACGGTTTTCTCATACCAAATATGAACAAAATCGCTCCACTACTTCTTGAGTTCCAGCAAAAATCGTAAAATAACGAGTAAAGGCGGCCATTTTTCAAGATGGCTGCCATGTGCTTCTCTAATATCTACATTTCTAGCTTTATCAATGTCCTATATCATTATTTTACATTTAAAACATAATGCTATTACAGTTTTACATATTGCAACTAAATTACTGTAAAATCGGCACTAAAATGGCCGCCATTTTTAAATGAGCGGCCATTTTGAAAATCGGCTTTCGAGCAGAACTTCTACCCCTATAGGGTATATGTGTACAAAATATGAACAAAATCAGGCCAACGGTATTTGAGTTATTGCCCGGACGGACAGACGTACGTACGGACTGACGGACGGACGGACGGACGTACATACGGACGGACGGAGGCGTTCCCTATATCCCTCCGAACTTCGTTCGATGGGATAATAATTAATTCTAACCAGCAATTATTTACACTAATCCCAAACTTCATTTTATTCAGGATGTATTGGCACTAGTGACTTATATCTAGTTATCAATCCTTCAAGGATTTGGCAACTGCCTCTTAATATCCAAATCCAATGTGCATTCTATCTTTGTGTGAATACATACTACAAGCTGCAGAGCTGTCCAGCTGGGAAATCTATTGGAAAAAACGCCTTGAGACGTGCCAGAAAGGGGTTTGCACAAAATACCAACCCATGTGTAAGGAATGGCTTTGAGAATTGCAAAAGTATAGTTGGGAATGCATTAGTGTTTGAAGATGACCAGCGAGTAGAATTGGCAGGAGATAATGATGTTATCTATGGTATGGATTTAGTGTTTCTAGATAAAAATTGAAATTTCAGAATGTGAGTTGTACAAAAATTATTTCTTGACTACAAGTAAGTATGTCACAAGAAACTTATATAATAACACCTGTATTAGTGAACACCTCTCTCTAGTGAACATCTGTTTCTAGAGAAACTTATATAGTAACACCTGTCCTGTATTAGTGAACACCTCTCTCTAGTGAACACCTGTCTCTAGTAGACACCTTTCCTACGCACATATTATTGACTTATGCATAAATAATCATCTCCATACTGAACATCTACCAATACTGAATGATTTCATCATGCTCGATAAACATAGTAACACCTGTATCTGAACTCCTGGCTAAACCAACACTTTTTTCAGTCCCATTTTTTCCTCCCATTGACTCCAATATTAAAGACACATTGAAATTTGAACATATCCCAATTTGTACATTGAACAGTCATATTTTCATAAAATATAACACGTTTCATAAAACGAAATTACTCAAATAATTTTCGTCAATCACGGTTTTATTATAATATGGTTTTATCATGATAAACTTTTTACAAAACAGTAAATGGCCTCAACGATAATGTGTCTTTCTAACATGACATAAAAATTTATTTGAATCATGTGTTCAAATTTCTTCAAAATCCAGAATCTTGCAAATGTCATTATCTGTACGCTTTAGCCGGGTCCCTATGGTGTTCGGATAAGACAGGTTTTACTGTCCTTGCATTAGAGTTTAAAAACAGGACAAATAATTATGTACAAGGGTTGTTCAAAAATGATTTATAAATGAGCTAAAAATGATAGATTAAAGGATCTAAGCTTAAGAGGCCTCTGGCAAAATTATTTTCACACACAAATTACCAACAGAGCTCAGTTACCCCTATGCTTTGAATTGAATGATAAATAATATCACAATATGACAATGATAAGATTCCTAAATTCATATTTGATAAGTTATAAATCTGTATCTTCTTTTCTTTTTCAGCCCTTCCTCCACCTCCTAAACAACGCATATTCTGTGGAGTAGATTTATTTTGGGTGATTGACATGAGCTGCTCCATAAAAGACATAAACAAACAAGCAATAGTAGAGTTTGTAATGGAGGTTATAAATGGATTTCAGATCAGTGCTGTTCATATGAAAACTGGTGGAGTTACATATGGGGCTACAGTGTATAGTATACAGACATTAAGAGAAGGGAGAAATCGTGCATTAACATTAAAAAACTTTCAAAATATGGTTACAATACCGGCTAAATGTCAAACAGCTACAGACGAAGCGCTTCTAAGAATAAAAAGAGACTTTTTGTCTGAGTCAAATGGCAACCGACCTGAATTCCCAGATGCAATGATCGTCATTACTGATGGTAACACCTTCCATGGTAGAAAACAAGATAATGCAGCCTTCTCCAGGAAAACAGTAGAAATAGCTACAGAGATCCGTGAAATGGGTGTTACCACATATGTAATTGGACTACCATCAGGGTCGAAAGACAAAATCACTGAAGACAGTTATAGGGAGTGGTTGGGCATAGCAGGAGAAGAGAGGAACATATTCCTGATGGCCAACTTTGCACAGCTCAAGCAACAGGTGACTGAGATGTCAAGTAAAGCTTGTGTCAGGTAGGCATTTATCTCCAGTTCATATTTGTTTAAAACAATGATTACATGTACTTGCCGCTGTTTCTAAAAACTTTGCATGTTTCTGAATGTGAAAGGTTAACAGATACAAGGGATATGAATGCAAATGCATGTACATGTTTACAGATTTCAGAATAACAATTTTACAGTGATATTATTCATGCCTATGAAGCAATAGCTGATAAGCATTTTAACACTAAACTGTATATCTAAGACCATAAGCATTTAAGCACTATACTGTATATTAGACCATAAGCATTTAAGCACTTTACTGTATATTAGACCACATGGATCACGTTCAATATGATGTCTCAACACTTTGAACCAAATGAAATTTTATTTGAAGTTCATGAAGTATAAGCAATGTACATGTGGGTACATGTAAGTAACATAATACAGTAGATTTTGTTTTTATAAAATTAATATGTCCAATATTTATTGATTGAATGTCAAAATTACAATGAATTTAATGTAGTTCGTATTTGTTCTAGCTCTTATAACCAAATGTAATTTACTATAGTTAGTTAATTATCAATTAGGTAACCCTTTCTATCATGTGAATGACTTGTTTTTTATTTTTTCTTAAATTAATACCTTAACCTTTGATTAAAACAAAATAAAAACATGCTAACCATTGCAGCTGTTATTTTCAGCACATAAGCTTGGAATATGGTGAGACATAAAGGAAAATTATCTCACAATGGTTCAATGGATTGGCCAAGTAGCACTCGCTCATATGTTCTACACCCCTACATGTCATTTACTGTACTGTTATAACTATAGATAGCAATAAATCAGCCCTGTTTAATACCTTACCTAATTGATCTACTGATTTATCAACTGATTGAATATGAAGTTGATAGATGAATTAATTCTCACTGTATATATTTATACAATGAAGCTTGTAAAGTGCAACACTTATAAAAGTGGTGGAACACTTTTCAGAGTCCAGAGACCAATACCCTTTGCATTTGTTCGATTTAACTTCTTAAAAGATGGCTTTGTTTTCACTCTTTCAGTTTACAATAAATCTTTGATCTCACTGAGCCAATCAGAGTTCGTCGTCAAAATACGGACGACTATCTATGTGGTCATTTCCTCTGACATCACCGCATAGTTAATGGGCATGTATTTAGCACATGTTCCTTCCACTTCGCTGATTGGTTAAGAAAGGGTCAGGGTGGTAGATTTGAAATGATTTATTACCCAGGCTGTCACAGGCACCAATCTATGGGGTGGGGCTGCTAAACTGTATAAAGTCTATACTAGGCAGAGGGTAGTTTATAACTAACTCTGCGCGCAGGGTAAAAGACCAACTGCTTAATGTTAAATGAACCTCTATAAGTGGAACACTAATTCCATGTGGAACACTTTTCAAAGATACAAAAGGTGTTCCTTTTAGACAGGTTTTACTGTACTTTGAAAACATGACTGGGTTCATTTACCAAATGATATTAGTATTTATAATCGATTATGCATATTAAGATCATGATCTAACGTAGTATATTGTCAATATCTTATCTATTCTCAAATCCAGGACCTCACATACAATTCTTACAAATCCAGAGGCTTAAACATAAATGAATAAATATAATATATATATAAATATATATTATATATAGGTGGGGTTAAAACATATAAAGATGGCGCTGTTTGGAATCCAGTGACCAATCAGAAAAATGCATCTCCTTGGCTTCGAGACCCATGTGTAGAGTAAATAAATAAATAAATATTATAAATATTAATACAGAAAGATCTGAGTAATATCATTATGGGGAGAATAACCTTGTTTTCCATAGGTTAACCCCATGATATTGTTTATTTGGGGGGGGGGGTTCAAATTCAAAAATTTACATTATTGACAATATCCAAATGGCCTTATTGACATCGAAAGCACCTTCCTGATAAATGTGTATGTTTACATGATGATCATTCTACCTTAAAAAACAAACTTAATCTTACATAACTTATATAGAGAATAAAAATGATAAATGGTATCTACATTCATTAAAGATTGGTATACAAATTAAACCATGATGTAATAACTGAATTAATCTCAAACAGAACTGATGAAAATGAACCTTTTATTTTCTTCAATTACTATGGTATGTTTGATAGCAGAAAAAGTAGGAGGATTTATTAAATACTCTGAGCCTGGGCAGACAAATATATCAAGTAAGATGATTATTTTTTGTAATATAATTCCAGAACTCATGAGTCCTTATATTAGATTTAATACTGTGTGTGAGATAATACCTACTGGTCATGTGTCTAGGTTCGCGTTAACGCCGTTTTTCGCGTTTTTTACGCAGTTAATTTCATCTTCACGCAAAACTGCAACACATCTTACGTATCGTGTACGCAAAAATCATATCCCCCAAATGTACCGATGAAATAATACCAAAAACAACCAAAAAACAAAAATTAAAAACTAAGCAAGCTCTCTAACAGCGTAACATAACGATCAATCTGATTCGTGCATAATATTTGTCTTCCGGTTATTAAGCCAATCAAAATTCTTGTAGCAAACGTATGGGGCTAAACAGGGTATAGCTGCAGAATATTTTCCGCAGGACCGTTCGTGTGAATTGATCGATCATTTTATAATCTGTACTGTACAGCCGTGAGGAATCAACTTGTTCATGGTAAATGGAGATAATCAACCCTAATATAGATGGTCACCATGTTAGATTCTTTTTAAATATTTCGAATGGCCACTTGAATCGGCGGGACTGCATTGAAATAACCACGGCTATTTGATGCCTACCGACTGCAGCAATCTGATGCAAGCACCATACCCGGATGTCATAAGGGGATTCCCCAAGCCAAACCGTCAGCTTGAAAAAATTTTGATGAAAAAATGATAATTTCTTCGTTCTGTGCCGATCAACTTTTTTGATCGGAGATTCAATAACATAAAAATAATCCTAGAACACTCAGGAATTTACTGAGGCAGGTTATTTGTGTAAAACTCGGGTCAAAAATCATGATTATAAGTGCCGTTCCACATCACCACACTTCAGGGTGGGCGTGGCACATCGAGAAGGCTACAGATGTTCATGACGCCTTGATTTATATTTTTTCATGATATTAGAATTTGAGCTACAGTTTAGTCTCGAGAGGTAAATTCTAAAGTTGAAAGATGAAACATAGTCTTGCTTAAAAGACCCTGTACTCCCCCCCCCCCTTCATCCTTCTCTGTATATTGCAGGTAAAGAGAGTGAAGGTAACGGGGGGGACACAGTCTTTGAGCAAGACTAGATGAAACAATATTGGGGTGTTTGGGGAGGTTCCATGGATGGTACCTTAGCCATGGAAGGTAAGTTACAGGGACTTTGTGGAGGCCTCAGAAGAAGGTAAACAGGAATGACTTGCAATGCATGAGTACAGCTGAAGCGATTTTCAAAAAGTACCCCAAAATAATTATTTGTACCCCATTTTTTGAAGTGACCTGGGTATGAAGTACTCAAAATTACCAAGGCCTAGCGCAATCACTGTGTGTGTTATATTAGAAACTTTTAAAAATTTCAGGAGATATTAGTTATTTCTTGCTTATTTAAAATATTTGAAAATTTGAAAAACATGTCAAGAGGGAGGAATGAAATAAAGTGAAATTTGAAAAAATAATTTCCTCCAGTTCAAATGTGAGCCTTCAAATGCACATCATATGCTACCATGTCCAAAAACAGTAATTTGAATAGTAATTCAAAACCTATCAATATCAATAAGGATTATATAGTGGGAGGTTTTGAATACAAGATTTATCTCATGGGAAACATTTATATCTCCCGAGGGCCCACAGGGACCGATATTCAGATACACTATATATTCACTGCTACCCACCTAATTACACAGACGTATCGTCGGTGTATCATGGCGGAACTTCCTCCGGGACTAGCTTTCGGTAAGATTTTTTTATTTCCCGATTTACACCTACTTATAAGTCACGTTGTGGATAATAATTTGTCACATTAATATTGCCAATATTACACTGATATTGGTCGTTCGTCAGTGTAAGAAAAGCGAGGGACTAAATACGTGAATTGTGTCTTTGTTAACATATAAAACCAAAAACCATCGACACATTCTCAAACTAGACTATCTTCCTTAACTTCGAGCCAAATTATTATTTCCAAATATGTTTTTCAATAACTACATAATTTGCATATCCTTGTATGTGCAAAGCTTTATTCAAATACAGAGCAATCTTATTTGCAGTTAAGCATCCTCAATTTTTTTCAAATTATGAAGCATAACAATTGGCATGATCTATCCCAAATCTCAATCACATGAGAATATAGATAAAAATATCTATGAAGTAAGTGCTGATAAGCATTTAAGCACTAAACTGTATATTAGACAATACGCATTTAAGCACTATACTGTATGTTAGACAATAAGCATTTAAGCACTATACTGTATATTATTAGACCATATGGATCACATTCAATCAATCAACTTCAATATAATGTCACAACCCTTGAACCAAATGAAATTTTATTTGAAAGTCATCAAGTGTAGCTATTCAATTATATATGTTATGTGGGTACATGTAAATATCATCATTCAGTAGCTTTTATATTTACAAAATTAATATGACATCAATCAAATGTCCAAATTATACAACGCATTTTAATGTAGTTCATATTTGCTCAGTGGTTCTTATTATAACCAAATGTCATTTACTTAAATGGTTTAGTCATCATATTAGTATACAGTCCTTTTCTAACATGTGAATATTTTGTTTTTTGATTTTTTCTCAAGTAAATTGCTTAAACTTTGACAATATGTAAAAAAACAAAAACATAATAAAATAGAAAAACATGCTTTACCATTGCAGCTGTTATTTTCAGCACATAAGCTTTGGATATGGTGAGACATAAAGGAAAATTATCTCACAATGGTTCAATGGATTGGCCAAGTAGCACTCGCTCATAAGTTCTACACCTCTACATGTCATTTACTGTACTGTATAACTAAATATAACAATAAATTATTCCTGTTTGAATACCTTGTCTAATTGATCCACTGATTCGTCAATTGATTGACTGATTATAAAGTTGATTGATTAATTTTATCTTCACTGTATGTACTTTTAAAACATGACTGCAGTCATTCACCAAATGATGTTAAAGAGTATTTAAATCAATTATGCACATTAACAGATGGACTATATGGTCAATATCTTATCTATTCTCTATGGTCTTAGATCCAGGATCTCACATACACTTAGCTACAGGCTCTTATGCATACAGAGGCTTAAACATTAATAAACAAGGCAATAACACGCAAAATGTCACCACCCAATCTGCCATTTGTTACAGACACAGAAAGGCGAACACCAACAACCATACATCATCCACAAAAAAGTTGGAGACCATAATAATATGTCACCATTTGTGGTGGTGATATAACAAAACAGTGTACATGTATATCTATATCGAAAGCTACTTTGTAATAATATGTATGATACGCACTTATGCATGTATTATCTGCCTACCCAGGCACATAATGTCTGATTTGTATAGATTTGATATTTCTTGTATAGGGTCAATGACACAAAGATGCCTGACCTTAGGCTCTTAGAACTTAGACTCACTGTTTACGTAGAATTCAGATATATGTATATGTTTATATGTTGATCATTCTCGGCGAACAAACATGTTTTTACATAAAACAACACAAAGAATAAATATGATAAATGGTATCTACATTCATTAGAGTGGTACACAAATTAATTCATGTTGTAATAACTGAATTAATCTAAAGCGGAACTGATGAAAATGAAGACTATTACTACCCTTTTGTTTTTTTCAATTACTATAGTAAGCTTGATAGCAGAAAAAAAATTAGGAGGATCTATAAAATACTCTAAGCCTGCACAGACAAGTAAATCAAGTAAGATGTTTAATATAATTGTAACAAATGTATATTTCTAATGTTATTTCATGACTAATCAGCCTTTAACAGCTGTAGCGTAGCCAGGATGAGGCAGACGAAGCACTTGCCTTGTCACTTTTTCAACATCCTTTGAGAAATATTTATTATTCTAAATGATGGAAATGTTTCTTACAAGATGGCTTACTTATGCTTTTGCAAATTTGAAAAACATATCGAGAAAAAGGAATGAAATGAAGCTAAATTTACAAATGTTAAAATGTCACTCCACTCCAAATATGAGCCCATTTTTACCCTGGTGCATATCAAAAGCTTCCTTTAACATCACATCTTTGGAATTCTAAACCTATCAAAATAAAAATTCCTTACAAAGGGTAAAATAATATCTAAAAAGTATAGAACAAGTCATTATATAATGCAAGCAAGGATCATACATGTTTTATAGGGTGTAATTTAAATGAACAAAGGTATTTGGCAAAGAATGACCTAAACATCCCTGATGGTTTACCAAAGTGTGACTTCTATCAATGTGTTAACACCTACTATGTAGAGACAAGTTGCTCAACTGGAACAGCTATCAGCAGAAGGGCTTTGAAAAAAGCTCGTAAGAAAATCGCACAAAATGTGAACCCATGTGTCTCGGTTAAGGAGGGTTGTACAGGATCTATACGCACAACTGCAGGTGTTGGTAGGACATCAATTAGTTATTATAGATTGTTCTAAAGCTGGAAATAAGGTAGATTTTGGACTCATTGAGTTATAGCCTTGAAAAAGCAGCCAATGTTTCCCTATCTTAAATATCAGATAGTTTCAGAGTTTCATCAAAATCACCATATAATTTTTTTTTGGAATCGTATGATTTAACACATTCAAATATTTTTTTAGAACCATCCAAACTCATCACCAGACGTCCAGCTCAATTCTGTGGAGTGGATTTATTTTGGGTGATTGACATGAGCTGCTCCATAAAAGACATAAACAAACAAACCATAGTAGAGTTTGTGATGGATGTTGTCAATGGATTTCAGATCAGTGCTGTTCATATGAAGACAGGTGGAGTTACATATGGTGCTACAGTGTATAATATACAGCGATTAAGAAAGGGGAGAAATCGTGCAATAACGTTAAAAAACTTTGAAAATATGGTCACAATCCCGGCAAGGTGTCAAACCGCAACAGATGAAGCATTAGCACAAATAAAGGAAGATTATTTAACTGAGGCAAATGGCAACCGGCCTGAATTCCCGGATGTAATGATTGTCATTACAGATGGTAACACCTTCCATGGGAAAAGAGAAGATAATGCAGCATTCTCTAAAAAAACTGTACAAACAGCTACAGAGATCCGTAAAATGGGCGTTACCACATATGTAATTGGACTACCATCAGGGAGGAGAGATAAGATCACTGAAGATAGCTATAAGGAGTGGTTGGGCATAGCAGGAGAAGAAAGAAACATATTCCTGATGGCCAACTTTGCACAGCTCAAAGAGGAAGTACTTGACCTATCAAGTAAAGCTTGTGTTGGGTAAGAGACTGAATTTTAGGAACAGCATGTTTAAGAATGTAAAACTTCTTTTGCATAATTCATCTTAAATTTTGGCAAATTTACAAATAAGTGAAGTTTGGAAAATAAAAATGGTGCCAAATTAATATGTGCCAATTTAATCAAAATGATATGTGCCAATTTAATAAGTACCATTTCATAATGAATGAAAATATCCTTACCGATGCTTTCATTTTCAGGAAGTGATCTTCTGGCAGTGAAGGAAGACAAAGATGACAGAATATTGACTTTTTATAATATGTTTAATGCACTAACTTGTAATATGTTAATAGAACAATTGAATGCAGTAAATCTTATAAATCTTTTCAATTCATGCTTGTTTATTTATTTTTGATTAAACTCTTGCCCATCTAAACAAAGCTACAACTTCCCAAACTACATGTATAATCTATACAGGGTGTCTCAAAAAAGGAAAACGGGATTTAATTACTAATTTCTCAAATATGAATAATAATAGGAAAATTTCACAGCTACCATCTGATATGTTATATATATATCTTATTGACTCTTTAGATGTCATATCATGACATATTAGTCACTAAGGTAGAGCAGTTCTTCCCATTGTCGAGTTGAAGAACTGGTATCTTTATCCTGGCTAGAACCATAGACAATGCTAGCCAGCGCCAGCCTTTTATCAAGTTAGCAGCACTCTAGTAATCGCTGGTATAGGTCAGCAGTCATAGGTCAAAGACAAATCACAAGAAGTGCTCTGACCTGGGTTTGAACCCAAGACCTGAAGCCAGACTTCCTGCTTTCAGACCAATGCCTTAACCACTAGGCCAACCCGGCGACCACGTTATAATGTCCTCTTTCTTATGATGCCAAAGTTTCCTATTTTCCTTCATGGATGACTGAGCTCTAAGGGATTTAATTGACCATATCAGAAATGGGTTTATGCCACTTTTTCTTTCATGAATAACTGAACAATGAGGGATTAAAATGGCTATACCTCAAGGATATGGCTATGACCAAGAGATGTTGATGATCTAAGTGCCAGGGTTGTTACAGCAGTGTTGCTGCGCTCCCTCGGTCAATATCATATTACCCTTCGGTCAATATCATATTGTCCCTCGGAATAAAACCCATATTCAATCCCTCTCATTAAATAACCTATTTGTCTTATATGCTAACTTTAAATTTGGGCTATGACCCTCATTCAAAGTCTTATACAAGAAGATCCTCATGGTTATAATCATCTATAATTCATTTACCCTTGGGTTTAAATCCTTGAATAATGACATATTAAGTTCATTTACTTATACAGTAGCAAATTACACAATGATGTAAGCAGACTATCAATTTATATCATCTAATATAAATGTATTGATGATTCTGGGTCATCAATCAATCATCATTTATTAGGTTAATATGAATAATACAATTAGACTTAAATTAAACAAATAAAAATAAATTTACATAGGATTGATTTATAGCGCTATCTTGATATGACTGTGTGTAATATAAAAACAACAATATCAAACAAGATTCTACATTGGACTCTTGAAAATTCACCATAAATATCATTTTTCAAAGTGGATATATAGAAAAGGGAAAACATGGTCACAATGACACACATATATTTTATATTTAATTTTATATTTAAGTTATATTTAAGTTATATTTATAACAGTGTTAACCAAATGTCGCTTTTTAGAAACATTGTGCCTTTTTAATATATATTTTACACACATTTACCACATTAGTGGAATATCAAAAGAATTATTATTAAAAGAAAGTCAATCAAGGTTTCAGTGCTAAATTAAGAGACTGGATACATTCAACCCTCTATGAAAATATTGGTTAAAAAATAGATGAATGTTTACCCAGCCAGCATTATCATCCCATTTGCTTACAATTCCAAACAGCAAAGACATAATATTGCACCCCTATAGTGCAATAAAAACATATGTACAACAAAAGTATCTGAATTTTTGTGATATAATCATGGCTACCAACCAGACCTCATGGTACTGTGACTGTGAGCTTTCTTGGCAGTATCATGGCTAAGGCACGGGGCTATATGTATTAGCGGACTCATCGGTATGTTCAGCTTAACATGGATCCTCAAATGTTTATGGTATGTTGAGGTCTGGTTAATACTCATTTCAAAATTTTTTGCCAGTTAACCAGAGACTGAGACCTATCTGCAAGGCCTGTCATGGGCATGGTAATGTTAAAGCCTGATATGACTGTGACAATGCTATATTATATTGCAAGGCCTGTCATGAGCATGGTAATGTTAAAACCTGATATGACTGTGACAATGCTATATTATATTGCAAGGCCTGTCATGAGCGTGGTAATGTTAAAGCCTGATATGACTGTGACAATGCTATATTATATTGCAAGGCCTGTCATGAGCGTGGTAATGTTAAAGCCTGATATGACTGTGACAATGCTATATTGTATTGCAAGGCCTGTCATGAGCGTGTTAATATTAAAGCCTGATAAGACCGTGACATTGGTTGCAAGGCCTGTCAACCATTGTCACGGTCATAACATTACCACAGTCATGACAAGCCTTGCAATCATTATCACGGTCATATCAGGCTTAAACATTACCACGGTCAATTTTACATTTTGTACACTCTTATGAACTGATGTATACAATACATCCATAAATGTGGGGTTGATTTTTCCATAGATGCCGGCATGGGCTTTAAAGAGAAGGGTATGTGTGCACATTTTCATGACTGTTGCATGGCTACTCCTTGAAACTTTCAAAAATTAGCCTCATTTCACGGTCTTCATGCTAGCTTTGGAGACCCATGCACCTCCAATTCATAGTTATGAAAAATACGTTTAAATGTGAAGTTTTCTTTGACATGTTTCTTTAGTTAGGAAATGCATTCACATACAGTATAAGGAAAACAGATTTTTCACAAAATCTTGTGACTTATTGTACCTTACTACTTAATTGAATATCCCAGATGCGAGTAGAAATAATCTTGATTTACGTCATTAAAAATTCACAATTCAGTCAAACTGATGTCATATTTGGAATCTACGTGTAAAATTACATTTAGAAATGTGGTTTTGAAAAGAGTTAATCAACTTTGAAAATTTAATTTTCTTTGAAAGTGTGACTTCTAGGTCGGGGAGATTCCCCATAGACCCCATGTTGTAAAACCACAAAAAGTGAAATATCTTTTTTTGTGTTGGGTAGATAATTTTTTTTTTTACTGGACATATTTTAATTTGTATAACTATCAGATACATGAAGGTACTATGAAAAGTGAACCACTAAAACCACTAAAACTGATGCATATTCAAGTTTAAGGGAATTTTGTTATACCCTGCCATGTTAATTCACCAAATCAGCCACCTGGTAGCGAAACTGGTAACTACCTACTCGCATCTGAGTAATTGTTATACAGTGCTGATATATAATAATAAAGGGTGCGTTTTCAAACTAAACAGAGTGCTCCTACCAAAATGAATTTACCTACATACCCCTGAAACTCTTATCTGATAGATAGAATGCACAAATAAAACAAAAGTTTTGCTATTATAGGTAAAAAGTTCTCTTGAAATTCCATAGTGATTTTACCTGTTAATTCTGTCCATGGTCCGCCATTTTAGCGGAAGTTACACTGAAATGCAAACTCCATGAAACGAAACGAAATCACTAGAAAAAACATGGCACACATTGTGCGCATGTGCAGCAAAGTTTAGACCAATCAGATTATTTGATTATTTTGCGCACATGGATTATTTGGTTCTGAGCACTTACAAGCTTACCACAATAAACAAACCTGGCAGAGAATACCCTTAGCCTACTTCATTTTGGCGAAATTTCAGCTCAAACTCGTGACAAATGCATTATACATACGCTGGTGTGAAGCCTTGGAGACACTCATTTTGGTAAATATGATTTATGGGGTATACTTTTCTGCAGTTTGTGGGAGTTTGGGACACTTAAATGTTAAAATTCAAGAAAATATGCCAATTAAACGACTGATCAATTAATATATACCAGCACTGTAATGCTTATTTTTGGGAAGTGAAGTTTCCTAAATTGATAATAGTTTGCAGGAAATTTCCTGTTTTTTCCCACAGGAGGGACATAATGATCAATAGACTGAATTCTCAGGAAATTCAGTCTATTGGATATAGACTAGATCAGTAGCTCAATAAATATTCCACGTGATGAGACACCTACTCTTGTCCCAGGTTTCTTGTCTGTACAAATATCATTGTTAGACTGACGTCACATTTCTAAATTCACGGGAGCACCCTTCAGATTTGGAGATCATCATCACCAATACACGACTGATCAATTTTACTGATCATTGGATTTACTGATCTATGGATTTTTCAAATCATATGATGATGATTTGAAAAATCAACCCCACATTTATGGAGGTGCTGATGCATGGCCTCTTCTCTTATTTCTAACATGGAAAATCACATCAGCAAATCCACGAAACATTTGTTCATGGTCCAAAACTGGAAAATGAAAAAAAATTTATCGAAAAAAATTGTCCAGTCACAAAATGAAGAGTTAAAGCTACTTACAGGCTCGAGCATCTGTAGACGATGACATACGGCACATATGCTAAGGCAACGCAATTGATGAAGTGAAAGAACGTCATTTTGGTGTTAAAAATCGGAAATATAAAAAGAAAAATTATCGGTGCATTTTTCGGGGGCGATAATTGATGAAGAAGAGGTGACGATTTTCTTGATTCCTATTGCTTTAATCTTTTTTAAATTTTAATCAATATTCAGTATTTTTTATTTCAAATGCATAATAAAAAGCATAAAACTGAGTAATCTATTACTTATTAATATAGATTTAGGGAGAAATGAATCAAAACAGCATTTATCGGTAGGATTATTTTCGCAGTGAATATCACCTAGCAAATCATTGTTTACTTCCGGTTTTTAATTACAGGTGTTCCATACTTATTTATATCTGGAAGTAAGTGGTCTACAACGAATTGGAGAACTGAGATTTTAAAGAAAACATGTCTCAACATTTTAGTGCCAATCAGGTAAGAAAGATGCTCATTAAAAATATTGTATGATCAGATTATTGTCGTCATATCTTCTAAACTGCAACTGCCTAAAGAGTCTATTCTCTCATTCTCAACTTGAGTCTGACATGTTCAGCCAAAGGAAGTGGTATCAAGTCCTTTTTGGGCCTCACAGATGTGAGAGTGGGGAAGGGCAAAAAGCTCTATTAGGCCCAAAAAGGACTTCTTCAACTTCCTGTGTTCAGCTAGGCCTAACTTAGAAATGTCCTTTATATAACAAGAGGACTAATAGCTTACCAACAGAATATACACCATCTAAACCATTGGGATTAAGTACCCCCCCCCCCCCTAGTATGTATCCAACAGACTGACTAGAAGTCAGTGTGAATATATTCAGACTAAATAGGATATAGTCTAGTACCCCCCCCCCCCCCTTGGATCGGGCCACTCTCTTTTAACTGTGTCAAAATTAATTAATTAATTGATCTCAATGGTTTATATTTTCTTTCATAGGCATAATTCGGTTTGTGAGTTTGTTTTCATTATTATCAGCCTATCAACTGTTGATCAAGAACATCTTTTTTGTTTTCCAGTATGAAAAGGAATTTGATTCCAAGCGTCTTCAAAACTGGGAGGATCCTAAAATATCACAAGAACGACCACGTTCATTACAAGGCTTTACTGAAATAATTGCAAATGATAGAGGACATATTGTGTATGATCCCAAGCGATCAAAGGGCAATCCATGGGGAGATCATGTTGGAACATGGGACATGCCCATTAAAATACCTGGTAAGTAAATTTTACGTTCTATGCTATGTGCATTATGTGCATGCTCTCTTTAATACATTAAAACAATCACAAAATAAAACTGCTGACCCAGTCCTACATCATGGGGGTAACCAGAAGGTGCGATGGGTGCAATTGCACCCCCACCCTCACAAAAAAGGCAATTTTATCAGAGTTGAAAAAACATTTAACTTACAGGATGGTCAAAAAATGGAATATCTTTGTCATTTTAGGAACTTACTCCCTGATATTTGACACTTTTTTACAACATTCAATTTCCTACCAACCTATCATATTTCATGACCATCAGACTGATAGTCATAATGTTACAGCACTTTGAACAACATGCTTCAGATATGGCCATCATCGTGCTCAGACAAATCTGCAGTTGTCAATGACCTGAATGCAATCCTCAGCAGGTATGGTCTGAATAACACAGATGATCTAACTTTTGAGGTCTGTAATTGTCTTGAGGTCATTTTCATACACTCCGTCTTTGCCGTATCCCCATAGTGAGAAGTCAGGTAGGGACATTTTGGACGACGTGTACAGGTTTGCTTACAGCAGCGCAATAGTGGCTACTGGAGCATGTTCTTTAAAGTGCTGTAATATTGTGTCTATCAGTCTGATGGTCATGCAATATAGTAGGCTGGTAGGAAATTGAATGATGTACAAATGTATAAAATATCAGGGAGTTGTTATTTTCTAAAATGAAAAAGATATGAAGAAAATAGCAGAAGGGTATCCATTTTTTGACCACCCTGTACTATAGTTTGAAATGCCTAGATTGCACCATATACAAATAGTAAATATTTTAAGATATCTGGGGGTGAATCCCTGTACCCCCCTTTTTAGGCCCCGCTTCGCTCGCAATGATGCAAACCAAAAAATCGCACCCTTTGATGATTGCTGGCTATGCCTCTATAAATCAATGAATTTCAACAGAAATTGTTTTATCCATCCATATGCTCGAAAATTAGCAATAATGCTTAATACTGTTATATGCAAGGCTTGAATGGTTTTAACTATATATTAAAAATGTCTTCAATCATCTTTAAAGTGTTTTGCAAAGTCAAAATGTAATTGTTTGGAATTGTTTGTAATTGTTTCCATTCCAGGGCAGCGAGGAATGAATGCAACTGCACGATCCGCTGATGCCCAGAGAATACAATATGCAATCAGGCGTGAAGGTGATGAGACATTATCTGGATGGAACAAGAACATGAAACCCAAAGCATCTGGGCAAGGAGTAAGTACAGTGATTATATCAAAGACAGATTTATAGATGAATTAACCTTTAACATTGGGGTATCTATAACAGTCTGTAACTAATTTACTTGAAAGTCAATTTTGGTTTTAATGAGAATAAAGTAGATTTTACAAGTAATTGTTGATAAATCTTGGGCTATAAAAATCTAATCGCCAATTCCTGTTTACTAGCTTATTATCACTGAGTGTCTGTAGTTAATTGAGCTTGAAAAGAAATTGCTAAAGCACATTGTTATTAACAGCTTGCTAGGTACACACTGTATTATTTATTACATAATAATGTAAAGAAACAAACACAGAACGAGGTAGAGATAAAGCCAAGTAACATTGTCATTAATTTGCTTTACATTTGATAGAAAATCATGAGAAACTGAGGAACTAATTGCTGATTTTCAAAAAAATCCTACCATCTTGTTTATTAACACTGCTACCCATAAAGTATACCATTATAAATGTAGCCAACATACCACGATTCTTTCATTCACGAAAAAGGGTGAGAATTTTCGCAAAGGCCTCTTTGAATTCTAAATCTTGCTTTTTACTTTACAGAAAACTATAGCTGAAAGGGTATTAGGTATAGATGAATCAGATATGTACCATACAGACATTGATCGTATGCACCCACAAAGAACTGTACAGGAACCTATTTCTATGCCAGATAAAGGAACACAATACACAAAAACAGATGTGCTAAAAACACCTTCTCCACAACCCGAATGTGGGCGTCAAATATCACCCCTTGGGTCACCAAGTGATGTAAAACCCATGCAAGCACACCCAGGCCCCTCACCCCAGGAAATGATGGAACGGCAAACACCCATAAAGATGTCATAATCTTAAGACATGGAGTGCATCTTTTGTCATGGAACTATTTTAAATGAAACTACACAAGAAATGGCACAACGTTTTAGTTCAAAGTTGCCATATTCAGATAATATTCAATTAAAAAATAATAAATAAACAACTTAATTCTCAGATAGATAGAGAAAATGTTAAGGTAATCTTTTTGCGACCTTTTATAATAACAGGATATCATTATGCGTTAAGATGAAATATGAGTTTTAATATTGACAAGATTTCAATCCATAAATAATTATTATTACAATTAGTCTAAGCCTAATGACAATGTCATGATGACTTGTAAATCACTTCCTATCTACATGGTAATAATTGTTCTTTTTCTTAATCCAGACAGTCAATAAATTACAAACTACATTGTAAGTCTGTATATTTCCAAGCCTTTGATTGATTTAATGATTTTTGGGTATCATATATTCCAGATGTTTATAAGACACACCCTGTATGTTGCGAACGGAACTGTATGTATAAAAATTGTATATATTAACTACATTCAGTGTAAATAAAGTATGAAAATATAAAAATAGGTTTTGTTGTATATATCACTATTTTATTGATAACTGTAGAATAAATGGGAATATTATCTTTAATTTGAATAATCATAAGACATAAATACCAGATGGAAGTCAGTTAAAGAAAATATGGCATCATGTATGAAGTTCATTGGACACATGGATGGGGAGCTGAACTCCTATATCTTCTATGATACAGTTTCCAGTCACATAACATTGCACTAGGCAGATAACGCAATTCTGGTCAATGGTAGGTGTTAATCATCTACTCCAAAAATACAATTCCAATTCTGTTCATCCAAAACCAATTATATAAACACGATGCTGTTCATTTGCCAAAATGTTCAATGTTTTTTTGTGTTGGATCCTAGTGTTTGCATCTATTAGTTTCACTAGTATCGAAAACCTAGACAGTCTTGTGTTCTGCAATGAGAACACAAATCCATGTACTGTGCGAGTAAGATTTTGATTTCCTAGCAAGTCCATGGTGTCATCTCATCACTTTGTGTTGTCATGGGCACTGATCAATGAGTCACCACACTTATGAACCACCACATATAGAAGACACTCCAGCATCAAGGAAGTAGTCTGTTATAATCAGAAACCAGAGAAGATTTCTTTACAGCATCCCAAGTCCTCGCAGCATAATGAAACCTGAAGTTTGAACAATATAGAAATGTAAATAAAAGATTTGGAAATTACAGAAACAAAATGGTAGTTTTTGAAGACCAGGGATTGTAATACTGGGAATAGGTAAAACATTGACATGAACTAGTTGTATAATGTTAATGACTTAATTACACAATAACTACATGCTTAATCTTGGCTTATATTGCACTTCATAATAATCAAATGTATGGGCATTGATTAAATAAGGGGGCACTGCTGTACTGCCTGACATTAAAATTAAAAAAAACACAAAAAAACTGCAAGTCTTTCTTAAAATCTTTATAAAATGATTTTCATAAATACAAAACCTTTGAGGTCTTTATGTCAAGTCGTACTTTACCAGTAATGAAACCATTGCGACATCTTTTTGTCCACATTAAAGCTATTTTCTAAATGAAATGTCAGTCTTGTCATGGTCCTGTAACTCTACAATAAGTGACATCTAACAAATGACACTCAAGTTAATCTGTCCAGGATGAATCATTAACAGGTTCCATTTTTCAATTCTTACCAGTTTTTCTCTGAGAGTGTTGTATGGGTGAGAAGATGCCTGGGTAGTGCATAAATTTGTTTCCTCAGAGATTTAACAAGGAATTCAAAGCTTGGGTATCCTCTGTACTCTGGTAGCAGTGTCAGAATACCTTCTGGAAATACCAACAACAAAAAACAACTTATACCACGATTGGGAGTGCTGGATTATCTCTAATAATGTATTTTACAATAATTTCATGGTTCACCGATTCTGCATATTATTTGAATTTGTGATACATGATTGATTTACATTCATTTGATTTCAATAAATCATTAGAGTAGGAACCTAAAGCTCTTTAATATTTGTCAGATTATTGATTTTTTGATAAAAAGCACTTTTTGCATAAATTATTCTAATTAGTTGATTAATTACATAACAATTTAAAATTAAAATATCTTTTCATCAAAATTATATAATAACTTTATCTTACATGAATAGCTCAAAATATTTTAAGAAATATCAAAAATAATTTTAAAATAGCTAGAAAACTTTTAATGTGAAATCAAACAAAACACCATATATATTGATTATGCTTGTATATTTAGGGTTCCCTACACCAATGTTACATTCAACCGTCCTTATCTTGGGTTGCGCACTTATTCAATGAGCGTCTAGCGAGGATAAGTCTGCTGACACCACAAAGATAAACAAACCATCCCGCTTGGCAGGAAACTGCTAGGTAGGGGTAATTTTTGGACCCTTCAGGAATTGGGTATAGTAAATGTAACTCTTTGAGAGACATAATTGAGAGACATAATTACACTTCAACTATTTTCAGCTATGCAGGTTACACTCTCTATCCAAAGGCTTCATGCAAGAATTGCTATTTCAATCAAAAGAATTATCATATTCTCTATACTGAGCCACAGTGCGATTTTCAAATTGAAATTTAAAAGGTATTGAGAGATTCCAATAAGTGCACATACACAAAATTTAGAAAAAAATATCACCAATAATCATTTTAGTTGTTAAAAATTGCTTGTGCTCTCATTGGAACTGCGCACTCATTGGAACTGTGCACCCATTAGAGAGAATATAGTACATACCTTTGTCAGTGTCTTCAGACATTGTTGGTAGAAGAAACATGTTGACATCAGTGTCTATTGTCTCATTGCTCAACCCTGGCATTAGGTTGCCATTAGCCATAGTTATTGGACCTGTAATATAAATATGGGGGAATGGCCTATACTGTACTAGTAATAATTAGTTCAGATTGAAATGTAATATTCATATATGGGGGACTATGAGACAATTCTAAACAAGGCATTAACATGCGAATGTCACCACCTACCATTTTTTACAGACGCTGCACACCAACCACCAACCCCCAAACACAAAAAAGTTGGAGATTATAACAATAGAGATGTTTGTATTAATTAAAAATCAATGAAATGCAGATCTGATTGAACTAATGGTTCATTATATCATTTGAATTGAACCCACACCCCCATCTGACAGGCTTATATGTATACATACCTTTATATTTGAGTTTAGACTGGCTGAAGACTGTTGAGATGGTACGCTGCATCACTCTGTAATTCTCTACACTAAAGTCTTCCCTACATGCCTTGTTCAAAATAAAGCCTACAATTACATGATAAATGTATTTGCAGCAAAGGTGTATCATGTGTATTATGAGGTGTACATTTTCGAAGTTTTTAAACTTTCTCCTAAGCACCAAAAATGTGGTTCACTGCTCAGTTTTATTTTCCTATTGATATACAATCATTGCATGTTCTGTTCTGTTTGGCCCTTTAAGTATTGCATAATTTTTGTTACATTCAAATTAACAAAGTTCAGTTATTTCTTTATGAAATGTCATTTTTAGACTATTGGACAAGGACAAAAAATAAATGTTCAGTGAATTCAAAAATGTTAACTCGCAGATGAAGCAGTTTTCATATTGAACGTCTATTTTTATATGACCCATGCATTATAATAGCTTCTACTTCAAAGAGGCCTTGTACCTTATAGCTCATATATTTGCCAGGGGAGTTTATACACCAATGTACTTTATTTTTGGGCCTTATATACCTCATTCATAGGGGCCTTTAGTTTTGATTGAGAACCTTCTATATAGTCATGGTAATTACCTATATAGGGGTAGTATTCTGGGGCATCATCTTGCACAGAGCTGCCTTCATGACTAGGGGAAGGGGTGGGTGGCTTCAACATCTCAGCTGTTTGGATAAGCCTGAAAACAGGTTCAAGATGAGGGAGATACCACTGTGCCATCTATTAAACTTTGTCTATTTAAGTTAAAGTTGTAGATAATGAAATATATGTCTGTTCAACTTTTGTGAAAATTACAAAAAAAACTGTCTGAGTACAAAACTTTTTTTCTCACAGAATTTTTAATTATTTGTTTTTTGTGGTGCAGATAACTAGTATGGGTGAAGCAAGCTGTTTGTTAGAAGAATAGTACTTTATTTACATGTCTATTGTCTAGTATATGTGTACCTTAGTAGGTTTGTGTCGGTGAACCAGTCTTGCACTACAAGTACTGCATTGCACACTGTCAACATGAATGTCAGAAGCTGTAGGGACTGAAACATCAAGAATTAATAATATTTACAATTTATCCAAATAAAAAGTAAGATAAAAATTTTTTTTTCAATCACAGTTAATAGTGATCAACATTACATTATTTCAATTCTAAATGTCATAGAGGGTTAAAAAGCTTGAGAAAAAATTGAAATAAGTTGCTTATAAGACCGTATTAGTGTGACTGTCACAGTACATGTATATGTATGTGAACTAGGCTAGTATTTTATTACAATCATCTGACTATATATTCATATTGCAATTGCATTTTTTCAAACATACTGTCAATAAACATTTTTATTTCAACATTATCGCATCTTTAGATGGTATAATAAGAGAGATGAAGTGAGAAGGTATTCATGTTCTAGTGAATGCAGGTCTGTAGCCAGGGGGGTTGGTTCAGGGCGTTCGGGCACCCCCCCAGGCCAAAATTGTGCAATATTTGAATCCCCCTGGAATTTTCTAATAAGTGGACCCCCCCCCCCCTGGCAACCTGCAATACTTCCTATTCCATGCAAGATTATAACTTGATTAAATAAAAACACAAAGTTCCTTACCTGCATTTCAACACAATTCTCTGCACATGTGAATTCAGTGGGATATTTCTTGTCTCTGTGGATCATGTGATCTAGAACTGATGCACTCAACATGGCCTGGATAAAACAAAAGAAATATTATTTCTACACGTCTTATTTGCGGCAAACTAACTCAGGTTTAATATCAGTAAACACGAGGGTTACACTAACATGAGAAATAAGGGCATATTTGATATCAAAATGCCATCAAGAGTGTATCTTATTTCATTTTTGCTATTCATCTGTTTAAAAAACATGCAAGAAAAAAAATAATATTCACTTTTCATAAGTTTCACTAGTTGCCCTTTCACAGTCCAATTTTTGCTATTCATCTGTTTAAAAAACATGCAAGAAAAAAAATAATATTCACTTTTCATAAGTTTCACTAGTTGCCCTTTCACAGTCCAAGTTGGTTTCTTGCACATCTTTTCTTGGAACAGGACAAAAGATAAAACATATCTTATCTATTATGTAAGTTAGATAAAATACAGAGGGAGGTCAAAATAAATATAATCTTATTGATTTTTCTTTGACTAACCTGTGAATCCAGAAAGATAACCCTCTCATCAGTAACATAGATGTCTATCCCTATTGTCTGATGAGCACACACCTCTCTCACTTCCTGGCTCTGGGGCTTGAACGGATACAACCTACAAGTGCATTTAACCCTTAATGGACAAAATATGACTTTCTACAACTCTTGAGTCTCAGACCTCTAACTATGACTACGCCCCCTTAACATTCAGATTTGTTTTTCATTCATTCATAGTTTGCGCATGCGAAGTAAAAATCTTCAAATTTTGACTTTGTTTTGACAAGTGTTTTCAAGTATTTTATGCTGATTTTTGGAAATAAGTCAGTCCCTTAAGGATTAAACCAGAACATGAATATGAAATAGAAAACGCCTATAATTTCAGCTAGACACATCTTTATTTCCAAACATTTTGATGTGGAAAATTGAGAACATTTTACCAAGTACGAATGGGCATGATTCAGGCAATATCATCATTATAACAGCTGGCAAAATTGTGAGTTGGTCAATTTATCAAAAAGACTATTAAAATCAGAAGTAATGGCATGTTAGCCTGAGACAATCGTTATTTTACAAAACAACCATGGTATTTTGTAACAGATCTGGTATTTATTGTTGTCAAACTTTGTGGTTTGTTAGTCCAAGAAGAAGACATGGATAAAGCCATACCTTGAAGATGAAGTTACAGTTGCTCCAGCTAGTAATGATGCAATAGTTGACTTTCCACTGCCCTGTAGTCCAACAAATCCAATGACCAGGAAGTTGGAGTTATCAAGCAGGGTCTAAGAGGGATAAAAACAATAGCTGTTTATTAATACTTTATCAATAGTTTAGTTTAGTTTAGTTTATTTATTTATTTATAGTGGTCAGTCTTACCATTCAATTATAAAATATAAAAACTTAATTACCCAGCCCACCTTGGGCTTATTAACCACTGTTAACAATAAAAAAAATACAAAATTAATACGCGAAAATCAATATCACAGGTTGTAAATGAATTGCCTTCTCCGCACAAAAGCCATCTTAATAAATTTAACAATTTTACAGGTATGTTCCCTAAAAAGAAATTCAATTTTGCTACCTTCATTATCCAAATCTTTAAAATCTACCTCATCAAAATATGTTTTTCTCAGATCACCATATTTATTGCAATGGAATAAAAAATGTATTTCTGTTTCAACTGAGTTACCGTTACATAATGTACATAATCTTATAAATAAAAACAAAAACTGAAAAATAGACTGTCATGATGCTGGACTGTCAATTGACTCCAAAATTGACTTCAAATCCATATCTTATCATGTTGGTATCTTCTTCTGCAATAGCTTTTTTTGGTAAAAATACATGTAATCAAAGATTATTGATCCTTAGAATAGAAGAGAAAGAATGTAAAACGTAATGATTACAAGCCAAAGACTGGGAAACGATTTAATCTTGTCCAATCAACTTACTTCCATTGCAAATTCTGACCACTGAAAAGCCTCATCTACCAGTTTCATGCTTTTGCCTTTGTCTGAGCTTGTCCCAAGCACTGTGGGGTTCACTGCAGTTGAGTGGGCTGAAATAAAACAGTGTAGGATGAATAATTATTGGTGCCAGTGTATCGGTTATTGCTGACTTTAAAGAGATCTTTTGAAAGTCCATGGAATATACTATTAAGCCTATCAATTAATATTTCACATTTTGTCAAAAATGATAATTTGTGATAAATCCTTTGAGTAATGCAGCAATGAGTTGCAGTAGCAATATTTTAGTAATGAGGTTGCGAGTGCTTTGAAGTCAAAGAATATCATCTGGTTAGTTATTTACAAATGGCTACAAAATTGTGACAACACTGATCACCAAACACCAGTCAGAAATATCTGTAGACTTCTAGATTGTAATACTAAAGTTTAATATCCTCACCTTCTGATGGTGCATTTGATAAAGAGCCCCTAGACTGTAGATGATAAGAAGGTGTGGATGGTGGAGTTTCTGACGGTAAATCCCTAACAGGAATCCCAGGTATATTCTGATTTCTCCCAGCAGGAGACATCTGACGTGATTCATCACGAGGCTCTCGACTCTTCAACATAATGATTGGTTTAGATTCAGTGCCCCGGGATCCTGCCCCTGGAGACGCCATTGGGCTATCATCTGGTGTCCTGTCATTGCGATCTGTATGAGGCTTTGTCAGTATAGTAGGGGGCTTTGTGACTGTTGGTGTGTCTGACTTTTCTCGAACTTCAAGTTCCTTAAAATATAGGTAACATGTCTATAAAAACTTGTGTACCACATTCATTTGAATTTTTTGGATTGCTTGTCGTTTGGCTAACAAAATGTGTAGCCTCTTGTATTTTGATGCTTCTCTGACATATTGCTTTCAAAAATTGCTTTAAAAAAATTGGTATGGCTAATATACGGGCTGATTATACAACTACTTTATCTAAAATATACAAATTTTGTTCAAGGGTTCTCACTAGGCTTTTTGACTCAGAAGATTCTCCGGATTCAAAATGTCTTTAGACCCTCTTGCTCCAGAGTCTATCTTTTCAGGAGTCTAAAGTTTTATCCAGAGTCCAATTTTACCTTTTTTTGGATGTTGGCACTTTGATTGCTTATATCTCATGTTTGACAAATTGATAGACATCTTCTCTGCCTTCTAATTTTGGCACAGTAAAAACTTACCAATAAATCATTGAAAATGTTCTTCTATAATCTACAACATTGACTTGCATTATTAAGCACTAAAACGAGCAACACTTTTGCACAAAAATTCCCCATCACTATTTATTGAAACTTCAAAAGCATGATTGGATTACTGATCTATCAGAAAAATTTTCAGTGTTGATAGGTTATACCTATCAAAAGGTATACACTCAAGGGAGGGTTATTCATACAAAAGTCAGTAGAGTATGAGAGGTATAACTGTGTTCAATGGAGACAGATATTTACAAGTGAGAAATGTTCACTAAGACAGATTTTACTGTATTATTCAAGGGTAGAGTCTGAGTGCATTATCAATATGGAACATTGACATTAAAGAATGTATGATTTCAAGATTTCAAAACACAAGTAGTTGTGTGGATGCTTTGAAAAATCAACCTCACATTTATGCCTGGGGTTCACTGTAAATAAACCTTGATAGGGATCCTCAGCACATGGGGTACCTTTTTTGACATTTGGTGACAATGGAGCCAAATTTTAGGATCTGGTATGAGAATGCACCCACATTATGGCTTTTGAGGTATGACAATGGTCAGATTTTTTCACTTTATGGTACGAGAATCAATGGTTGTAGAAAATATGTTACCTCACACTTGTGGTATGTCATTGGTCTTGTAGTTGCACATATCTTTAATATCAGGTTGTTTTGGAACGTTTTCCTCAAAGATCACCTTTTTCTTGGGACCTTCTTCAATTAATCATTAGCTTTTTTTCCGGGGAAAAATCTACTTTGGCATTGGTACTATGTTTTGACATTTGGTTATGGCATTATTCTTATATTTGGACATTTGGTATGGCTTTTGGGCATTACATTGGTTGGTATAGGAACACATCCAAATTTGACAAATTGGTATAGGATTAGGAATATATTGATATCTTAGGGTTCGGGCTAGGACTAGCCTTGTAGAAGGCTTTAGCATTTGTTGATTTTTAAAATTTGGATATATTTTTCCAAATGTAAAGGCTTTACATTTGGAAACAAATATCCAAATTTTAAAAATCAACAAATGCTAAAGCCTTCTACAAGGCTAGGCTAGGACCCCCACCAAATTTTGTAAAGTGAACCCTGGGGCATTTATGCCAAGTAATACAGTGAGGCACAAAAATAAAACTCAACGTTCACAAGTTGTCACAATGAGCTTATTTCCAAGTTTCGTGTCTCAAACTCTCCCAAGCGGTAGAAAAATAATTCCCGTTCACTAAAGTAGCACAATAAATGAATCCAAAGCTTCATACCTGCAAATAATGGATAAATCCCTACCAAATCGAATGAATGTTTTCATGAATCGCCGTGTTTGTTATCCAAGGACGGTTGACTCCCAGAATGCAACATCAGTTAACCGTATTTACTCATGACAGGTTTCAAAATGGCGGAACAGCATTTTGAAAGCTGGCACGTGTCATGTTGCATTCTGGGAGCCAATCCTCCGTTCCGGCGCAATCGGGCGACAAAATCACCTCAACATTTGAAGAGTCGGCATAACATGTGAATATCCAATTCAACTTTTGAAGTTCTTATTTGTCATGAGGGACACAAATTCCACTATATTTGGACTTACTAAGACGGAGAAAATAGAGCACTGAATACACTGAGGTACGAATTTATTACATGTGCGACAGCATGTAATTTTCATAGCTTTTGCAATTCTTTATGATCCCCACTGTAAAAGGTTATTTCCAAAGAAAAAAATCCAGTCAAATCATAACATAGACGATTAGAGAGTGATGCACAATATAATTCAAGGCCAAAGCTTCCACCAGCTTTACTCTAAACCTATAATATCGTGAGAATAGAATAAATAGTAAAATACTAAAAACATTTTTCAAACAGTATTCAGTTGGGCGATAATAGGTGAACTTTACCTTTCTCCCTCCTCTGCGTCTGCGTCGCCTACCAGATCGATCCCGGTCTCCACTTTCAGACATGAGGTGGCTCTGATTTGTGTTTTGAAAATGAATAGTGCTCTTCTTTATTTGATTTAATGAATAACTGAGGAAAATCAGGGAAAATAAAGTCGATTTTAGTCCTGACTCTTCTGTGAGGAGGTTCTGCGCATGCGTATTAGTAAGAGCGGAAATTTTAACTTTCCAAAAATGCAAAATCAAAGAGTGTAAAATATGTACAAAATCAACTGATCAAGGTCCAAAATCATATATCCGAGCAGAAATCTAGAATGCGACAACGTCAGATCAACTAAGTTAGTCAAGATCAGTCATCTGCAATTTAGTAAGTATTTTTACCACGGACATCTAGACTAATACGTTCTTCGAACGGGAATGATATCAAGAATTTGAAATCCCAGAATCTCGTTTCGCCAGAACATTCTCTCTGACTGTGATTTTTACAACTGCTGTCATTCTCATCTGTTTTTTTTCATTTTCAACGTTCTCAGTCACAGGGATTGAGTCACTATGGCCTCTCTCCAGACTATTTTACCCTAATGTAATGCAGAATAAAGAGAAGGGTGACTGACTCCCTGTGTTTTCAGTTCAGTTATTTTTCTCTTGCTACTGTCGGTTACATGTTAAAAAAGCAAGAACTTAACTTCGACATTTACATGTATAAGTGTTACCCGCCGATGAATGGGACCCTCACATGCTACCAAATGGTAGTAAACGAACTCCAGTGTAACTACATCAGCTTATCTTTCCGTCCGATCAACAATAAGTACAGTTATACAAGAAACGAACTGAAAATATTCCCAAAAATGTTCAGATTTGCTCTCATTTCCGGAAGTTAGGATACGTTTTATTACCGAACATGTGTGAAAATGAAATGTTTGTTTGATGCAGTTTATTTAGCTCTCGTAAAATGAACGAACAAACATTCTATTTTCACACATGTTCGGTAATATAGCGTATCATAACTTCCGGAAATGACAAGCCACTCGGAACATTTTTGGAAATATTATTAGTTTGTTTACATTTCTTGTATAACCTAACTAGGTCTAATGTTGTTGGACTACAAGACCCCCAGAGTTTGGGGAATCTGTGTGAGGTTCCTTAAACTTGGTACGGTTTTTCACATATGTGCAAAAGTGAATCTTCTTCATTCCCATGATTCGAATTGATTTTCTGGGACTGGTTCAATTTTAATTTGTACTGCAAACATCCATAAATTTGGGGCCAGTTGATACTCTGTCCTAACACTTCATTTGGAGGCAGGAGTATTGGATTTACACTAAACGCAAATGTTCCCATGAATAAGGTGCATAATGGGTAGAGACTGCTGTTAAATAATGAACATTAGTTACACCTATTAAAAATATATGTATTATTGCACAATAGTCTACACGGGGGATAAGCAAAACGAGGGCGAAGCCACGGACTGCGACTCGCGTAATTCAAAACGAGGTTACAACGCATTATAGCTGAACAATGGCGGTAAGTCCAAACTTAATTTGGAAGGCATGTTAGGATTTGGGGTAGATTATTGGTTTGGATATTCTACAGAATAGCTAGTATGTTCCAGTCGGTGATCAACATATTCATACTCCACCTGCAATGGCATTCTTGGTGCTCGGCTGTCCAATAGTTTAGCATGAACACAAATGAATTCGAAATCTGCCACAAAAAATGTAATTTTGTCAATATTTGTCCCTAATATACCGATTTAAACAAAGGAATCAGAAATGACATCGAATTAATATAATTATTCATGTTCTGTTGTTACAATTACATCTTCGTGTGATATTTGGTAAGCGGAAAACGTACAATTACATAGAAAATTGGAATTTATGATAGTCGCAGTCCATCCATCTGCCCAACGCAGTCCGCGACTCAGTGTTGCTTTATATCTGGAGCTGAACGCAATCACAGCCAAAGGTAGATAGCACATGTGTGTACAGGTGTGGCCGAAATGGAGCAACTTTGGACAAAATTGAATATAAAGGGCTATTTTAATAGACCTACGTACATCGTGTCTCAATCCATTCTGCAAATATATACAAGCTGTCAAATACAGCTGAAATCATGAATTTATGGTAGCTAGCAATATTGATGGACTGTTGGAAAGATCATCCAAAATTACATTAACTCACCAACTCTCCAATTATTTGATATTTTCCTGATATCTTAAATACTAGTTAATGTACCCTTCCCCAGCAGAAAACTTTTATTGCATCATCAAAAAGTTAATTGTTTCGCATTTCTACTTCTTATAAAAAGTCTCACCACTATCCAATTATCTATATATTTAACCCTATCCACAAATTGGTTTGTAATAAACATATTACGTTGTCATCTTGCGCTCGACTGTTCTGCCAAATACGCTATTGAATTGCCATATTTCTAGGTCTTAAACGATACAATATAGCAATTTGGGACATTGATTCAGGTAATAGATATATGTTAATCAACGTAACTTTGAATGATAATCTGGATGCTGACTTTCTTTTCCTGAAACAATAATAGCGTAGGAATATAGTTTACACTATCTTATTTATTTCGTGTTCGCGGCTGGACTGCGTTGCTTAGAATATCAATGGAGGCTGTGTTGCGTTGTTGAAATAGCTTTGTTTACTGGACTGCGTCCACTATGAATGCGCAGTTTGAATCTAATTTTCTCCTCATGAACACATTCTTTTATCAAATCATTTTCACGAATTATACTCGGAGCCTCAACTAACCTTTAGATATCAGAAACGTGTTCAAACTCCTTTCAAATGTATAGTAAATTAAATAATATGCACATATTTTACAGGTAAAATCAGAACTTTGCTACTGTTTTAGCTTGATCTGGACAACTGCTTATTTTATTATCTACAGACCAACAGTAGATACAGAGTAATATTTTGGTCACCGATTAGACACTACGATAGCATTTAAAATACCTGGATTTCTCTATTTTGTCGGAAGAAGCAGAAGGCACTGCCGGATGTCCCTCAATTTTGGCGCTGGGCTGCGGTGTAAGGTTACGCGAGTCGCAGTCCGTGGCTTCGCCCTCGTTTTGCTTATCCCCCGTGGTCTATAGATTTCTTATTTTTCAGGTTCAATTGCCTGCCTTTGAAGCAATTTAACAAACTGTAGTTATTTAGTAATTGATTGTGCATGCTTTTATAAATAATTTCGGCTTTGTATAAAAAACCTCCTACCTCAAAACAACCTACCCAACTATGTGGAACATGATACAGTCATTGAAGGGTTCAATTTTAAAGATTATTAAATCTCAAAATAGCTCAAATTATTAACATTTCTACAATTCCGGCTTTATTTTTGACTAGACAGATCCATAAATAAAGGCATATGGATGCATTTTAATGTGTTTTTGACCCGAGGGCGCCTCAAAGGAATAAATAACTAACGACCGCGAGCATAGGTCTAACAAGCCGGATAAAGAAATTGAAAGAAAGTGTGCTAATTTCGATGCCCCGAGTGGGAATCGAAACCCAGCTGGGATGTAGTAGCAACTTGCTATCAAGGGTCGTTACAAATGCATCTATAATTCATCATAAACTAAGATTTAATAAACTAAAATCTTTAAAATTGAACCCTTCAAAGACTGTATATGTCCCACGTACGTGGGTAGGTGAGTATGAGGGAGGAGGTTTTTTATACAAACCCATAATTTCAACTACTACCTTTTCATGGTTGTAGTTGAAGGTCATACTTTGAATTTAAATTTTTTTCTCTATAATGCAAATTCGCGATGAAAATGCATTAAGATCTAGTCCATATATTCGTTGATCTGATTCAGTGATTGATCAGAATCTCAGCCAAGATCGTAGCTATCATGTTTGATCACTTCAGCGATCAAACATCTGATCTGATCGATGCTCCTGCATCTACTAAACTCTGATCGATATTTATCTCGTAAAATATTTGTATTTTCATTAGAATTGTTCATGAAAAGTACATTTGCTTTGACTGTGCATAATAATGAGCTAACACTGTTAATTTTCATACTTATTTGTTTATCTCAAGTTTGAATAAGGTGTTCTGCATTTGAGGATTTTTGACTAGGGGGTTATTGTATACTGATTATCACAGGAAAGTGGGTGGGCAATGATAGAACAAATAGGCTATAGTCTGAATCACTTTTTCTGTGCACCAATAACATGTAACAGAAGCACCAACAAACAAGAGGCCATGTATCTTATCATATAAGCATTCCAAATATTTTTCATCTAGAATATGAATATATATTCCAATGTACATTATACACTGTACATGGTATTACACTGTGGTCCCTTTTATTGCTTACTTTTAGGTTTGATCGATGCACAGAAAAAATGATTCCAACATAGAAGAGGTATTTCTGATTTGGAGACAATTTAGTTCTCAGATCATGCAGTACATCACTTGTCATGAAATTTATTATTTACTGTTATATAAGGTTATCTTAATTTGCAGACTGTAGTCTTTTTTCTTTGGTTTTACAGGAATCTCATTGACTATGAAAAATCCAATTAGCATCCTTGAAATTCCAGGTACACTTGTTCAAAACAGTTCAAACACAGGTGATTGACAGAATGCTGAATAATTACCAAAAAACAATTTGTCTACTAACAGCTTTGCACATTGAGAGCACGTTATGATAATCCTGGGTTCGTGTAATTGCAGATTGACCCTGCAAGGACTTTTAAAGTATCTAACAATGGCACAGCACAGAATTAATAACCCAGCCACTGTGGAGTTCTCCATTAAAAACTTACAAGAACAATCTGTTGATTTGGCGATAGCACTGAATAAACAAAGGAAATCAAACACTAAATTATGCGATGTCCTTTTGCAAGTTGGAACTGAAACGATTGCTGTCCATAGTTGTGTCCTAGTTGCAAAATGCCCATACTTTGAGGCAATGTTAACTGGTAATTTTGCAGAGGCTAATCCTGCCCAGGATACAGTTGGAGCTAAGGTTTTGGATATGTCCCAATCAGTGCATGAGATCAGTTCCCTGAGGGAGATCGTTGATTTCATGTATACTGGAAAGATGATCATCAGTGCTGATCAAGTTGAAGATATCATATCCTTGGCATCCTTACTGTTGCTGTTTGATGTTCAGAAGTTCTGTGCTCAATATCTGTTGTTGAATTTGACCCTGCTTAACTGCCTCAACATATATGCTCTAGCTGAACTCTATGATCTAAAGGAATTGGAATTCTTGGCTAAAACACTCATAACAAGCAGATTCCATGATATCATCATAAATGGAACTGAAATCCTCGATGTTCCTGTTGAATTCCTCTCTAAGATCATCTCAGATCAATCCTTTGTTGAACACTGTACAACGTACCAGTTGATAAACTTAGTAGTAAGATGGGCAAATAAGAGCATAGATGAAAGGAGAACTGAAGTCAACAGGCTGCTTAGTATGTTTGAATGGAGATCTATGACAAAAGAGCAAAGGGATATAATTCTGGCTGAGAAAACTATTGACCCAGATATTATTAATAACAAAATGCCTGAGGATAATGTTGAAGTAGTTCAAAGAGAAGTACACGAATGCTTCACATTAGGGGTTGAAAGATACCCATTTTCTCAAACAAAGGTGCTGTATGTTTATGACATGTGCTGCAACAGATGGATGAAGAAAGAGATTCTATTTTCACAAAATGAATATCCAAATAAACTAAGGACATATGACTGTAGCTTTAATGTCATTGGTATTGTTGGTGAAAGACTGTTATGTAGCCCAAAATACAATGAATCGAGCATTCCCTCAGCAACAAGATTCATGCCAAGACCTTCTGTTGATTATGATTCAGACTTTAACAGTTTTCATTCAGATTCTGGCTGCAAGATGTTTGTGTGTGGAGGTGTTTTGTTTCACTGCGATGAACAGGAAACTGAACTCTACTCTTCATATGACTCAGATGTGGAAAGTCAGTCAAGAGATGAACAATGGGGTAAAAAGTTTTACTTCAAATTGTACAACCCAGAAAGCACATCATGGGAGGAACCCATTCCTATGGATCCTTATGACTCTGACACATTTTATAAGTATGCTGTTATTGACAGTCCTGGCAATCCAACAATTTTAATTGTTAAAGGTACATTTGATAAGAAACAGATTGAATTATTGGATTCATTGTTGATCACCAGTTACAATGTGACAACTCGTGTTGTTAGCTGTTTGACTCAAATCAAGCGAACTGAATCTTCAAGCACTGAAGATAAGGAGATTTTGAGGACATTTGCAAGAGGATCAGAGGAACTCAAACTTAAACACAATAATGGCTTCCTCCTACCACCTAAAATATTTGAATTTGGTGCTCCCAATCTCCAAAGTGGTTTTGCGTACCATTATAACATTGCAGAAAATAAATGGGTGAAGCATCAGAAAATGTCTACAGGGTCTGTGTGTAAAAAACACAGCAAGGTTAGAGATAGTCTCTCTTGGCTTCAACGGTCAGATTGGATGAGTGTCAATGGGTGCACTGTGAATAACATCAGTGGAAGCACCATAGGACTAACTCTAGGGTTCAATTCTTTGATAGGCAATTTTTGCAAGTTTGACCCCACTGACTCTGATCATTGTTGCCAAAGCTTACCTTTACTTCCCCCATGTAAACTGGGAAGGTCAGGATTAGGAAACATGACTGCCGTTGTTCCAATGACGCAGCACATCCTGGACACATTTGAGAACTTTGCTGCCTCAATAGAAGATGAAGAATGCGGTGCAAATGTTTTTCTGGGGTGTACCTTGAGTGGGTTCAGTGAAAAGTATGCCTTTAAAACCCCTGAGTATGTGACACCAATTGCTAGTTCGCCTACAAGCTACAACTTTCCACATGTTGGACTCTACTCTGATGTCTAACTCTGACTCAGATAGGTGGGATAATGAGAGTAATAACACTTATGACAGTGCAGCTAGTGATGAAATCTTCTTGGACTTCTAGATCTAGCTAGTAATAGTCTCACATAGGCTGTTACACCTAGCTTGTAATAGTCTCACATAGGCTGTGAGACCTACTGATCAAAATGATATTACAGACCAGTTGCATATAATTTTCATATGGAAACATCAGCTAGACTATACCAAAAGCAGGCCTAATCTTGTATGGCCTTATGAATTGTGTACAAATGTCTGAAAACTTGAAAAATGGTGGATTATTTGTTCATATTTGGTATGTGAATACTATAAGCATGGCACACTGTCTAATGACACTTTTGGTAGAAGGCGGCCACCATTTTAAAGTATTTTACTATAACTCGAAAAGTAGTGGAGCTATTTTGTTCATATTTGGTATGTGAATACTATAAAAAAAGCATATTACTTCTTCTGATGACAACTTGGCTAGTGAGCAACCATTTTGAAAATGGTGGCCTTTCTTATATTATGTGTGTTATTTTATGATATTTGCTATATATTTTGTTTGTAAAACTGCCAGCCATTTCTGTTCGATGGGATTCGCTACGCTTTGGCGTTGCCGTTGTTCTTGTTTAACTTTAGTAGATAGTAGATAAGGCATTATTGATAAAGTAAAACATCGGAAAATATTATATTGCAGTGATTTGCCCAGAATTTAAGTCTTAGTGCTTAGTGGGTGAAAACCTGTTTATAAACAAGTCTTAAATGAAGTCTCTGGATCCCCATCTACTTCACCTAGACTGGAGTTGAGGTATACAGATATATAAGGGAAGGGATGAGGTCACAAGGGCTCCAAGCAAGACTATGTTTGTACATATTTTCAATATTTGAACAGTATACAAATAACATTGGTTTATCATTGTATATAATACTTTGGTAATAGATATACACAACAGGTTTAATTGCTTCATTATGGAGCATTTTGACAAAAAACTTTAGAACATTTTTTAGTTGCTACAAAGGCACAAAATCCTTCATTACCAAGGTTTTTGTTAAATACCAAGGTTTTTGTTAAAAGGCTTCATCTTAACCAAGCAATTTAAACCTCCTGTATACTATAACAGGTGCCTTGTGCAGAGCTGTTACTTGTGAAAGGATGGGTATCGATATGATACACATGTTTCTCTTAAACCAGTCATAAAAAAATCTGAAAATTTTACACATCCACAATTTAATGGTCATTTTTTGAAAGGTAACAATATAATTTGAAATAAATATATATACTTTTCTCTATATTGTTTTAGAAAACACATCAGACACTTTTTTGTTCTTGGTATCATATGTTCGGAATGAAATGAAACATCTATCCAAACCTCATTGGAACAAAATGACCTAAACACAACGTGTTTAGGTCTCTCAATATTGTAATTGTACAGAGGAAAGTTTGGTTGATTTAAAGTATCTTGTTATTGAAACAAAAGGTTTATCTTGATTTTTATCTATTTTGGGGGTTTTTGTTTAAATTTTTTAAATACTTTTTGTGAAATCAACCAAACTTTCCTTTGTATAACTATAATATTGAGAGGTCTAAGAAAATGTTGCATATGCTATTTTGTTCCATCAAGCTTCGGAGAGATGTTTCATTTCATTCTCAAAAATTGGTAAAATGGGACAAAAAACAATTGCACTAAAAAATTCAAATATCGTTAGCCAAATTTTGTCAGGGATGTTGCATTTTGACATACAATTATACCCTTTAAAGGAATAAGTAATTCCTTTTAGATTTCTCATGTTCCAATGTCCCATGTTCCTCAATTCCCATGTTATCATTCGATCCATTGCTTTCAGCTTAATTTTGGTCACCCATAATGGAAAACCCCTTTAAAACTATTGTCAGAGATTCTTAATGATGGCGCTTCTGTATATCTAGGAAGGCCATTATGTCGGGTAGAAGACAGGATGTTAAAGAAGACATAGGGGCACGCCTACAGAGATGGTCCCTAGAAGAGATGCATTTCAGGCCACAGGGGAGGTTCATACATGCTAGTATGCCAAAACAGGAAGATTACCAAGAGTAGGTAGCATTTACTTAATATTGATAACACTTGATGATTGCATGTGTCATGTAATATAATGCAGTTTTCAAAACAGGGTTCTTTTCTCAAGTTGATGTGAAAGTTTATATTTCACATTTTTTACCAAAAATCGGATAATATATGCCAAAATTCAACAAAAAATCATTTAGGATGACTATATCAATTTCAGATTTTTATGTGCATCTGTTCCAATCTCAAAAGTTCTGCCAGAAAGCCAGAAAGGCAGGCTTGATTATATTTTGCCCCATGACAACCATACATAATTTATTATTACACATGTAGTTATATTAACCACATATTGTAACAAATATGTAATAAAAAGTAAGATTTCATTGCTATTCCAGTATATGCAGAGGACAAATGGTAGACATCTGGGAGTACATTATCAACCATGTCAGGTCAAAGCAGTAAGTGAATGCATACATAGTTGTACATATTGTAATGTCAACTGGGATTAATTTGGCACAAGACAAGGTTGTCAGCAATCTTATTAAGCTACAGATTTTTAGGACTATTTGTAGATGAATTAATAGACAATGATGCCGTCTCTTTAGAACAGTCTGGAGTATACTGTAAATGAGAGTTAAAAGCTACCCTCTTGATTTTGTGCAATTTTTTGTAATGATTATATTTTTTGTATTTTTCAGGACTGTGAAAACTGTAATGGGCAATTTGAATCTGTATCCTTTCAAAATGATGAAATATTAAATTGTTAAAAAAACATGATTAGCAGATAAAATAAACTTTCACACAATGTAATCATGATGATGCTACACATATGGCAGAAAGCACTATGTGCATTGTCTAACAGGCTCAATCCCTCTACTGTATATTAAGCCAAATTATCTCAGTTCATCTCATTTGTATTCGTTAAAATGAAGTATTATTTTTGATGATGATGGTGAATTATTGACAAGTATTGCTCTTTTACTTGGTTTCTACTTCAAATATAAATTTTTGGCCACGAAACTCTACATTATGACAGGGCAAATTGTGTTATTGTGAAAACACAATATGTAGACCTATTCTTTTTCTTTTTATGTTTCTCATTATATGTACCCACTACATGTATCCCTTGTCTAATTGGAAAGTACAGTGTTGGGTAGGGGAGGGCATCTTGCAGGGATTGTGTACTTCTCATTGGGGGTGTTGTCTCAAAAACTTCTCCATCTATGCAATTGTCAAAACAGATAGTAGAAGAAATATCTCCTTAACCTCATTGCTATTAGACAATCACAACAGGCTCCTGATTCATATAAAGTAAAATATAAAACTGGTGAGAAATACTCCCATGAAAAAGATGAATTGCTACAGAAACGTAGTAAGCTTGCTAGCGATTTGAAGAGGACACAAACAGATATTGACCATGTTGAACGAGATCTGAAGAGACTACAAGGGGACATACTGGATACAGGTGCGATCAGAGACAGAGAAACAATTTCAAATAATTTTTGCTAAAATCGTTCATTTATTTCCTTCAAATATGAACACAGTTCACATCATTTTATTTTAAAATTATGCACTCATTTTTTGTGGATTATCTCATTTGAAATCCTTTCAAGAATACAAACAATTCCACTCTAAAAATTCCTCAAAGTTACATTGCACTTAATGAGATGCAACATGGTACTGTTACACATATAGCTTCTCTACTTATATGTTTTTACTCTCATTGTAGAGCAAGCTTACCAAGAAACCAAGGCCAAAATTCAAGATGTTTCACACAGAACCTCTCTTCTGACATGTTTTTCACACCAATGTGAAGAAAGTGAACGGCAATATGAAGAGTACACTAAAAGGCTGTCAAGCAAAATTGAAGCTTACAAAAAGATTGCAAGGTATGTGGATGATTATGGTAAAGATACCCTCCCAAAATTACATATAGTTTGATGCTTTGTGGCCATGAACTGCATGTCTGGAATGATTCACAATTAACATAATTCTTAGACCTAAACATTTTGCAATTTGAACACTTTTAGATTTAGGAATTTCTTTACTTTGGTGTATTCTTAAAGTTTCACAAAGCGCAAGTAATGAATAGACTTTTTGCAATTTAGTGTTTTTAGAAGTAAAGCCTTGACTAAATATTTCTTTTCAAATAGATTTGATGTGTAGATTGTCTTGAAAGTATTCTCCATCTAGAGCTGTAGTGCATTTTATAGCTTTAGAGTTTTCTATCAAATATTGTATGGCTTTGTAGGTTGTGGATTACAAGGTATAGTTTTACCTGGAGAATTCCATTTCTACTTTGGTAATGCTTTTCCACAATGAGCTTTTGCATGTTGAATAAGAAAAAATTATTAAATCTGACCTTGCATTATTGTATGCATGTTAACTAAATTTAATATCATTTCATATAGACCATTAATTAGATATTCTTTGCCACCCTTATATATAACAGTCCTTTTCATTAATATGGCTTTTGAAATCTATATCTTCTTGCTAGAAATAACTCAAATATATTGTATATTAATATCATTTCTCCTAAAGTATCTTTAATCATGTTGCATGCCAATTGAACATTGAGTATAATATGAGCTATCTTTTTTTGTTTTTAAACAAAATATAGATCTTACTTTTTCTTTACATGTACATCGCATCTACAAATGTATATTCACCTCTTGATATCATGTGTATTTATCTTTGATATCATTTTCTGACCAATTGCTTTATTTGTTTACCTGTTTTTCCCATTATCCATGAGGCTAAATTTGCATGCTGTAAATACTAGTAAATATAGTTAAGAATGCATGATTTGACATAACACAATATTTTTATTTTTCAATAATTGGCTATTTCAGATTTTATTGCTTTTTGTTTTGTGTGCGTAATGCGAGAAGGGTTTTCACCATATCAAATATGCTGACAGGCCACATAAGTCTAATCTACCAACAACTTTAATTTAGACTAATTCAATGAACAAAGCCCATCAAAATCTCCATTTACAAAATGTATCACTAGCAATTGTAAATCTAAAGAGAAATTAACTAAAAGAATTGTCTATAATGAATATAATGCCATCTACCTTTAAGAAATCCTTATTATGACATAATAGGCAAATAATCATCAGTATTTGAAAATCTGAGGGATTGCCTGAAACGAAGGGATGGATTTTTTCTGGAGTCTAAAGTTTACTAGTGAAAACCCTGAAAAGATTAAACCACTTTAGTATACATCATCAATGTACGTCAACAAATAGTACAAAAGCTTAACAATAAAAATAAGTGAAGTTTTCATCCTTGAATAACAGCTTTCTTTGTAAATATCATATTGCTCATTGTTCTGACTATTTTACTGATGACATTTAAGACCACAAATATATTTTACATAATATCTATACGAATGTTTTTTGTAATTAATATCATAAAATATATATGTATTATATGTAGTATTACATTCATGGATACTCTACCTGTTCATAATGTCAAAATAGTAGAAGTCCACTATTAATGAAATTTATAATTAAGAATATGTTAATATGAACATCCTTTAAAACTATTTATTGCAACAAGATGTAATGTTTAAAATGTCTGTTATAATACCACAATGTATGACCTAACCTAACTTCATTAGTGTGATTTAATTAATTCCCACAATAGACCGAGGTCAATTATGTGACTTAAGGTAATACTCCCTTTGGCACATCTGTGTGTACGGGATTGTGTTGGGACTATAAAAGTGGTCTCAATTGTTGTACTCCTCAGTCTCTCAGTAGCTCTACACAGATACACAGACATTCAACATGCAGACCGTACTCGCAGTTTTCATAGGATGCGTCGCTATGGCCGTGGCCAGCGAATATGCTACGTAAGTAATTAAATCTAGTATTTGAAGTTTCATAATTACTCAGTACATTATACACAAATAGATAACTTTCAAGTTAAACTCAGATTCAAATTGGATTGTTGGCCGGGTATTTTAATTTTGACAAAATTTGAAGTGTATATGATTTTGATCAGTACTTTCAGTAGATATATTGTTAATGTTTGGAGCTGTTTTTTGAGAGCTGAATGTTGACTTCTTATGAATGTTACCATAAATGTCTTCTCACATAGTCAAATCTTTTTCAAAAGTTATAAGGCAAATAATGCAACACTAGATGTTTAGGTCACATTGTACTGTGACCAAATTTTATAAATTATTATAACCCTATATACCAGGCAGTGTAACATTTATTATGTACAGGTCTATATTATTGTTGGATTTAAGATATTGATTTGGGATAATATGAAAACACAAATGTCCGAAAAATGTGCATAATCATCATTGGGGTCTTCTTTTGATTTTAAATGTAGCTATACACGTCTGATTATATTACTTGTTCCTGAAAGATTTTCTCATTATTTCCAGTGAAGCATATGAGCCCAAATATCCAACCAGTGGCTACCAGAAAGAATCTTATGAACCAGAGGAATCCTACAAAGCCCCAAGGTACAACAGCCATGACAGCTATGAAGCCCCAAGCTACAACAGCCATGACAGCTATGAAGCCCCAAGCTACAACAGCCATGACAGCTACAAAGCCCCAAGCTACAACAGCCATGACAGCTACAAAGTCCCAAGCTACAACAGCCATGACAGCTATGAAGCCCCAAGCTATAACAGCCATGACAGCTATGAAGCCCCAAGCTACAACAGCCATGACAGCTACAAAGCCCCAAGCTACAATAGCCACAACAGCTACAAAGCCCCAAGCTACAACACATACGAGACCAAGAGCTACAGTCACTGCAACAGCTACGGATATGGATCCTACATGTACAACTCATGCAGAAAATGTGCCACAACTTACAGCAGCTTCACATGCCCAAAGACCTACTACCCAGCTGAGACACATGCTGCCCAGCCAAGCTACGGATACAACAGCTATAACAGATACAACACATACCAGGGCCCTTCCCAGAAATTCCACTTCAAGCACTCTGACGACACCTGTTTCTGGCAGTGTGATGAGGCTGGAAAGGCCCTTGCCCGTCCCTGCCCTAAATCACTTGTCTTTGATGAATACAAGGGTGTCTGTGTCACCAAGGAATACTAGACTACCTCATTAGCTATTGTTTTATGGACTTTCCTGCTGAAAAGAACAGAACTTTAACATGAACTTAAGTGGAATGACAGAAAGTAGATTGATATTGAATGCAATTTTTTGTAATCAGTGGGAAGTGAATAAAATAATGAAATAATTTTAAGCTTGTTTTTCTGGTGTTATTAGAAGATGAAGGTGTTTAAGTATGACTTTATTTATATTTTTATCTCTCGGTGTATGGCAAGTTGATAGAATGTGGATGCAGTCAAACCTAATTTGTTACATGAATTCATATACATATATTGACTCGGTATAAGTTTGGGGAAAATCAGGAACACCATAAAAAAGCATGCACATTCAAAGAGCAAAATAGCTAAGCCCATTAAAACTTTGAAGTCCAAGAAATTCACTGAAAATCATTGTAGTGCTGCAAAAGTCATTGTATAAGACAACATAAAAATATAATATAGTATGGCAATGAGTAATTCAGCTATTGATCAAGCAAAAACCTCATTGATTACTGCTTGGTAACCCTGGAGTTTATTGGTCAAAATGTGAAGTATTTGAAGGTCTAATATATTGTAACTATAGTTAATTTGGTGCCTACTTTGTTTTGGTGATTTGAAAATTTTGCATTTAAACCAATTTTCATTGTCACCAAATATAATAAATCCTCAGGAATTCACTCTTCTTTATACCATTGTCACACATGAAGTTCACTTTCTGATGAACCAATTCAACATACCTGTAGAATGCATGTTGTTTCAAAGGTTATGGAGAGATCATATTTGAAATGATCATTTAGTAAAGACATGAATATTTTTCAGTATCATTCATAACTAAAAGTTAAAATTATCTGATATATCAACAATGTTTTGTGACTAAAACTTCCAGATATCCAATGAATTTATCCAGTTTCACTTTTAAAACTTCTTGTGTGAGAGAAAAAAGTAAGAAAATCCCTGTTGTACACAGTCATCCTTAGTGGTCCTAAACAAAGAAAAGCTCTCTGCAATTAGTGTGTCGGATTAAAAATCCATCATTAAAACAGTATATAAGTTGTATGTACATGGTGTCCCAATTGTACTGAGATAAACATGGAAGAATTCTGTGAGTGATAAAGGAATATTCTTGAAATTAAGTCATCTGACAGACAATTTAATTATCATAAACATCTGAAAGGTTTTCCAGTGGTAACTTTATTTAGTGTTACAGAAAAGCTTGTTTTCGCACCACCTCCCATATTTCACTGTTGTACCTAGACAAACATGTAATAATTCTGCAAGTGATGCAGGAATATTCCAGTCATTTGACAGACAATTTGATAAGCATAGATATCTGAAAATTTCATCAGTAACTCTACATAAATATAGTTTTAGAGTCAAAATTGTCTTTTTACCATTACCCATTTTTCCATCTTTGGAATTGCATCACTTCTGCGTCCATCATAAAGGATGTTTTAGACCATGTCATCTAAAATAGCAGTTTTCTAAGGAAGTAATCTACATTTTTCTATGAATTTTAACTACTAATTTGAAAATTAATTTTCTTTATAGTGTGAAATTTCCAGCTTTTTCAATGAAGAAAAAAGAGTTATTCCCACCTCATTTGGGTACAATTTTGGGACACCTTGTAGATGTACTGTTTAGAGTACTACAATAAGATTATGTACTTGACAAAGAGCCCCAGACATTCTCCAAAAGAACAAGCCTTTCTCAAGATAAACATGTTGAATGTGTATATATTGAATGAAATCAGTGGCGATGTCAACGCTGTTAGTCTGACAGTCATCGTCAGTGTATCTTGGCCGTTCAATTTTAAAATGAGTTGAATACCATAGATTTATTTTAAATGTTTATTTTTAAATAACATGAATATCTGTTTCAAATGGGCTTATTAGCCTTTTGGAGCTTATTGCCAAGACATAGACATAATATATGGACAAGTTCATTTAGTCAGTTAGTAGTCTACCGAGTTTTATATCAGTTTAAATGAAAACAAGAATTTTGTATACATTTACATGATGTTAAAAACACTGCTGCAGCCACATTTTGTACCTAGAAAACAGTATAAATAGTACTGTCTGACTGATATATAAATACCAGAGCAAATTTATTTTCAGCAAGGAAGATGAAAACTTCTACAGCAAGAAGAATGCAGCAGACAAGGATCTAGAGAGTGGATGTGCTGTAAGTGAAGCAAGTGATTCAATTTGTTGATTTAAAACTTAAATCCAGCCATGAATTTTAAAGTGTATTGCAAAGAGCTTTTTAAGGTCTATAAACAGATGTTTCAAGCTTGTTTTCTTCCAATTTTACACCGTGCAAAACATCATTATTACCTATGTTTCATTGCAAATAAACACCCATGTCACATTTCAGATAATAATCCTATTTTAATAGAAATGCATGGGTAATCCACATCAGGCAGACCACACTGCCAGAGTAACAAATTATAGCTTTACAGGAGACATTGACCAATAAAAATGACCTTAATCCTGACCTTTCATTGTTGACCTACATAACTGATATTTGTCCTGTGGACTCTCTTGAACCATGCCAGTTCATCAACTTCAAATGCAGACTTACATCTTGGATTTTCTGTTACAGCGAAGTGTTAGACAGACATGTGAGGTTATTGGACAGTTCTTGCATGACCTACTTGGAGGGGAAATAAAAACTGCCTCATCTGCAGTGTAAGTATCATCTGCATTTTTTAAAATGATAAAATGAGCCTACATGTACATGGATTTTGTAAAATGCGCCTGAGATATTTCAGGCTTGTCTATCTTGTCAGATTTTATGGCACTACCAGAAGTGATAACATATTATTGTCTCCAATTTTTTGTGGATGGTGTTTGATGCTTGGTGTCCAGCGTTCGGTATCTGTAACAAATAACAAGTGATGACATTTTGCATGCCTTGTTAGGTTTGCTTCTGACCTGTATGAGAGCATTCCATTATTTAAAATGACGTTCTGCTTGCTTCTCATTTGAAAATAACATTTTTTATTCTACTCATGCTTTTTACATGTACTAGCGTAAGTGATCTGTATGATTTACTCATATTCAGCACAATTCTTTAAAACATGATGGCCAAATGAATTTTCTTTTGGATAAACATAGTCATTGAAATGTTTTGCTAATGGAAAACCATTTGAAACTGTAAGTTATATATCAGGTTGTTTATTTTCTTGTAGAAATGACCGTAAAGAACGCCTATGGACTAGCACCGAGCGAATTGCCTCAGAATACCCAGCCAATCAAATCCTTGTGTCCTTAATCAATAATACCCAGGACGCAAATTTGAGAATACGAGAAAAGACAGAAAGCATCAATATAAAACAAGATGCTGAAAAACTGAGGTAACTTAAACTGTGTAACAACATCTATCCTATTATGTCACCACCAAAAGTGGTGACATATTGTTATGGTCTCCGTTTTTTTGTTCTTAATATATGTGATAGTCCCTGTTGAAGTTTTGAAACATTGGGTGATTCCATAGACTTCCAATGTGAGCAAAATATAATTGAATAACTTTCAAGTTGAATTTGAAAAGCTACATTAGTACTAGATATAATTTAGATGGTTCATTCCTATTTTTGATTTCATAGGTATAAAGCACTTGCTCAACTAGCAAAAACTTGTGACAAGTAGGAAACTAAGCATTTAGAGATGCAATAACTTGTCTTGATTAACTTTGTGGATGATTTCTAGGTTTAAATATGAGACAAATGGTAGACTGACGGATCTCTCTACCCCACCAAACTTTGAACACAGTCTGAGTCGACTGCTAGAAGATTGTCAGTTGAGTCATATAAACAGATTTGTGGAGACAGAAAAATTGAAAAATGGAGCATGGAAAGTGACAAAATCTCTAGAATCTGTGAAGATGCAGATTGAGCAACAGCTTAGTAAGATGTACATTCAAGATCCAGGTGCCCTAGAGCTAGCAAGGTAATAAATACATGTAGCATTATTTTGCATGGATAGGTGGAATCTTCATATTGATGTTAATAGTTCATAAATGGACTTATGTACACATGTCGTGTCTTAAAACTATATTTGATAGTCAGTCCATTGGTATACTTCAACCTTTTCTGCATTTTGTCTATTTTTAGTACATGGAAAAAACTTGTTTCCTGACTAATTTGATAGCTTTGGAATACTGTTGCAAGGTGGAAAAAAAAGAATAAGTCAAAATCAATTACTGGTACTTGAGTGAAAAATACAGACTATAGTATTCTCAAATGTATCATTTTCAACCAAAGGATTTCACAGTTGTCCTTGGTTCTGAAGAGCCAGTGTCATTTCTTTGGTAGCTACATTGTTTCATCACTTTATCTTTAGGAAGATACTGCAGTTAGAATTTGATATGGTGGAGAGAAAGACGATTTTGAGACACCTAGAGTCATCTTCATTGTTGTATCGTGAACAAATCGCCATAGCAACCAAACAACAAGAAATTCTGCTGTCCAAGTTTCAGCGTATTCAGGACTTCAAGAAACTGGCCGTGAGTATAAGAAACAATAACTAATGAAAGAGATGCTAAGTTGATTTTTTTCTTCTGTAAATCATGATTTGAACATGAGAGCATTAACACTGTTCTACAGCTGGATGACTCTTACTGCAGTTAGCGTCATTCAAGGCGGTTGCCGACATTCTTTCGTTTTCGACAAACATCTGATTTCAGCATCTGATTTCCAAAAGTTTTGCCATGCAAACGAATAAAACTACAACTGTAAACAACCACAGATGAATGCTCTAACAACCGCATATGAGTGAATTTGAAGGAAAACAGCTTCACTTAGAATGACTCTAACTGAAGTTGATGATCTATGTCATCATTACGTCATCATCGAAACTTTTGGAATCAAGATTCAACATTGTTTAGTTGAAATCGGAGGTTTGTCGAAAACGAAAGAATTTTGGCCACCATCTTGAATAACACTAACTGCAGTTAGAGTCATCCAGCTGTGGAACAGTGATAAACTGCAAACAAATGAACAACTTAAGGTAAGAGTTGATTTTTGTTTGATTTGATGCACTTTAAACTTAATGACTGAACAAAATCAAAACATCTAAAGCTATTTTGTTTTTTATTTTTTCAATGGGTTTTTGACTTTCAATTCCAATCTACTGCTGTCCTGAAATATTTTCATCATTTTGCAAATCAGTTTGACAGTCCTGGGATCTGAATGTCCATAGAATATTGATAGTTGAGAGTTAGCTTAGTATTCCTTGGTGACACAGACACCCTTGTATTCATCAAAGACAAGTGATTTAGGGCAAGGACGGGCAAGGGCCTTTCCAGCCTCATCACACTGCCAGAAACAGGTGTCGTCAGAGTGCTTGAAGTGGAATTTCTGGGAAGGGCCCTGGTATGTGTTGTATCTGTTGTAGCTGTTGTATCCGTAGCTTGGCTGGGCAGCATGTGTCTCAGCTGGGTAGTAGCTCTTGGGGCATGTGAAGTAGCTGCTGTATGTGGTGGCACATTTTCTGCATGAGTTGTACATGTAGGATCCATATCCGTAGCTGTTGCAGTGGCTGTAGCTCTTGGTCTCGTATGTGTTGTAGCTTGGGGCTTCGTAGCTGTTGTAGCTTGGGGCTTTGTAGCTGTCATGGCTGTTGTAGCTTGGGGCTTCATAGCTGTCATGGCTGTTGTAGCTTGGGGCTTCGTAGCTGTTGTAGCTTGGGGCTTTGTAGCTGTCATGGCTGTTGTAGCTTGGGGCTTCATAGCTGTCATGGCTGTTGTCGCTTGGGGCTTTGTAGCTGTCATGGCTGTCGTAGCTTGGGGCCTTGTAGCTGTCATAGCTATCATAGCTTGGGGCTTTGTAGGATTCCTCATATTTGGGTGCATATGCTGTGCTGGAAATAAAATGATCTACTGTTTCAAAAAACATGTTAAGGATACATTTTCAGTCGACTACTTAATTATCGTAATAAGATTTCTTTGATATTGAAGAAGCAGAGAAAATAGAGAAATTCCACAAAGTGATTTGTTGTATTGTTTTGTAAATCTGAATGAATCAAGACGGAATTGCCATTTAATTAATTAGAAACAATATGCCAATAAGCATAAACTACTGTATATTGAAACATAACCATGCATACAATATCATATTTTCATATTCTAAATTTTCTCATTTTTAAACAAAATAATTTCCATAATATGGTTGAAAATAGTTGCAACCATTTTGGTTAAATGCAACTGAAACAATCAATGGTGTTGTAATGGTTGCAATGATATGCAACCAAAGTTTTCAACCAAATTTTAATAGTTGATATGTAATGGTTGGAAACATTTCAAATGGTTGCAGTAATGTCACACAAGGATTTTTAATGGTTACGCAAGGGTTTTAACGGTTGAAATTTGGAAAAAATTGTTGCTTTTTCTAAGGGAAATGCCCTTCAAAAAATGGCTTTATGAAGCTAAAATTAGAAGTATAGGGTACTAAAAATTGCAATCAACATTCATGACTTTTTACATTTTTGTCATTTGCCATATTGAACATTAAATATAAGATTTTAAAGATTTCCCATGCCATATCAAAATGTCAAGCTTTATATGATTTTCCAAATCTAGTAAAGTACTACGCACTTACAAATAGTTTTTATAAGTTACTAAACATCAATTCATTTATTTTTTGAACTGTGAGCACAAACCAGCTTCTTACTGCGTATCCCTTGTTTATTTATTTTAATTTCAAGAAATGTGACTTTAAATTGACATCTGAGATACTCTGGATCCCTTGATGTACAGAATTCATTTGATTTCAAGTAAAACTACTCACGTGGCATAATCGCTGGCCACGGCCATAGCGACGCATCCTACGAACACTGCAAGTACGGTGTGCATGTTGTATGTCTGTGTATCTGTAAAGAGCTACTGAGAGACTGAGGAGCAGAACAATTGAGGCCACTTTTATAGTCTCAACACAATCCCATACACACAGATGTGCCAAAGGGTGCAACCTTGATATGTTATAAGATATTAATAAATTACACTAATGAATTGAAATGTTATATAATACCTTCGTGAACCAATCAAAAGATAATGTTCTGCACCAGGTTTTGATAAATTGAATTAAAATTGAGGTACGGAAATGATTAGATCTGTTTTAATTAAACATGCTCATTTCTTTTCCAATTGACTCCCACTTTAACTGATTGATTTAACAAACAGGTGGCTCAGTGATGAGCTTCCATGGTTGTATGGATTACAAGAGGAATGCAAAAGACAAGAATCTAAATGCGCTGTTAGCCCAGGGGAGGCACTGGTCAACCTTTTGTACAGGGGGGGTGCCGCTGAGATTCAAATATCTACCCACATCTAGGGATTTTTCTCTAAAAATGGACCCACATCCAGGGGTTTTCTTTCAAAAATAGACCCACTTCTAGCAATTTTTTCAAACACTACCCCCGGGGGGGGTTCACTGTATATAAACCTTGACGGGGATCCTCGGCGCACATGGGGTACCTTTTTTTGACATTTGGTATGGCAATGGACCCACATTTTAGGATGTGGTATGAGAATGCCCCCTCATTATGACTTTTGAGGGATGGAAATGGTCAGATTTTTCAACTTTCTGGTTTGAGAATGGTCATGGAAAATATGTTACCTCACAATTATGGTATGGAATTGGTCTAGTAGTCACACATATCCTAACTTCTTCAGTTTGAATAAATAGCTTTTTTCCCAGGAAATATTCTACTTTGGACCATTGGTATGGCATTTGTCCTATATTTTGACATTTGGTATGGCATTGGTTTCATATTTGGGCATTTGGTATGGCTTTTGGGCACTATATCGGTTGGTATGGGAACACATCCAAATTTGACATTTTGGTATGGGAATATATTGATATCTGAGGGTTCAGCCTAGGACCCCCGCCAAATTTTGTACACAGTAAACCCCCCGGGACTATACCTAGTTATAGGATTTTCAAAAAGTAGACCTAGTTCTAGGGATTTTTTCATCAAAATGGGATTTTTATTTTTTATCTTTAGCCACCCGTATATGGGAGCTATTTCAAACAGGGAGAAAGTCAATTGAAGATGAACTCAGACAAGGATGACCAAAAGCTGTAACTTCCCATAGTCAGATTGATGCAATAAAAGAAATATTGGATGAATTCCTATCAGAAAAATATATAAGATATTTTGTAATCATAACAATGATTTGTAATTTTCACAACTTCTCATGTTTTTTATCCTAGGCATTTAGCAATTTCTATCAATCTTTGATGGTTTAAAAAGGAGTTTATAATGGTCTTATAATCCATATAGGAGGAAATTACAGGGTGTCAAAAAACAACGGCACCCCCCTCTACAGCAAACAGTACTTATTATTACATGGTGTGTCATATCTCATTTTAAAGACAATTTAATTCTGGAGTTACCTGAGAAATTTCAGCTTTATATCATATAATTTTACAGATTTACAGCTGATTCTTAGTAGTTGGTACGACCACCAGTTGCTGCTCAAACAGCAGCTTATCTGGACGGATATGATTTCAATGAAAATTCAGATAAATGTGTAGCATTGCATAATCCTCTAAGCACTTTCCTCAAATTGTTCAGAAATACATCCTCACTGTATCTTTTTTCAAGAGGCTCTTCGTCCATCAGTTCCTATACCCTGTTTTACAGAACTGAACCCATATGTTTAGTGCAGTTGAAATCTGAGTTCATTCTTTCATATTCCACTTTCTGAAGATTTGACCTTTAACCAGTAACAGAACAGCAAATAAAGTACCAAAGTAGCAAACTTAAAAACAATGTAGCTTTTTTAATATAAAGTTTTATTAAATGAAATGAAGAGTAACTCCAGAATTAAATTATCTTTCAAATGATGTATGACACAATATGGAACATTCAGGACTTTTTGCTGAAGAGGGGGGTGCCGTTGTTTTTTGACACCCTGTATGTAGAAATTACAGGTTAACAAGCAGGACCTGTACAGTTTGGGGATTATATAGAAAGGCTGGGACACTTCTAGTGTAAACTTAATGAAAGAAACATAAAACTTATAATTTGTGTATGATTTCAGGATAACAAGCAAAATCTGATTCGAGTACTGGTCAAGCACAACACCAACTCTAAAGATAGACTCACCGACCAGAAGGCAGAGGTATGAAATCTAAGATTTTCAAATTGTATCAAAATTATTTTTTTAGATTTGATTTTTAAGAATAATCTTTGGACACCCATTTCATTTTATATAAATGAAGTCATTATTTGATGAATTTTATATAATTTCCCTCACAAATAAATAAATCATACTAGTAATTACCATTACTTTTGGTACACCCTGTACTTCAGATTCTAGAGTATGTGCATAAGTCTCTGAGTGGCCACCATGCTGAGACAACTGCCACCGTGTCCCAGCTACATGATGGTGCCTCACAGGAGTTAGAGCTGTTTGCCTCAGTGGCTCTACCATACCTCATGTACACATTGCTTGAGAGGTGAGAATTTAAGATATTAGGCCACATGATAGATTTGCTTATGTATGAAATGTACAAACTCTTAAGATCAGAGCCTTGAAAGATTTCACAAGATTTATTTCCGTGTTTCATATCTTTTATTGACTTTTACAAGATCATGAAATTAACTATTTTGAAATGTACATCACCAGATTAGATTGACTAAGAGGCCTTTTCAAAAGACTGAATTCCAAGGTATATTTTCTTGGGGAATGCACCCATGTAAGTTGGAATGTTGTTTTTTCAGTGGTCAGAAGAAAGCAGTACTAGATATGTCAATCCACAGACTGGCTAACTCTCCCTACACTCCAGGCAGTGCCACAATACAGAGGATACTACAGAAATTAGAGTTTCCAATCTACAAGGTAAACTACAGTATAGACACCCAGTCTATGACAAATTGTAAACAATATCCAACTGAAATAAACCCTTGCCTAAGACTCACTTCAATTCAGAACTATAGTTATGATAAAATGTGTGTTATTTCTTTATTTTCATTTATAGTATTATTTAATATTTATATATATTTATATATTATTATTATATTACAAACATTGTACAAAGCCTAGGCCTGGGCTCACAATTGGACAACACAAAATACACTCGGTTTTGCACTTTTTCAAAGTGCTTTATTGTCCTCGTCTTGGCGGGCAGACATCACAGAAATCTAGGAAAACCACTTAGCCATTCAACTTTAAATCTTTACAGATGCAAGAGCAGACTGCCAAGATCCGATTAGGTTTAAGGCATGCTCCGTGAATTACATGGCACCCATTTTGCTCTTTAGATTGCAATATTTATCACTGTGTGTCTCATTGTTATTGTTATATGTTGTAGTCTCCCGAGTGTATGTTGTCTCAAGCCATCAAGTTGAAATGGGAGGTAGACGAGATAGAACAACTACTGGTATCTCATAGCAACATGGCTGCAACTGTTGCCAACAGAGATGAAGATACACTGTCTACTGTAAAACGTGTCACCAGTGAGTTTTTTGGATTGAAATGTACATTTCTATAATGTGTAATTGATTTAAATGCTTTATATGTCCAACCAAGAAATGGAAGTGGTGGAACATATTGTTATATCCTTCATTGCTATAGTCTCCAATTTTTGTGGATGGCATTTTGCATGTTAATGCCTTGTTGGGTATGTTGGCATTTTGGAGTTTGGTAAACAAATATTTTATTAAAACATGTATAATGTAATATTTGTCTTAAATGATGTCATACCATGGACATTTAATAGATTGAAGCCCATGGTCATGCTAATTACTAAATTCATATTGTAGGGCTTTGTGAAAAGGTTAAAGAGAAAGATTCTGCCACCTTGACTGAAGTTATGCCCTTATTGAAATCAAGACTAGAGAGGACTACAAAGTCACTTGAGAAGTGTGTTGCTATGGAAACTAAAGTTGATCACTGGTAAGATAATTTTACTTTTGTTAAATAAGTGGGAGATGAGGATTTAGTTAGATGGACAATTGGTCAGAACACAGCTTGGATAAGAATGTTCCCATTGAAAGGTATTCACTATTCAGATATACTGTGTTTAAAAAACAGTTCTTAAAATATCAATTACCAAGATGCCAGTAAGTAGTTATCAGTTTCACCACCAGGTGTCTAATTTGGCATGACAGGTATTGAAAAAGTTCAACTAATTTGAATAATGAATCTATTAAGGAGATCAATTATTTTTATCTAACCTTTTGAGTTTGATAATTAAAATATGTTTAGTAAAAGAAATTATTATCTGTTCAATACAAGAAAAGGATCAATTTTTATGATTCTATAACAGAAATATATAACATTCTATCACATGATATAGAAACTTAATTTCTATATCATGTAATTTTGTATTTAGATTTTAGATTGAATGATTAAAATGAGGATTATTTCTATATAAATCTAATCCATTCAACCACAAAATGGCACTAAAAACTTAAGTCTTTTGGATGGGAGTGTTATATCAAATGTCCTTGTGGTCTTTGCAGGTGGGAGCAGCCAGGGCAAGATGTGACACCCTGGGTGAAGGTAGATAATATGACCCTACAACAGTGGAAGGACCAGTGGACTGTAACCCTTACTAAGCTGCGCCAGTTGCAGATGCAAAAGACTAAGTAGTCTGCGGAGATACAAAATGGGGAACTACCAGTCAAAGAGCAAGTGTTATTTATGGACTCGTTCTATCTAATAGAGCACCATTGGACTGTGATCTTAAATTGATACTGCAAAATGGGGAATTATCAGTCAAAGAGCAAGTGTTATGTATTCATATATGGATTCATTCTATCTAATAGAGCACCATTGAACTGTGACTGAAATGTTACATCAAAAAAATTCTAAAGTGACTATAATATTCTGGAATGGTCAGATATTAGTGGAATATATTTGTAGATCAAAGGACACAGCACTCTATCAAAGTAAAATGTTTCAGTTACTCTTATAGGTTGTATATAGAAAATTGTGTGAGGGCCAATATAGTTGAAAGACTCTGATTTGAATTTGTTGATGATCATGTGATAGATGATTAAGTGATAGATGATTAAGATGCTGCTGTTCAGCTTGATTTATTATGAAATCCATATCAAAGAGATTGTTAGACTTTACATTGCAGGTTGAACATTCAAAATTAGAAGTTCATGTATTCCCAAATTACTTTTTTTTAACCAATCAGTCGTCAGAATTATCAAGTTTTAATCATTGTAGCCTAGTGTACACTATATCAATCATGTATTGTGGTGTCATCTCCTGAAATGTTAATTAAATCTTTTTGACTTGGAGATCTCGACCCGGAGTTTGCTGCATTTTATTCTTTGTGAACAGTGCTCATCAGTTGTTGTTTGGTGGTCGCCATATGATTGTTGGTTTTCAGTGGCTTTAACAAATGGCACGTGGTGACATTTTGCATGTTAATGCCTTGTTTAAGAACTTTGATCTGACCAATATACCCAATTTATTTTTATTCAATGTATTCAATAATAATGGAGGAAAATTTGATATGTGTAGTGAATTTGAAGTTTTAAAACAGCAATATTTACACACAAAACAATGGGCCAGATGTGAAGAACAACCGAGTGGTTAACTGCCATCTATACGAGTCCTGGCTCCCATTACATAAGTTATTGAATGATTTATGTAAATATATTTTTATGAATATACATTTTGTATATAAACTGTACATTACTCTTACTGTTCTTTCATAATAATGCACATAATGCTTGCAAAGAAAATTTGTAAATAAACTTGTTATCACAATACACCTTGTTACTTTTATTCAGTACATGTATTTAATAGTATGTGGAGAGAAATTCCCAATAATGTGACTGTCCAAAGTAGTGATCATCAGATTCTGTCCTTACATTTCCTTTTAAACTGTCGATAAATAACTAAAATTAGCTGGGCTTGGGGAAATGTTCAAATATTTGCTCAATTTCAAAATTGAAATGAATGAGTGCACTTGAAAATCTCATACTTTAGAGATTCAGACTATATCAAAATTTAAAACCGCTATAAAAAGCTGAACCACAAAAACCCAGTACATGTACATAGTCTGTGCATTCAGCATTCCAACATTCCAATGGTATATGAAGCAGAACTCCATCCCTTTTGACTTATTGCAAATGTAGCTTTGGACATGCACTTTTCTTAAATCTCCACTTCAATGCATGTGTAAAAATGAACCTAGATAATTCACATTTCACATAAACAGTTTGGCTGACAGTCAGGTATTGTAACTTGAATCTGTGAAAAGGAGAAATGAATATTCAGTTTTGATACTACATAGATCTAAATGACCCCAAAATAGCTGTTATGGCGTGAATGGAATTCAATATCAAATTCAATTTATTTCATATTGTCACTCAAGAGTTTAGATAAAGCTCTCTTTAAATGAACCAAAATAGGTGCTGGAATAGCTACGTCCAAGGCATTCCAATGATTTGAAAATCTGATTCAAACAAGGTATTAGACATCTTAGAAAGACATATTATATAATAAGCCAGATCATTCAACATTTCAATGTTTTTCAAATATTTTGAATATTATAAAACAGTGAAAATATTTGAGCAATTTTGTACAAAACATGTGTTTAATAAAAAGTGTTCATATTAGCCATAATACATTATGAGAGTCTAATAGATCAGTACAGAATAACATTAAGATAGCATTAAGGATGTGGTTACTGAAAAAGAATATGGTTTTCACAAGCTTAAGGTTAATAGGAAGGAAATGAATCATTCATTATATAATGAACTAAAAACACAGACCTTTAATAAAGTGCACATTTATTTTCCACATCTGGACAAGATCCATGACTGTTATTTTCAACTCATCATTTTGACATAATCCGAACACTGATAAAGTACTGCAAAATTGATGACATAACATGTTTTCAAAATAGTCATTTTTATTCTGCATAATCCACCTGATATGACTTGAGTTGATAGGTGAAGCACCAACGTACCAATGTGTGACAGGCCCATAGCCAGAAGGTTTGAGCCAAAAATTCTTTCAAAATCATGCAATCTTTACCAATGTTAGCACTTTTCAACTGATTTTGGACTAAAATTGTCAAATTTGACACCCCCCAGTGTTTTAGTATTTTTGTAAATCATCCCCTTAGCTAAAGCTAACAATGAGCCTATGTGAGAAATCCCACTGTGTCATTGACAAAAAATACATGTAATTAACTCTCCTTGGATTAATGTAATACTTGAAAATTTTCCAGTAATTGCACACAAAATATTATTAATTATTCTCAGACAATTCACTTCATAGCCTTCCTCTTCAATTAAATATGTTTAAGGGTAACACATCAATATTTTGGGCCTTATTCCTAACATGGTTGACATACATACATTTAACAAATCATACCTTGCAGACTCTTACAAGTTAGATATATTTGTGTTGCACAAACATGCAATTACCATGACTGAAAAGGTTCTTTCATCCTGTTGAAATTAAAGTGACACAAAAAGAAAACTATGTCAAGTAAAGTATTTGAACATTTCAATGGCCTATGATTTAACATATATTTAATGACAAATATGACTTCAGTGTATCTGGCATGGGAAGTGCCCCAATTTTCTTTTCGATTTTCACACCTTGAAATTGTTTCCTTATTACTTTTAAACATAGCCTTTGTAAAGGCTTTGTATTCTGATACTCAGTCACTAACATATTCAATTCATGTTCATTTAGTGAACAAAGTAAATTCTCTGATGTTCCGATATGGGCTAGCCAAGAGTCATGGGAAAGGTCATAACCAGCTTCAATAAGACGTTTACAATTTTCAAAGTTGCCATGATAAACTAAATTAGCCAATGGAGTGCCTCGGCCATATATGGCTTTATTATTCATGACGCAACCATGCTCAATCAAAATTCTCACAATATGAGACCAATTGAGGAAGCTCGCATAATGTAAGGCGGAGCATCGAAGACGATCTTTCTGAAGAACCATAGCACCTTGGTAGATTAATACGAGTACGATTTTTACGTTTCCTAATACAGTTGCACTGATCAAAGGAGACATGTTATCCCTATCTACGCAATTTACATTTGCTTTGTAATCAATTAGGAGTTTCACTGCTTCATACTGTCCTCCCATACAGGCCCAATGAAGAGCAGTTCGACTACACAAAGGATCACGATAGTTAATCTTCACCCCCAATTTCAACAGATATTCCATGATTTTGATCTGGCCTTCATACGCTGCAGTCCCTAGAATGGTTGTGCTTTCGAAGCGGGTTGCGCTGTGCAGAATTGTGTTGAGATCTATTCCACTCCCTATCAATTGTTTCACGCGATCCAACTCTCCATTTTCTATCGCTCGCAAGAGCAAATCTTCAACTCCAGGGACATTCACCTTATAAACCATAGCACCACTAGATTAAGTGTATTTTTCAAAATGTACTAATTTTTGTTCCTTTGTTTGGCTAAGATCCCAATGTAGATTTACTCGTGATATTGATTCTGAGTGTTTTCAACTGATAGATATAAACAGTTAAATCCCTGTCTTTGTTACTCAGAAATCTGTTTCATCAAATTCCAAATGTATGTATGTATGAAGATAGCAAGTTTTTATTTTAATGATGTGTTTTTATAAAATTCTAAATTGTCAATTAAAATTTATAGAACACGACATGACATGTTTTAATGTTTCTTTGAAGCTTCCACATGTCCTTGTGATGTTTGAATGGTATTTAAGCGCTCGCTTTATTTATACACCTGTCCTTGGCACTGAACAAACCTCTGTATTAAAACAGTTTCTCTCATCTCATTGAAATCAACCAATAAATTCATTCATTGTATATTTTCGCCAACAGCTGAATCCAAAATTCAATACATCGACAGTTTAAGGTTAATCCTTAGCACATGTACTCAGTGAGCTAGTCATTAAATAGGGAAGTAAAGGTTAAAACAGTCAAATAATAACTAGATATAAGGACAGCTTTCATGTTTGACATTTAACTTAATTCAATAGATAATGATTTTGACCCTAATATTTCACTGCACTGTATTTTGCCTGTGATGAAATATTTGTGCCTCATTTATGAATTCTAACTTTTAACCTGACCGACATACACTAAATTGTTGCTCTTTTTTGTTTTGAATTCATTTTCAATATAAAACATTCACTGATTTAAAAATACTTTTAATAGGAGCAATTTTAATTTTTTAGAAGAACTTCTATGCCACAATGGACAAAATGCTGTTCCTAATTGTATAAAATATATTATGTATTTAAGCTTGGCCTATAATGCCAAATTTAATTTTTTGAAGCTCAATTATGAATTTGAACTATACCACCCAGATCCAGTGCATAAACAGTAATGTTATGAAAAGTTTATATGCAGCAGAAGTGCTTGTTCAATCGTATATATACAATACATACAATATTAACCCAAGTCTATGTTTACTTAACATTATTGGTGTATATTTAACATAATGAGTTTATTTTTGTTGAATTGTACTACACTTTCTGTATTTAGCCCTAAATCCTCATATCTGGAGAACAATACTAGTACACGCACAGGAAGCTTCGTTTGTTTAGCTCAATTAATTTGAAATCCTTAATTCATCATTTTAAAGTGGATAGAACTTAAAAATATCCTCTTTTTTCTTTACTAATACCACTATAAGCTGTTGTTTTTGTTTGAAGAGATTTTTTGAATGTGGAAGTGGTAGTCTATAGGTGTTTACTGTTTTATCAATGTTTTGAATGTCTTTGTTTGCATCCTTTCTTCTGACTACCGGATTCTCTCTAATGAGTGCACAGTTCCAATAAGCCCACATGCAGCTTTTGTGATGAACATGGTCTCACGAAAACACAACAAGATATAGATTGATGCTTACATTTAATGGAGAGAAAGAAATACAAGACCTGTGGAGTGCAGTGATCTCCCTAGCATTAAGGCCACCTGGGATTTTGAAAATAGGCTTGCACCCACCTGAAAATCCATTTGCACCCACTTGAAAATGAGAAAACATAAAAAATGGCATATTTTGACCAATTTTGGTCTGAATTGTGAAAATGAGAATTTTGCACCCACCTGAGAAAAATCCTGGGGAGATCACTGGAGTATGTATACCTTAGTGCCTTGGTGATAACAAACAACTAAAAAGATTATCAGCGATATTTTTCTAAATGTTTTGTATGTGCGCATATTGGAATCTCTCAATATCTTACCCTATTAAATTTTGATTTGCGAAGCGCAGTGCGCACACTAGAGAGAATACAGTATATCTTTCATAGTTGTGCCCCTTTTGACTCGCATGTTTACATTTTAAATATTTGTTTGTCATCATGACATGTAGTAATTCACACACATGTGAACTTAGAAGTTATTAAGAACATGAATGTGGCAACAATTATGCTTGACCTTATTTGGAGTATATCAAGAGATCCATTAAATACCAGACTGGACATTGCAGAATTAATACTATATAAGTAGTGTTCAGGCCCATAGTAAAAAATTCATTCGTGCAGTTTTTCAACATTCTAAGCATTTCTCAAGTGATTTAGACCAAAATTGTCCTAACAACTGACCCTCCCCCTTGGCAAAAGCTGGCTACAGGTCTAATATTTATACCATAGTATGATATCATAAACTGATAAAAATAAATATAATCCTAAGAAATCCCTCTAAGCATCTTATGTACAGTTTAACACAATCCCTGCTATGAGCCATAACCACATTAATTTGTACTGGCTTATTCAGATCATAAATATAACTTATACAAACTTAAACAAGTAATATATGATAAGTTATATAATGTATTTTCATGTAATTTTAAATTGATACAAACCAAAATAAGTAATAAAACTTCTCTATATTTCACTATGCAAATTACATTGTCTTCAAACACAGCATCAATATTTAATGGGTCAGGGTTACAAACAGCTAAATTCAGCAAACTGTCTAGAGAGGTCTAGATTCCACTCAAGTGTATGCACTGACATTTTGTCATCCGAATATCTCTATCCACTGTCCGGTGTGTCTACCATTCTGCAATAAGTGTCTACTCAGGATGCGACATGTGTCTTTCTATATGCCTCACATGCCAATGTGATTTGTCCATCCATTTCATTGTGTGATGTGTTGAGTCTCAACCAATGTCATGTTGACTCTTAGAATGATTATCTGCAATGTATAAACAACTTTTTAATTAAAAAATTTATAAGAGTAGAATTTCAGAATATCTCAGAAAATTGCAGGAATGCAAAGTTTAGGAAAAAACGCCTGAGTGGAATGAAGCAGCCACAATGCATTGAGTCTTGGGCTTAAATTCTTTTCACACATTGCAAAATATGTGATAGAAAATCACTAAAAGAACATATTTTCAATGAAACATTTTGCAAGGGTCAAGTATTGGCAAAGCATCAATTGCAATCTCATCACCTTGACAACTATACACAACAAATGCATTATTGATTATTTCATGCACTGCTGTCATGTAAAAATACTGTGTTCAGATTGGCTGGAATTGGACACACCTTGTCTAGCCATGTGTGAAATATTGTTCATGCATTCAAAGTATTTTGTCATAGTTCAGGTTTGGTAAACTTGTCTTGGTTATAGCATATGCTGGTGGTCCATTGACATTGTATTGAATGCAGGGGTTTCACTAGAATTTCTCACAACAGGCTAAATGAATGAAAACAACAGAAAGAATTAATGGAAATCATAAATTTAACATGGAAATGTTGAAAAGTCCCTAAAAACAACAGGCACTTTTGTGAAAACTGCCGGTGAAAATTGCCTGTTGCCTGCTGCTAATAAAACCCCTGGAATGGTCAAAAAATAATATCACAGACTCATAATGTACATAGGAGTTCATAAAAAGTTCACTACTTATCAGATAAAATAGATAAAAAACATTTTCAGCAATACTGTAAGTTAATTGAATGATTTGAAGTGCAATACAGGATATATTCTACTCGAGAAATTCTGTATTGGAACGAGACGATAAATGAGTTGATTATCATCCAAATGTCAATTTCATACACTTGTACACAGGAAGTTCGTCAACTAGGCCTATGGTATCAAATTGTCGAAATATAACATGAAGAACAGATAAATTGTAAATGTTCTAGTTAAAATAAATTGCATATACAGGATGGTCCAAAAGATCATTCAAACTTTTGATTGCATAGCATTTTCTAATGATAGGAATATCTCCCAAATTTTTTTCATAGACCTACAGACATGTAAGAGTTGTGCTATGTAAGTTGTTATAGGGGATTTTTCTTGTGAATGTGCAGGTCAGGTGTGATCCATACGATAGGAGATGCACCTGACTTCAGGTAAGTAATGGTGGAGGTATTCAACAGTTCAAGTGAAGCATTTGAATAAGGCAATGTTGCTTCGTCTTTCCAATGGATAACAGTATCAATGTTAACCCCTTGCTTCCGTGCCGATGTCAGAATGGATTTTCTTCTTATAACTTCAATGTCTCAGTCCATGGTCACAGGAAATGAACGTCCATTAGCATCCTCAAACTAGAATGGCCCAGTATAACCATTATGACTTAACTTTCACCAGTCAACTTCTCTACATCACATGTTTGATGCCAATGCTCAGAAGGCTAAACCTGAGCCAAAAAGTGCATTTTCTATTTTCAGCACCAAAGAGCGTGGATTGGGCATATCACAAACTATTGATCCCATGCTCTCATAACAGTGGTATAACAAAATTAAACTTATACCATACAAAACTTACAAGTCTGTAGGTCGTCTATGAAAATAAATTGGGAGATCTTTCTGTCTTTAGACAATACTACGTTGTCAAAAGTGTGAATGAATTTATGGAACACCCTGTACATTTTTCATGTGTGTTGAATGCTATCAGAAAATGAAAAAATTGACTCTTAATCTCCTTTTTACATCAAGTCAAAGAAACAAGAAATTTTTTATATAATCCAATCAGATTAGCCATTTGTAAGCAAATTCTTTTTAAACAAGGATTTTGATAGTAAGTACGCGATGCCAAATGTCGAGCAAAACTAGGGGGTCAGGGGGCATGCCCCCAGAAAATTTTTCATTTGGACCTTAATGGTGCATTCTGAGTGATATCAGACTGTGTTATGCAGAAGGGAAAACTGTTACTTGTCTGGAGTCTAGAGAAAAGAAGAGAAGTAGTCCAGGAAAGATCATGAAACAAAATATTTATATATTTTTATTTATTTTTATAAATTTTTTGCTTGATTTTGAAAATACTTAAAATAATACAGTCTCGAATTTCCTTCAACTTAATCAATTAAGTGATATTTATCGAGAATTTTAATGGCGTCGTATACTAGTCAGAGCAAATCCCTAAGTATGACGTCATCCCAGAAATAGTTGCGGGAGTGGCCGATAGGTGTCAGGAATAATCGTTTTCGTCTATTGACATGCTAGGCAAAACTTTACTGTACTCTATCCTGTACAGAAGTAGTGACATCTTTTTTTAAGCGTTAATAGCAATGTATGAATAAGTGAGCATAGCAAAAATCAGTCCAGACAGCAACATAATTAAACCCCACTTAGGTAGCTGGACTGTAGTTTATTTTAAAGATTGTACAGTTAAAAGTGCATTCTTTTTCTATTTTTTAAAGAAATGGCACTTGGCAAGCTATCCAAAACCAGTGAGGCACAAAAGATGATTGATTGTCACGCAGTGCACTAAAGCTGAACTAATAACACCTCATTCATTCAATAGCACTTCTAATGACTGTTTTCCTTTTAAAAAATGGAATAAAATACTCACGGAATTTGTGTTTAAGATTGTTAGGCATTTTTTAAGCATTTTTGAAGGACACAACTACCCCGGAGTGAATATACAGATACACAATGACGCGCCACAATACTGTTCTACTGTGAAATAGCATAGTGTGTAAAATTAATATATGTCGCATCATGAGTGACCAGAAATCTACTTTTCCGAAAAAGTTTTCTTCTGAAAAGTCGTTCAAATTCAACATTTATGAAGTTGTTTGGTGAGTAAATCGTAAAAAGGGAATTCGCTATAACTGCGAAATACCTTTATATATTTTTTGCCACCTCTTTCGAAAATTCGCGATTGGCGAAAGTCTGATCTCAGTCAATAGTTAAATAGTTAACATATTTTAAACTGTACCTGGCCTGTACATGCAGTGCACTGAAGCTTAACTAACACCTACTCACTTCTCAATACACTTTCGTCATAGTCAATACAAAAAAATGAAATTTTGCTAAAATTGGATCATGGGCCATTTACCTTTCACAAAAGTCAGTGTGGGGTTATAGTTAGATAAACCATTCATACTGGGTCTTAGGTAGTGGTGTAGACAAATACTCATGTAGTCATTAAATTGTCTCACCAAAGTGTTATAGAATTCGTCTCGATTAAGATTTCAGATTTCGCGAATTATTTCACTAGTCTGAGATTCACGAATTTGTATTCATATTCCCGATAACCATTCCATAGCGAATCCTGATGTCATATGCATTGTTTTTTTCTCACAAACAGTGTCAAACCATGAACAAATGATTGTTTCATGTATTACTTGTTTTTATTTGAATGAATATGACATGAATGAATATGACATGAATGAATATGACATGAATGAATGACTATGACATGAATGAATATGACTATGACATGAATGAATATGACATGAATGAATATGACATGTATGAGAAAAAAATTAATTCACCAAGGGAGGTAAAAAATGCTACTATCGTCTTTCTACTTTATTACTTATAAATTGACATTTGGTGAACAATGTATGGAATACAGTTACAGGAAAGTATGTGAGACTCACCATGCTCAGTGCAGTATGGCATAACGGGTGAGTTTTCCACCCCTGATTTCCTTGATTCTGCCACAATGTCTCAGCATAGAAAAGATGTTCTTAGTGTGACTTCCCAGCTTAAAAGAGGTATGTAGTTTCACATCTTCCTCAACGAAGAATTGGAAACCTAAGAAAACCAGAACACATTTTAATGAAATACATTGATTAGCAATGAGTTGTGTCACATGGATAATTTCAGAGTGAACCAAATATAAATACACCTCATAACATGTAGTTCGGATCTTGCGCCTAATTATGCCAAATCAAAATTGAAGAAACAATCCTGTCAATTATTAGCAATTGCTGGATTGAGTCAGCTTCATTAAGAATAGTATTTTAAACTTGGTAGCAAAAGTAAGTATCATCATTTTCATTAGCACAACAAAGCATTCCAAGGCTCGCTTCACCCTACACTCGATATTCTCAATATGAAGGGGTTTAGAAAATTCTGGTATTAAGCTATGAGAATAAAAGCAATAATTTTAATGTACATGTAATTTCAAACAATTTCTGCACCACATCACTCTAAAGTATCCTAAAATACAGTACTGTTTCAACGCATTACTCACCTTTTGTTTCTTTATTTTCTTGTGCCTTATATCCTGTGTAAGTCTTAGAGGTTCTTTCTATAATGTTTTTCTTGGCCTTAGCCATGTATGTGTATTTAGCAGTCAGGGCTTTGTTGAATTCATCTATTGCTGAGTTAATCTGATCATATGTAAACCTCCCTCTGATATATCTGTAAAATAAGTAAATATGTTGTTCAGTTAAATATGTTGATTTCAAAAATATATTCACTTTTCAAAAGTGGGACATTTCAGCGTTGTACATTGGATCAGGTCATGTTAAAGGGGATCAGATATTTAAAGTCTCCCCTTCAGATATTACATTTGGGATTGCAATGGAAAAGGAAAATGATTATTGAGAGGATTGCTCTATATTTCTATCCTCTTTACTTCCATTGTTCTAAGGTAGGCAGGGTAGAATGGCATTTTACACGTTCATGTTTGTAGTAATACATATTATGAGTAGAAAACATGCCCTCTTAAACAACCCTGTATTTCCAAGAGACAGTATTCAAGTCTGATATTAATTTGAAATTATTATAGGTTAAATGGCAAGTATCTGAAATTTTGATCCTGATTTACCACAGAATATTTTGAATTCAAAAAGGTACGTAACTTCCATCCATTGATTTGAAATAACCCTTATATCTTAAGCTTCAGTGAAAGCATAGATGAAGGCAGGGTCATCAGCACAACTTAAGACAATGAGAATGGACCATCTTTTCAAAATGCAATAAAAAATGTTCAATATTTACAGAACCCCCCCCCCCCTTAATATTACATGTAAATTGTACATGTACATGTATGTATACTTACTTAGGGGTGCTTTCAAATTCATCAATCATCAGATACTCTATTTTATGAATAGAAGGTCCCTTAGGTACAGTGGTATCTTGCATAGACTTGTTTGTATCTTTTTGTTTGAGTGGGGTAGCATTCACATTAGCACTAGAACTTGCAGTTGGCGTCATACTGGAATGTAAGAAATAAGCAATTAATACTGATCCAATGAATTAGAGATATTAGAGTATCTCTTTAAATAGCTTTTTAAATAGCTGTTTTCTTGCTTGTTTTATAATGCAATGATGAATACATATGATGACATTATCAATTTCTTAGCACATTATTCAAATAGTGGATGGTGTGAAAAATGCAAGTAGTATGTACAGTATTATCTACTAAATGGTTTTATTAATGAATAACAGTACATGAAATATGATCATCTAGAAAAAAGGTACACTACCTTTTTGTATTGCTTTGATTATTCATCCTGGTTGGAAGCCGATCTGGAATATTTTCTGTTGCATGGGACACTCTTTCATTCAGATCAATTACAACACTGCGCATCATCTGCAAATGTAATAAGAAAATAATTTAGGAACTTTCCTTTGCAGACACTGAGCAATATCAGGGGTTTCATTAGCAGCAGGCAACAGGCGATTTTCACCATTTGTTTCGCAAAATACTTGTTTTTAGGGACTTTTCAATTTTTCCATGTTAAATTTATGATTTCCATTAATTTTTCCTTTTCTTTTCAATTATTTAGGCTGTTGTGAGAAATTCTATTGAAGCCCCTGAATATTGTATCAACGTTTATCATTCTAACACAAACAGGTTGAAATACAAGTGCTCTTTGTTTTATTTGAATACCTTGGTTGGCTGGTTGCCTTTAACAAGTCTTCAAGTTTGGGAAGTTATTTTTGAAAATCTATACCAATAAGCTGGTATGTTTTAATATACCAGCATCACTTGAATGACAGTTTATCCATTCACACCCTTAAAAGCTTTAATAAGCCCATACACCCACAATTCAAAGTACTCATATTTCTATTAACATGTACAGTAAAACCTGTATATCTGAACACCTCTCTGATCTGAACACCTCTCAATGTGAACACCTTTTCTCAAAATTCTCTGTCCCAATTTTATTATCTCCCATTGACTCACTTATTAAAAAAACTTGAAATGTGAACACCTGCTTATCTGAACACTTTTGGCCAGCCCCATTGGTGTTCAGATTAGACAGGTTTTACTGTACCTGGACTTGCTTCATCTCATCCCTCTGCCTGGAGATCTCAGCCTTTAAAAGTAATATAACAGCCTCTAATTCTCCAACATTCCTATTCATTTTAGCTAAGAGTTTGCTGCTATTGCCTGTCTGGCTTGTGTTCCTAAGCTGAACACATAATTTCATAGAGGAGATTTTGTTCTGGAAGTGTCCTACCAGTTCATCTAGGTGATTGAAATTCATCTGGAATCATATTAGAATATTTCATTATTATATGCACAGTATTGTAGTATGTTTTAGGATGGAATACTAAAAAAGTCCAAAAGTTTAATCGCTGTATTTTCAGTTTCGTGGCATCTATTCTCCAGGTATTAGATTAAGACTGCTCAAAACAATAAAATAAAGAGCATAGGAAAACGCATTGTCAGAAAAATGATGATCACCACAGCAATTATTAGTCGGAACAAAAGTACTGAAAGGATACTCTAGTCTATACTGCATGTATTCTGCAAGTAACAAAAGGATCTAGGTACATTGAAAAATAGCAAACCCCAAATAATAACATGTGAAGTTACAATTATGGTATAGAATGACTTCTACATCACATCTTGGTGTATACCTCGATGTGTAGGGTAAAAAGTGGTACAAACGGACGAGATATACAGACAATCTAAGACGCAAGCCCGTGAAAGTGCCCTCAACAGCTTAGAAAAGTAATCAAACATCAGGCAAGTGGTGTTCAATGCCAAAAGGAGCTACATGATAACTTGAACCAATCAGATCACTGGGTTTAATGCGCATGCGCCATAAACCGAACCAAAAAATGGAATTTCATGCAGATTGCAAACGAGATTTAGCAAGAGGACGCAATTGAGAAACATTTTGTGAAGAATGAGCACATTTTAACTGTTTTCTACTACCTCCACATAATTTGAGGTATTTTGTTAACATTTGGTATCTTTTGGACCTCCGTCACTAAAAATAATAGAGAAACACTTGTGTGGAAACGTCGAATTTTTAGTTTGATAAGAAGGGTATCTGTAAATTTTTACCAAAATGGCAAAGAGTGACCAGACTTTCCATTTTATTTAGAAGATAATATCTTATTTTATGAGATAGTGCTGACTGTGGGCAGAAAACCATCAAAATATAAGAGGCCACACACTTTATTAGCCAAACTAAAGTGGGAGACATTAATAAACCTCAACCATCAAAAGTTGTCACAATGAGCTAAATTCTAAGTTTCTATGTGTCAAACTCTCCCAAGCGATAGGAAAATAATTCCCGTTCACTTTAAGTAGCACAATAAATGAATCCAAAGCTTCATACCTGCAAATGATGGATAAATTCCTACCAAATCGAACGAATGTTTTCATGGATCGCCCCGGGGGATCGCCATGTTTGTGATCCAAGGTGGATTGACTCCCAGAATGCAACATCAATTAACCTTATTATTTTTACTCGTGACAGGTTTCAAAATGGCTGGCACGTGTCATATAGCATTCTGGGAGCCAATCCTCCTTGCGGCATAATCTGGCTCCAAAATCACCTCAACATTTGAAGAGTCATCATTAACATGTGAATATCGCTTCAAATTTTTAAGTTCCTATTTGTCATTATGAACACAAATTCCCCTGTATTTGTACGTTCCGGGACGGAGAAAATAGAGCATAGAGCACTTATTTCACTGAGGTAAGAATTTATGACATATGTGACAGAATCACGGACGTCTAATACGTTCTTCGAACGAGATAGATATCAATAACAGGACTGGCAACAAGATCCAAGTATTTTCAAGACCGCCGACTATCGTTGGGCTATTTATCCCTATTGACTCAGTTGTTCATATAAATTTACGTACATTAGATGCTTTGTAATAGACGTAGATAGAAAATATTGCTTCCTAAATTGTTCTGAAATGCGATTATAATACTAAATGTACTTTGAACAGGTCGACTGACTGAAAAGTCAGCCATTTGGCACAAGTCTCGTTCTCGTTCTCAAACAAAACGTGACAATCTTAAAATTCCCGGGAAGTTTACCCTTCTAAAAAAATCGACCTACTTTAAAAAATGGTCGTTAAAAATGTATTTCTTCGTGTTTCCTATGTAATTAAATTAGACATATTTTATGAGATGTTAATTTCTAATGTAAGAATTCATTCGTAAGATAATCATTAAGTGATTCGTAATGAACCGTAGAAATAAGTAATTTCTCAGGATTTTGCAAGGGACTGATCTTTACTGATCGGTAATTGTTTATTCCTTGGTAGCTATGCAGGTCGTTGAGAATTTCTTTCGAGAAGTGACATCATTGCAAACCCCCCCCCCCCTCGCTTTCGTTATCTTCATCGTCTAGTTTACGAATACCACATGTCGATGTGATGTTTTAATTGATAAAAGCGAATTCCTTACATATTTCGTTATCTTATTGTGAAATAGCAAACTATGAGATATGTTTAATCGCTAGGAATTAACATATTATTATTTGAAGCGATTTTAGAAAATTTTGAAACCGCCATCTTGGTTATATTGATGAAGTGTGATCACCATCGGTCAAGGTGAGGTCAAGGGTCATCCATCTTGCCATTTGCCCAGCGGAATCTTACCAGTCTTACCAAAACGATGAAATCACCGTAAAAATAAAATATACACTTTAAAATTGAGGCTGATTGAATATGAAAAGACTCCATTGAATACAGCTGTGCAATTTACAGTCACCAAGATGAGCTAATTTCGGAGAGATTCGGGAATTAAGAAAGGTCACTTCATTTTTTTCATTCGGGTTTCCCAACTTATTAAATTTGAAATCCCAATCCTTTCGCCAGAACATTCTCTATGACTGTGGACAGAATGTCTTTTTTCATAGTGTTAGTTTTATTTATATTCACCACTGTAGAAGCAATCCAAGATAAAAAAAAGTCATTTATGCACAATAGGAATATATTTTTCCATATATTGCAAAATGATCTTTTGATTTCATTTTCAATTTCATTTCAACTCAAGTTTGAAGTTGAAAGTTTTTAAAAAAAACTATAATATTTTTTATTTATTTTATTTAGATTTTATTTATTCAGGGATATCTAATAAGAAATACATATGTTTTCTTGTTTCCATTAGAACCCTGCAGACACACATACACACTACATTTAACAATAAAATATGTGACAATACATATCATAAAATTAGAAATTTGTAAAAACAGTACATTAATATGTGTAAAAATACTATATGACTAGTCGATAAAAATAAGCATTAAAAGTAATTGTCACACTTGACATTTGAGCATATTAAGACATGTAAAATTACAATTATTCACTAATTGAAGCAAGGAATTGCTTTTTTAGATGAACTTTAAAAGATTGCACTGAGGCAGATTCCTTGAAATCTAAAGGTGCCTTGTTCCAGAGAACAGATGCTCTGTGACTAAAAGTTTGTGTGCCTGCATTATTACAATTTTGTTTAATAAAAATACATTTGTTAGTTGTAGCACGAGTACCATAGTTGTGAGTGTCCTTAGTTAAGGTAAAACTGTCCTGCATATAAGTGGGAACCAGTCCATTCACTACCTTATACATTAGTGTCAGGTTGTGCATGTCCTGCCTCTCTCTTATGGATGGCCACTTCAGAGTATTTCTAACATCCTGGGATGGGGTACGTGGGGCACATTTAACTATCAATCTACCAGCACGGTTTTGGAATCTCTGAATTTTATCTAAGAGTTGTGAGCTGCATCCAGAGATGACAGCATCACCATAATCAAAAATGGGTGTGATGGTAGATTGGATTAAAAGTTTGGTTGTATTGAGGGTAAGAGAATCTCTCACTCTCCCAATGACCCCTAACCTTTGTGACAATTTTGTACAAGTTTTGGTTATATGTGTTTTCCAAGTGAGTGTTGGATCAAACCACAAACCAAGATATTTGAAAGCGTCGACTTGTTCAATTTTTTCTCCATTTATGACTATGTCGTCACCTTCATCTACCTTTGACAGTTTCTGGGATGACCCATACACCATGAATTTAGTCTTCTTGACATTTAATGTTAATTTATTTGAGCACAGCCATTTGTGTACCACATTCATATCAGCTGTTAACTTTGCTTTAATAGAGTGAATATCTTTGGCATGGTAAAATATGGCAGTGTCATCTGCATAGAGAGTGACTTTGGAGTCTTTAATTTGATTTTGGAGGTCGTTTATGTAGAGAATAAAAAGCAGAGGCCCGAGTACAGAGCCCTGAGGTACTCCATACTCGACTGGTAATGAAGATGACACTTTGCCATTTATACTTACACATTGACTTCGACCAATGAGATAACTGCTGAACCAAGACAATTCTTTGTCTCTGACACCGATGTTTTGCATTTTCATGAGCATTAGGTTTACATCGACGGTGTCAAAGGCTTTTTTCAAATCAAGATATACTACACCCGTTAAAAGCCCATTTTGGGTGTTGTTAAGTATATAATCAGTAACATTTACAAGTGCGGTCTGCGTGGAATGTTTGGGCCTGAAACCCGACTGATGAACAGCTAAGATATTATTGTCAGTCAGGTAAGTATATAATTGATTGTGTACAAATTTTTCAAATACTTTTAGACAGACTGGTAGAACAGATATTGGTCTGTAGTTTGAAGTATTCAAATTGGAGCCATCTTTATAGATTGGCGTAACTTTAGCCTTCCTCCACTGATCAGGTGGCAGTATTTTCCATTTCCGGTTCATATTGATGATCACTGATAATAGACTTGAGTAAGACACAATCATCATCATCATGAGTCAAAAATAATGTTAATATTTACCTTATGTGTGGTCTGTTATACTTTTGTATATTACGCCTTATTTCGTAGTCCGATATGGCCAATAACCAGTAAAAAAAGAGAAAAACAAAGTTTTATTTTTCAAATGCCCGCCATGACAGATCACGTGACAAATTTAAGGAGAAATGTAAATCTCAATCAGCAGTGTTTAAATCAAGTAATATAATAAATACAAATTTAAAGTAATACAATATAATAATTGTATGTATTGCGATTAACTGATATCATATAGTCAAATCGTAAAGTAAAAGTACAGATTTACATTTTGCCTAATTTTTGCTGCGTAGTTTGTCACATGATCAATCACGTGACAATTAAGAATTAAATAATAATATGGCCGCTGAAAATTTTTGGGACAATCTTCCAAGCGTTATTATTGTTGAAATTCTCTCCTATTTCTCGGTCAACGAGCGGCTTAAAGTATCAACGATATGTAAGAAATGGAGACAAAACTTATTTCACCCAACGCTATGGAGAAAAGCAACGATAACACTCGACAAAATGGAAACAAAAAAATCGAAAAAACTTTTCCAGATGTGCGGAAGATTTTTCAGAGAATGTGTTATTGAGTTTAATTCTGAGAGTCTTAAATATATCAGTGACTGCGCCAAAGTGTTGTTAGCACTATCAGAAAATAGGCACATGCAGACCTTGATACTGAAACCAACAACGATTGATATTTTCAATTTGGAACTCAACCAAAGTGAATATCAGCATTCGAGCCTTGGTTTACAAGAAATGTAAGTTCATTGCTCACAGACTTGAGATGAATTTAAGAAAAGTTCTCGGAATCGGTCTTACTACTAGAATCAAAACGCTTATTCTGTGACCAGTTCATATGGTTAAAATAACGAAATAATGAAATGTTACCATGTGTCTACTTACCAGTTTGTTCTATGTCATCCATCCTGCTAGGTTACATTGTGGAACTCAGCCAAACACGACACTGAAGTCAGTATTCTGAGGTTATAAAATCTAAACCTCAAAATTTCCCATTTGCAGCCCCTTGGAGATTTCTGGAATTGAACAAAGTTCGTTGTTTTTCACCACTTTATGTGTAGTGTTTTCATTTAGGAGGTGGTCTTATTTGAATGCATCATTTCAGGTCTTTATGAATCAATAGATCAATAAGCAGACGAAAAATTAAAATTTAGCAGTTTTATTCGTTGCGTACTGGGCCTGTTAGGCACGAATTACAATTTAGCAGTTTCGTTCATTGCGTAATTGATCCTTCTATAATCAGTAGCAAATGCTCGCAAAAATATTTACTTCTGTTTTCCTTGAAGACATGGTTGGGTGATACGTCATTAAGTCACATGATCCATACAGTAACTAGAGTCCATTTCACTGCTTCATTTCGTCAGTAGAACGGCAAAACTAAGAAATTGGGAGACCATTGTGCAATAATATATGGAAAAGTATATTCATAATGTACATGAATGACATTTGTATATCTTGGATTGCTTCTAGTTTGACTTATAAAGTGTGTGGCCTCTTGTATTTGGATGTTTCTCTGTCATGTTATTTTCAATAAGATTAACATGGCTGAAATTCTTCAAATTACAAGACGGCACAGGCTTATTGCACAAAAAACTAAAAAATCGGAAATATACAAATGTCATTCATGTACATTATGAATATACTTTTCCATATATTATTGCACAATGGTCTCCCAATTTCTTATTTTTGCCGTTCTACTGATGAAATGAAGCAGTGAAATGGACTCTAGTCACGTGATCAGACACGTGTCACGTGATCAGTCACATGAGCTTGCAAAATGGACGATGTAAATTTCCCAAAATTCTGCTAAGATCAATAACAATATGTTGTTGCTTTCATTGTCATGTTTGGCTGCGTTCCACAATGTAACCTAGCAGAATGGATGACATGGGTTTGTAGAAAAAACTGGGTACCTGGTAGTAAATCCTCCTTGCTGGGTTAAAAATTTGGTACCCGGTCGAAAAAAACGGGTACCTAAAAAACGAGAAAAATGATTATATAACATAATTCTCGTAGATCATTAGAAAAGATTTGTTTTGAATTGAGAAAAATGTGTGTAACTTCCTTCAAAATTCAGCTAGAAGCTTCAAATAAAAAGCATTTTAAGGCTCTTTTCTTTCTCTATCATCGTGGCCATATTTACATTAGTTATGGGGGGGGGGGGGGTGCGATCGCACCATCAAACTCCCTCCTGGCTATGCCTATGACATTGTAAGATGATTTGAAAATCATGACAAATCAATTTTACTCTTTTTTCAATAGTTCGTATGTTGGTACGTGGATTGTTTTGATTATGATTTAAATCTGTAAATAGCTATCGTTACTTTAGCAGAGAGGTGATGTGTGTTAATTTACATGATGCAACGTGTAAGATTTTGATTAAGTATTTATCATTTGTAAGTTATCCCAATTTTCGACGAAACGTCCACTGAAGTGTAAATTGTTACGTCTTACAATGTCATAGGCGTATTGGTTGTCGTTAAGAAATTAAATGTTGAAGTGAAATACTCATCGTTTCCAAAATTCCTCAAGTGTAGAGCATGTTGTAGAACCACTTCTTCAAATTCTTACACATGCTTGTATTCTACAGACTTACAGCTGATGGCCATCTTGTTTTCTGGCAGTCATTTTAGAAATTTTTTGATAAATCTCATTGCAGTTTTTTATTACGTCACATTTTTACTGCCTAGTGTCATGTGCCTTGTAAAAAATGTGTATAGAAATCACCATGTGAGCCTACTGAATTGCGCCATTTTTTGTGTCTAAGGTACAGTTGACATTTAAATCATTTCAATATTGTCAAACCCACTTAATTTTATAATGAATACTTTAATCAGGTAATTGCTTTTCATTTGTTTCAGGTTTGACAACAGTATTCAAAAGATTCTCGAAAACACATCACTGATGAAGCAGTTTTCTCTTGGCTACATTGAACCTCTTGTTTTGGAGTCTCCTAAATATCTGGCCCAACTTTGCCGTCCCGTCTACAGCTTCCTAGAACACCTGAATCTCAGTACGATCACACATGTGGACGACGACCGCCTACCTTTTCATCTACCTGCCCATTATTTTGAGACATTTGTGCAATTGAAATCTTTGGCTCTTGACTATGATCACGTAACAGATGAGCTATTGAATGTCTTACAGTACAATGGGAGGAGTCAATTGGAAAAGTTGATTATCAATGTACATGATGATCCAAATGGGAACTTCCATATTATCCACAACAACAGCTGGCGAAATTTGCGTGGTGTCATTCCTGAATTGAAAGTTACATTGAACATGCTACATAGACATACGAGTAATGTCCAGATTTCTGCCGTGGCATCCAATGTTGATAACATGTTAAGAATCCTGAGACCTGCTATGCCACTTGCCCATTTGAGAATGCTGATGTGTGAGGATATCAACCCTGCAGCCATTGAGTTCATTGCAATGCATCACAGCTCCTCTCTCGAGTCAGTCTATATACTGGACTTTGTTAGCCCAACTGAGCAGGCCCAGTACGACAATCTCAATGAGCAGGATCCTTTTGTAATGCTCGCCTGGAAGTGTACTAAATTGAGGAGTTTGACAATCATAGGTAGGTGTTATTTTCATGGGATACACTTAAACACTATCTGTTAGGTTCAAGATAAGTGCTTTTTTCGAGGGATTTGGGTTTCCTGTAGGGATATGTTGAGTTCTAGCTATTCTAGCAATATATTGATTTTTAGCTGTATGCCAAGTTTCTAGGAATAGAGGAATTATTAATAGAGACAATAATTATTGTGACTTTTAACTATGTAAATATGTTATGTATGAAACATGTTATATATTATTGACTATAACCGCTACTTTTTCGATTTGTGTCAACTATTTTGGATTTGTTGTCTGTATTATCTTTATTTAGGACATAAATCTAAATGTTTTGCCAAGAGGATTGGCTCCGAGGATCGAAACTTGATATTTTTCAACAATGAAAACGTCAAAATGTCGTTATTTTCTGAAATTATAACCGACTATAAATTTAAAATAAATAGTTCAAAAGATTCGAACCAATATCTTGATCATTTCTTGTGAGTTTTGGAATTTTTCGATGTGATCTTTGTGCATAGACTTCTGAAAATGGATATGATAATTTCATTTAACAAAATCTAAGTTTAACAATGTCATGTTTTGTTATTTCAGGGTATGAGGTGAGTTGTGAGAATCTCATTGCGATATCTCGCTTACGAGGGAAGACTCTGAAAACCCTTGATGTCCCTGAATGTTGCATCACCTCCTGGGATGCTGAACAAGACCTTGACTACAGGGGCCTCACATGGGAGAGCGTAGAAGAGGTAAGTATATAGTTTAACCTAGGGGAATTCTCAACTAAAAAATCTGGTCAAAACATCAACATTTTCATGATTTCTTGTGGGTTAATTGTAATTGTACACTTGAACAAAGTTTGATAGGGTGATCCATTATGGGCAAAGCTCCTCTATTTGTGAAGGAATTTTGTGCTGCCATTTTTGTCAAGTGTAAAATTTAGATCGGAGTTAGTTCCTATTTGATAGTACGAGCTTCTAGGAGTTAAAAGTGAGATTTGCTCTAGGATTTTGAGCACAAAATTAAATTATTATAAGAACGAAGTCTGTCCGCCCATAAGATAACTCATAAATACTAACTAATGAAATTTTGATAGTATATTCACAACCAGTGTTCGGCAGAAGCGGGAGTCCGTAGGCCCGGGACACCCAGTAAAACTAGACAAAACATAAGTAAAATTACCTTGAAATTGGTAAATATTTCGATCTTTTCAACTTTCAACTTTCTCTACATAAAACCCTATTAACCAATCAAAAACTTTGCATGATCACGGTAAGAATATTGGGTAATTTGGTTGCGCTACAATCTCGAACGTAGCCTTTGGTTCGTAACTAACAGATTCAAATTTAATTTTCAACGTTTATGGTAGCTTTCCGATAAAACATATCGATATATTTGCAGTATACCGCACATTTGACTTGAAATAAGTCTACCTCATTCATCAAGGGCGTAATAAATATCATACAACGATCTGTTTGTCTGCTCAAGTTTGTCCGTTCGTCAATTTCTACCATTCGCTGTTTACATGCATCAACCGCAAAACCTTGAAAGTATACACTACTACTGTCTGGTTATTTTTATCACTAAGGAGTTATTTGGTAATTTATGGTTTTTAAAATGTCTTTTAATTTTTTATTTATTAATTTCTAGATCGGAAATAATATTGGCATGGATGACTGGGAGCCATTGTCAATAAGAGATCTGCCACATGGAACTTTGGAGAGCCATCGCTTCCCTATTGACCTGGATGTTATGAAGATACTCTTGCAGGATTTCTAAAATCAGGACGACAATGTTGCTAGAATCTGAAGATTACCAGTTCTGCATCATAAAAGAAAAGTATGAGTATCAATATTGCCAAAGACTGCTATGACGATATATGCGACCCTTCGATGTGTTTAACTTTTACAACATTTTAATGATTCAAAAGTAATTGCCTTTTGAATCAGCTTGCGAATGCTTTTATATAATTTTATTGTATCATTTTATTTTTTGAAGTAATTTGAATATTTTCAAACTTAAAATATTGCATTGCAAGTAGTGTTATGATTATTGAATATTGATCCATGAGAATGAGAGAGAGAAGCTATATATGCCACCACAAATTGCTCAAACGACAGAGATTCACCAACAACAAGAGTGCAGTGTACTAGACATAAAGTGTAATGCACATGGGGTATTGCATGACTTGTGGAGATCACCCTCCTGTTGAGGGTATCAATTTACCCCCTCTCTCTGGGCAAGTCACAAACATAGTTTCAAGATGTTTTGCCTTCTTTATGACACTGACAAATCAGTTTTTGAATATCAGATGTTTTTGTGTAACAAATATTGTGCGGTGATATAGAGATGGTGTCAGAATATTGGCATAATCATAACGACTTATATGGGCATTTTATAACAGGGTGTCTCAATTTTTATTTGAACATCTTTATTTAGACCCACTAGGAGAGATCAAATAGATGAATATTATTTTTTTATTATGCCTTATTGCAATTTATGCTAATATTTTGATTCCATTCTAATACCAAAGACTCGTCACCCAAGCTCAAAGTACATTGGAGGACCCCTGACATTGTCCCAATATTCCAAGTTTTAGGGATTTGCATTTATATCACAAGGGGTCTTCATTTTACAACCAATGTGCTGCCATCTTTTGTGGAGCTAAAAATCAAAAGTTGTTATAAATTGTTAGTTATCTTATTTTTATACACCACAGCAAGGTATTGTACATAATGTTAATATCAGTGGCCTGCAGTAGCTCTCATGTTCTTGGCATTATTTAGAAAATATGTTTCAAAAACAGTTTCCATACAACTAAGCTCAGGTCTTGTTTTATTGATGAGATCTTTAGTAATGTCAAGATCATTTGAGTTTACTGAGCCAGATTGTTTTAAAAGAGCTAGATCTACTAAGTATGCTTAAGGCCACCAAATTGTATATATTCGAACATTTACTTAGTCACAGCCTTCATACAATGCTTTCTGACAAACAATGTCCATGGGCATAGCGCTATTTTTATGTACCCCAGCACGGGAACGCGAGTTGAACAAATCGAAAAAACGAGCGTTCAGGTTCAGTTCAAATTTTGAAATTTGGATGAATTTTGAGTATATTTGCAACCATTTGGCACGCCCATGCACACCAGGTGTACCGGGCGCTACGCCTATGATGTCCAACAATGAAAGTGAAGTTACTGTATCAACCCATGTAGAATCTCAATTAATATACATTTACATTAGGCTTCTTGCAATACTAGCCCATCAAAATATTGAAATACAATGTAGTCAGCTCATTGATGTGTTTATACCTCGTATCATATATTGGATACAAGATATAATGTAGATGTATATTGCACTTGTAACACACTTTTATTGCATTTTTGAGCGGTGTTGAAATGCGTATTTTATAATCAGTCCACTTTGCATTTGAAGTTTTGATCGGATCTTGCATATTATCTCACAAACATTCCCAATATCCTGAGTAAGTGCATCATGTATCATATCTATAAATGAATGTGTACCATACCTTTTCTACATTGCATTGTATGAAGACTGTGAAATATGTAGAACTACTAGTGGTGGCAAAATACAACTTTCTACTCGCAACTGAACATGTTGACAGTTGCATAATGTTATCAGAAAGTTGTATTTCGTCGGCACTAGATCAGGCAGGCCTGAATGATATGTGACATCAGCTTACATAACAGCATTTATCAATGACACTTATCAATGTAGCATCTTTTCACAAACGCTAAACTAAATCTTTTATTCTTTTTGTAAATTTCATATAAATTTGGAATTTGTGTTAAGTTTGTGAAAAGGATCTGCTTTGATGAGTGGTCATCTAGTAAACTGAAAGACTGTACCACGTGACTATGTTATATGACTACACCATGTGACTATGTTATATGACTACACCATGTGACTATGTTATATGACTACATCATGTGACAATGTTATATGACTACACCATGTGACTATGTTATATGACTACATCATGTGACAATGTTATATGACTACACGATGTGACTATGTTATATGACTACACCATGTGACTATGTTATATGACTACACCATGTGACTATGTTATATGACTACACCATGTGACTATGTTATATGACTACACCATGTGACTATACCATGTGACCATCTCAGGAGAATTTGACTATTAACTCCCTCGGGACTTCAAACTAGTCTAGTACCACTATAAATATTATAACAGTATACATGCCAATCGAAGTTTGGACAAAGTGGTACAGAATATAATGCAGGGAGTGTAGCCTTATGATTTTATATATACATGTATTACATTCTTTGAAAGATTCATATTTAAAACACAATCTCTAAACCAAGCAACAGTCTATATCTAGTCATGTGTGCTTTCCTAAACTGAACTTCATGTTATCATGTATATACAATTTAAAAATCTTATGATTCAGTGGGAATAGCACTCAATATTTGTACATAAATATGAGTTTTTCAAAGTATTGTCAAAGCCAAACAATGTGCAGTAAACCTTCATAAGCAACTCATAAGGCTGAACAATAGTCAATAACAGGTCAATCAGCAAGGCAGCATCTTATAAAAGATCAAATGGAGCATTTGCAGTATTCCATATTTTGCTCCGACAGTGTAAATAAACAAAAGAATGCTTGCCTTATCTAGGGATCTGTAGAGAAATCAACACCGATTGTCATTTTACAAATGCATAGCCTAAAAGGAAATCACTGTGTTGGCAAGTGAAAACCTTGAGGTCAAGTGGAGATCTTGTCTATTGAATGAACCAGTATGATCTGAAGATCTAATGATCAACACTACTTAGTGTTTTGTATTAAGATATTTTAAGGCACAAACTGAAAATTGTTATATATACGGCATACATTTGATACAGATCTGAAATGTCTGATTTAAGGTTACTTTTATTTATAAGATTAGCTAAGTTTTTATATTGTTGATCCTTTATTACAATCAAGAGATGGTGGCTCACTAAAACAAGACACTAACATATGCCCGAGTCTGTTGTCTTTTCTGTGCTTCAAAATATTTTAAAATGAATACAGTATTAAAATGGAATGAACATCTTATAGTTCAGTGTGTTATAAATATGGACAGTAGGTTTCATGATATGTACAGTATGTTATTTGAGATGTTACTTAAAGTTATATGCATTGATTTGTATTCCATCAGATGAGTTTATATATGATTGTTGTATATGTTATATTTCATCTCATAAATTTGAACTTAATGTATGAATGTATGAAATTACTAATTAGCTTATGAAAATTGTTCCCGACTTGTAATTCTTAGCTCAAGAGTAATCATATTTCTAATTGATCCAAATGAAGTCAAAATTAAATGTGCAAGAGTTACAAATAATGATAGGCATACTAATACACACTGTACGTGTTTTCATTAATTACATCCAAATGATCACATGACATGACGTGAAGAGTGACCATGTGTCGTAACACATATATACGTGAAATACATGGCATGTATGTGCTTAGCTCCATATTACCTGACTGACCAACTGATTTCTTTGCAGTAAATATTTTACATTTTGGTATTTTAGTAAGTTATTTTAGGTTACAACTTAAATGGCGTAAAACTCATCTTAGGAAAACATGTTTTTCAAGTTTTAAAGTATGATTGAAATTGAAGAGCAATTATGAGCTCTTTGCATGTATTTTGGCAATAGTATTTTCATGAATTATCATGAATTCACTGTTGCATGAAGTGTTTTTTCTGTTAGAATATGGTAATAATGGCCAATAATGATTACAAATGATCAAAAAACCGAAATGTTTTCTTTAAATATGAATTTCAAAGATATACCATCGAAACGCTATGTATACCTTATTGAACTTTCTTGTATTGGATGCTAAAGAAGAGTATTGCATTCTACTTTATCAAATGCAGATAATTAACATGATATTAAGTTTCATGAACAATATATGAAAAGTTGTATGCAAATATGAAAGATATTTTATTCTGTTATATGTATATGTATGTTGGTTTTATTGTTAATTCTCAGAACAATGCTTTTTGGTATTCAACTTATTGAAACAGGTTTTTGGATGTTAATGTTCATGTATATGTAAGTTAGATTCATTCTTTATGAGATTTTAGATGTTCTATACTTCTGAATGCCAGAGCAAGAAAAATATTTTCTGTCAAATTAAAGGTAGAATCAGATCTACAAGTGCTGATGAAAATGCAAGATTCGTGTAAAACATTTATTATAAAAACCTTTTCCCAGAATAAAGTATGAACTATTTATTATCAGGACACTAGAAAATACATGTTGTGACAAGAAATAATAATAATGAGAGTCCAAAATAAACTAAATTTGAAATAATTTTTGTCAATGCTGCCGGTACATCTGATTCTGCCTTTAAGAGGTACATCTGATTCTGCCTTTAAGAGGTACATCTGATTCTGCCTTTAAGAATGACTCTTCTATATATGATGGGTTTGTCAAAATAGAGAAACTAATGTGCAATTATCTGAAAGATGGCTGCACAGCTTTATGATTTTAAAATGTGAGAATATTTTACTCATATCATTGCAAGAGTAATTCACTGTTTGTACAATGTACGTATCAAGTATTAAGGACTTTGAATCTTAAGATATTAAAAAAGGACATGGGGTTCTAGGCTAAAAAAATTGGAAGGAATTTCTATCATCAAATATATTTCCTATACTACCACATGTATAACTAGCTAAAGTATACTCTTAGCAATTTATAAAATATTTAAAACATTTATTAGGCAGTAT